AATACTATAATACTTATAAGCTTAGTGCTGTGCTAGGCTACTTTAGCCTCCTTAATCTTCCTTTTGTAAGTAATAGCTATAATTATCCTGCTACCTAGAGTCTTCTTTACCTTAACAGAGCATAAAGGTTATAAAATAGCTAGGGCTATTTTAGGACACTTAAGAATCTTTATTACCTATAATAATAATGCCTTGATTAAGTTAGCCTAAAATTTAGCTATATATATATAGCTAAATTTGTTATATAACTTCTTTATTAGCTCTTTTTTTGTTGCTTACTCCTTAGCCCTAAGCTTATTACTCTAACTCTTATAGTTCTGCTAAAATATAAATTACTCTTTATAATTATAATCCCTTATAAACTTTATTAATAAATCCCTAAGATCTAGAATACAGCTATATAGTCTTATCTACTTCTTCCTTAAGATTATAAGGTACATAACCTTTATTATATAAAAGATCTGTAATCCTTACTAGTATTTACTAATATATATAAGTAAATAAAGGGCCTAAGAAATAGATTAATAGATCTTACTAGCAAAATCAGAAATAAGAATAGGTTTAGCTAAGTCTATTATATTAATCTATAATTTTTTATAAAGTTGTTCTACTAATTAATAATCTATAACCATACTTAACTAACATCTTATATTTAATAATACTGATACTGTTAATCTTTCTCTCCCCCTTTTAATACTAATGTTAATCAAAAATAAAGCCTTAAAATCACTTTTTGTCACTGCAACAAGGATCCTTATAACTTCTCTACTAATTATGCTACTAGGCCCGCTTATAATATCTTAGTAGCAAGCAACTCTTTTTCTGATTACTTTTATGCCTAAGGGCAATCCTTTATATAGTGTCCTAGTTTCTTATAACAGTAACACCTTATTATAGATATATCTCTTAGAAGTTATAGCTTAGCTATTAGCCTTTCCTTCTTTGCTATTAATTTACTAATAGATTAATAAGTACTAAAAACTAAAGGTTTTGCTAATGTGCTAGTGCTAGCTGCTAGTTTATTTAATATGATATATCAACTATTTATGTTAGCGTATGTCAGATCAGTAATTATCTCCTAAATTAATATATATTTGCAGAAAATAATCACTTACTTTAGATCATCTTAAATCTTATCTCAAAGGTCTACAATCTAGTCCTCTTCTTAGACTTCTGCTTTACAGGAAAGCCGTTAGAAGTCCCTTAGGAAGACAGCAAGGTCCTGCTGCCTTTGCTATAGGTAGTGGTACTCCTGACGAGCGGTCTCTTGCTGAAACAAGGAGTCAAAGCGATTCGCCATATCTGTAAAGATATCTGAAATCTGGGCCCTTTCAAAGTCTTCGAAGTAGGACCTAAGCAATTTACGAGCGTCACCGCTGGTACGCGACTACACGTAGGCGACTTTAGACAGTTCCGTTAGAAAAAGCGCTGTATTAACTATGAACTTCATCTTCATGGCTGACAACTAGGAGCGAAACTTCTGAGGAGGCCCGTCCTCAAATACCTCTGGGTGAGGCAACTTCTCTGTCTTCGTACTAAGCACTATCATAGGGCTCAGAGTCGCTTCTAACGAGACTTGCCCTTAAGGCGGCGATTCTTGTTCTGTCAGAGTTGCTAAAGGAGACTCTACCCGGACTTGCAGCTTTGGTATCGCTGTAACTTTGTCGCGGAGGTTCTGAATAATCTCCTCCTTGTCACAGAGTTAATCCTTTAGCAACTCAATCTTGATGCTGGTGCCTCTGTTAAGATCTTAGTATCTTTCTTCCCAAGTTTCCTTCTCTTAGAGAGCTTCTTGATACTCAGCCTCCTTCTTTAGGCGGAGGGCTTTTTCTTCCTTATAAGCAGCTGCTAATGTCAGTACAAACGCCGCTACGTGTGTCTGATTCTTGTTGACAAGTGCCATGAAGGCTGGAAGAGCTGATGGGTTATTTGTCGCTCTCTTTGCGTGCTCAATTAATGCGCGCAGGGCGTCTTGATCTGTAGGAGGGGCTTCGTCTAGGCTCCGCCTCCGGTTGCTTAAGGAAGGATAGCGAACTTTGTCGCTCTCTTTTCTCTCTGTTTGATCACGAATCATCTTGACTCGATAGTTCTTAAACCTTCGTACGGTACAAGGTGTTTGAATCAAACAGGCCTTACGTTACTCCCAGAGCAACGACTTTCTTACACAGTTAAATAACCCTAGATGGGTTCTCTCTATAATTACTTATAAGATATTATAATAGCTTAAAACTAGAATAAATTAATAGTTTATAAATTGCTAAAATAAAAGCTAGAGAATTTATTTATATTATGATTATGCACAGATATATATATTTTAACGCTAGTGAGTAAGGCCTGTATATATGTGGGCCACATTATAGGTTATAGAGCATCTATAGTTCCTAATCCGGCCTCCTGCTATATAGTAAAGTTTAGGCTTCCTTAATCAGGTAAGGCGAACCTCTCTATTCGTAATCCGTCCGGATAGCTCATACGCTTTGACAAGCGCCCCACAGCAGAAGTTTGCTTACTGCCGCAAGTCAGTTATAAGCGTTGCCTCCTAAGTAATATAAGTTATATATATATAGCTAGATTATTATCTCTTTTAAAGAAGCAATTTTAATATTAAGAGGAACGCGTTATAAGAGGTTAGTACCTAAATTCCTTACTTTAAGACAGGATAGACTACCTGTATAGCTTTCTATTTATTCTTTTAATAAGTAAAAAGAAATAATAAGGGGCTTAGCTTGCCTGCCTCTGCTGCCTTAACCTTATTAATAGATATAGCTTACTAAGGTTTTAATTATATTATAAAGGTCTGTTACTAGTATATAGTAAGTTAAGTTAGTTATAAATATCTCTATATAAAGATATATTAAGGGAGTAAATGTTTTAATCTTAAGCGCCTATATAGTAGTAGCTTTATAGACTTTTATAATAGCCTAAAGGCAGCGTCCTTAGATGACTTATAATTTATTTTTAATGCCTTTTTTATGCCTTATTATATCCTTTAGGGCGTATTAAGCGCTATAACTATAGAGTAGCGCTAGTTAAGTAGCTAATATATATACCTGAAGCCCTAAGGAGACAAAGGAGCCCTAAGTAAAGCCGGATAATATTTTTAGGGCACTTAAGTAATAAACTATCTACGCTTTAACTATATAGAGGTAAGATTTCTACTATAATATTAGGTTAAGCTAGACTCTAAGTACTTTAATATCTAATTTAGAGTTAAGGCTTGCGTTTACAAAGGGTAGTAATAGTTTAGCTAGTATATTAAATCTCTTAAGTATATAAGAGAAGTGGATCAGGTCATATTTAGATAAATCAAAAGAAGACTTGTGACAAGTCACTTATAACTTGTATACAAGGTATATATGTTTAAGGTTTCTGCAGTTCTGCTTTATACTTAAACTATATATAAGGATATTAATGTTATTAATAAACGGATGGGTCGTAGAAGACTGGAGCTTGCATGATGCCGGCCGGGAAGACAATCTCGTTGCCGGCCGGGTTGTAGTAGGCATCGACGGTGCGCACGGTCATGTCCCATTCGTCACGTCGAGTAGGCTTGCCTAGCTTGTTCCAGGCCTGCCGTGTCTCGAAGTGTGCGACTTGTACCTTGTTCTCGAAGAATGTCGTGTTAGAAATGACAACTGCATCGTAGTACTTTCTCAGCGCCTCAGGATCAAGCACATTAGGGTTGCTCGTCGGATAGCCAATCTTTTGATCAATTGCATGCACTTTCTTGATGGCTCGATCCCGAACATTGTTGGACATCCACTCGGTATTTTCCAGTTGAAATAAGTATTGGTGATTCATTTGCGCATTCTGGCGTAGATGCTATCACTGCCAAGGCTTGATCGACATTATTTCGATCAACTTTTTTTGGGTCAATTCTGCATCTTTTTCGCTGGTTGTTGTTTTGTAGTAATTGCGGAGGTGAGTTATCTCTGTATCTCAGTGGAATTTGTGTATCTCGACGTGGTCGTAGCATTGGAGGTGGTTGAAAATTCATTTTAAAAACCAGCTGCGGAAAGCTATGGCGATCAAATGCGGCTCAAAAACCTTATTTTACGCCAAGTACGCTAATAGGCACACCCAGGGACGGAGGGGATAAGATACAAAGACAGATTAACCTAGAATGGGTTTCGCCGAGGACAGGATCAGAACGTCACCAAAGACACAGGTGCTTTGCCCAGGACTGACACACAATTGTTTGTGATATTTGCACTCTAGCAAGCGCCACAGAGCTTGTGACCCTAGCAAAGGAGCCTGCTCAAGGACCTACGGACGCTAGAAGCCAAGAGCACTCGATCGGTATGTGGATCTGAGACTAGGGAATGATAATTCCGTACCCACCAAGGTCGTCACCTACTCGAGCTCCCGTGCGTCAAGTTATAAGTACAAGATAGCTCGGAGAAGTGAACGGGTAGACTGCAAGGCCATGAGCATATGTGCTGGTTAAGCGTCATCGAAAAGGCCCAAGCCAATACCCACCACCCTTTTATGGTATTTGTCAAGTAAGAATGGGTGAGAGGAGTGTGCGGGTAGAAACACGATCGTGGATCGGAAGATCTACGCAAGGTACGATAGACTATTCCCACGGGGCAAATGAAGATCTGCAAAAATCGCCGTAGATAGTCTTCATGATGATGAAGTGATTTCTGCAGGACACCATTGACCAGACTCATGGTACGGATTGGCAGAGGCGCTTAATCTTTCGGCCTCCGGTTTTCGGCCTAAACATGACGTAATTCCTTAGAAAATCGAGATCGCACCAACACCTTTTCATTGATTACGAGCCCCACTATACTTACCAAGAAAAGAGCTATCGTGACTTCCTACCAAGCGCTCATCGTTGTATTTGCCGTACACTTGAATGTGCTCATAATGGCGTGCAGGTAGCTTTCTACAGCGGCCACCATCTCCGTTAGACCGCCCACGGCACGCGTCGCTTTTGAGACACATTTGTATGCAAACATTGACCTGGGTGCCCAGAATGTTGGTGCCGGATTTCATGAAATCGTTTTCCTTGGATGCAGCGGCAACGGCGCTCTGGGCGGGCCTTGATGCGCTCATGCAGCGCGCAATGGTTCAAGCGGTAAGTGAAGATGAAAGTTGGCGTCAAATACTTCATCGCCACAAAAGCCCCCACATAAACCTGAAAGGAAGAAGTGGTTTAAGCTTTTCAAACCCCCTTATATCCAATGCGGTGTCTGGCTACTGTAAATGCAGCATTGACAGAGTGCTTCGGAACACACGCCTCAATACAGCCAGGAAGCACGGAGGGTTTTTTTGGGGGGTTTTTTGGTGTAATTGAATTTGTGGGTGACTTGAGACAAACAAAAATTCTTTGCCATGAGATATGAGTTGACATAAACCATGACAGATTGCCTTCCTTAGAGCTCCGACCTCGCACAACTATCTACCATCGTCATAACCAGGTTCTACCGCGGAAGATCTGATTATGGATAGTCCCTCGCCGTGCCGTTCATTCAGCTGTCAGCATCGAGTTTTGAACTGGAAATACGGCGAGCCGGGGATGACGGCAGATCATCATCAAGAGTCCAACGGAGAAGCGGATAAATCTGTGATTTGCACGCAGCGACCACAAGCTAGCATCTCAAATAAATGGATTTCGGCTGTCAAAACCGATCCCATGATCTCCTGGGGTCGCTGGGCCGGCGGATCGTGGCTATCTGCGATAGGATGTGCTGGAATCTCTATTTTTGGTCCCCTGCTGGTATTTCTTCTCTGGGTAGCACTTGAGGATTTCAATGGCTCTCTTTTTGCGAGTCTCTCCGTTTTCTGGTCAAAAGGTCTAATACCATTTGTTGTTCGGTTTGCTCCGCAACCAAGCGTCAAGGCTTGTATTGGCTATGTGGCTTGGCTTGTTTTTCAGGCAACCCTTTACGCATGCCTTCCCGGCAAAAATAGCTCAGGACAGCTCACACCTGCTGGAAACCTGTTGAAGTACAATACTAATGGTTTGTTTGCTTGGGTTGTGACCCATCTCCTTGCTGTCATGGCTGCAATATCTGGAATTTTAAATCCTGCAATGCTAGCAAAGCACTGGGAGGGGTTGCTTGTCGCGGCGAACATATATGGTCTCTTCTTGTCTGCATTCTCCTACCTGAAAGCTTATATCGCGCCAACGCATCCCGAAGATCGCAAGTTCAGCGGTCAGAGCCTCCTAAAGCGTGCTCGGTGAATGCATCGCTGACTTTGTACAGGATCGGTGCTGTATGACTTCTACATGGGCATCGAATTAAACCCACGTTTTGGAAAGTCGTGGGATTTCAAGTTGTTTCACATTGGACGTCCAGGTCTTATCGCCTGGACATTGATGTATGTCATGATTCACCATACTATATTTACGAGCTTCGGCTTCTGCAGGTGGGATCCTAGCTGACTGGCGTACAGTGATCTGTCGTATGTAGCATGGCAATATCAATTGCATGGCTTCGTCACGAATTCCATTATCATTGTCAGCATCCTGCACGCAGTCTACGCCTTGGATTTCTTTATCAACGAAGATTGGTAGTGCAAGCATATCGAGAAGCTGCAGAATTAGACTGACATAATTCAGGTACCTCCGCACCATTGATATCTGTCATGATCATTTCGGCTTCTACCTGGCCTGGGGCTCAGTGGTTTGGATCCCCACAATCTACACCGTACAAGTGCAGTATCTGGCACGTTACCCAGTCAAGCTATCTTCACTGAGTGCCACTATAATTCTATTGACCGGACTGGGAGGTTACGCGCTCTTTCGATCCGTGAACCACCAGAAGGATATTTTTCGCCGTACTAATGGCCAGTGCGAGATTTGGGGCAAAAAAGCCGAATATATCTCGTGCAACTTCAAGACACAGGATGGTCTCAACCATGAGTCGCTCCTTCTGTGCTCTGGTAAGCTCAGCGAACCGACTCAACCACCGTAAGCTGACTTTGCAGGCTGGTGGGGAATGGTTCGCCATGCAAACTACGTGGGAGATCTAGTGTTGTCGTATGCTATGTGCGCACCTAGCGGTACTACACATCTGCTACCATGGACCTACGCCCTATTTATGACGTTGCTGCTGATGCATCGGTGCTCTCGAGACGAACAAAGATGTTTGGAGAAGTATGGGGAGGACTGGAAGGCCTACCGCGAGAAAGTTAGATGGAGACTGATACCCGGCATCTTCTAGACACTGATATACAGCGTGTTCCATTTAGATTGGAACAAGCACGAAACCTTCTTCGGGGCATGAAGGCATACATCAATACTTATTACACGGTAATTTAGATTGAATTGCAACTAGCCATCACAACACTGCAGCAGGTGCATAGCTTCAACGCAATGACCAATACTGGGAGTTCGGCCGCAGGAATTGGCAGCTCATCTCGTCGTTTGTATATTTGAACGCTTTTACATTTTCTCCCTTAGATGAGCCTCGATACAGCCATCATGATCTCCTTTATATCCAGGTTGGTGTGTAGACCATCCACGGGAACGTCAAATACTCGTGAGTGTTCTGCCACTGTATCCATTTCACCTTCCCTCTTCTTGGCCCCGAGTCTCGGAGTGGCTTTTCACTCGTGTTTTCGTGTAGTGCATTTTCACCGTGCTGAAACGAGTCGCCTTCGTAATCGACGAAGCTAGTACCTTTGCTTACAACAGCCACCATGCAGAGAAATAAGTAGTCAAGAACGAGGTCAGTCAGTGATACTTTGCGCCCTGTATGCAGCATAATGAGAGCTTTCCTAACTTCCTAACTCAACGGTTCATATCCCAGCGGCACACATGTGCTTGCCTCACCGCCCTCCCATTTGCATTTGCTTCACCAGTTCGACGGAGAGATCGACGAGCTATTCATCGATGTCTTTGAATCGCCTGGTTGCAGGATGCACAACGCCACATCCGCTGCATCGGTTGACATACTTCCGAGAATTCGAGATTACACCCTTCAAGTCGATTTCGCCCGCATTTTAAGGATCTCTAGTGCTCCCCTGACGACTAGTCATGTAACGACAAGCTCGACCCTGAAGACCTGATCGGGTCCATCGAGAAAAGAACGAACAAGGCTAACATTAGGAGGGGACTTCGCGTCCACCCACGATCCTGATCCATCGCTGCCTCAACATTGTGGTATCTCTATTACCCTTCTCTCCACGACATACGCAAAAGAAGATCATCAAAGGAGGAGATGATGGTGCAAGTAGAAACCTGACTCGGCGTTTTCAATAAGCATAGTCGTGTGTTTAGGAACAATAGTCATCAATACCAATGCAGCTGAAAACATGTTCCGAAGGACTCGCATAAGCCCCTCAGTATCAGTAGTCGCACAAACGCAAAACGAGTTGCTGCCCCTAAAGTACGAGCGTGATAAAAAGAAGAAGAGAAGGGTATGCCGACTCCGATGCTGGGAAAAAAACACCCACCTAGGGGCATGAGCAACAAAGGCATCCTAATACCCACGTAGCAGAACATCCAGCAAAACTTTGTAGAAAGGGGTGACCTCGAACGCTGAGAGTTTCATTAGAGCGGAAAGTGACATTCCTCTTGCCTGGAAACTTGGAAGGTGTGCCGGGTGGGGTAGGGGGTTTAAAGAAGCTTTGTCCAAGCTTTACTTATGCGAGATCAACCAATCCATTTGGTGGAAGGGGAGCGGAGCGGCAATATCCGGTGGCTTCATCCACCCCCACGAGCAGCTTCTATCCTGGATTATTATTACTACTACTAAAATAGTGAGACACGCGGAGTTGAAATTAGAAAGCTGAGCCGTCCTTGTGAACAAGTGCATGCCTTATCAAGCGCCGCAACACGAGCCGCTCTAGTCAATAAGTGAATTCCTTATCAAGCGCCTCGATACGAAGATAAAGATAAAGCACTTTCAACAAGTCCTAAGATTCTTGTAGGAATAAGGAAAGGCTGGAGATGGTTTGGATGATTTGATTTTGCCATGAGGGGGCAGACTTGCTTTGAAACCGCTAAGCTAAATCATTGCGATCGTATCATGATGTGATACTCCTTTATCAAAGCCGAGAAGCCTCACAGCACTATGACTCACCATGAATTAGCAGTGCCACAAGCGCGCGCAATGAAAACACCCAAACCCCTGCTCGAAGACCGCTTCAGCCCTACCCTCAACGCCCTTGCTTTAAACTCCAAAAAATAGCACCGTACTCCCCAAGCCATCAAGGCTTAACCAATTTTCATGTCGTCCAGGCCCTCGATCAACTTGGCGGGAGAACCAGTATCAATGGCATCGACGTTGGCCTTGCCCTTGTCGCCTGGTGTGTCCTCCTTCGAAGCGACTTGGGCCGTCGCACCACCGGCTGAATGCGTCGCGGCGGGTTTTTCTACCGTGGGCGACGATTTCTGCTCCTTTGGGGCCAGAGCAGGGCAATCCGCCCGTCGGAAGTCTCGAGAGGAGACACCGAGCGTGCCGAGATCGAGCTGCACGAAGCCAGGCCTACCGTCTTGGGCTTTTCGGACTTGTCGCGCGTCGGTGGTGAGGGTGTAAGTATCACTGCCACTAGGCTTGATACTGGACGGGTCGACGTTGTGCCGTCTCGCTGCGGCTCGTTGGAAGTTGGCTTGACGGCGTTCCTTGGCCTTCTCTCGCTTCTCTTCGGCCTTCCGATCCTTTTCCTCCTGCTCCTTCTTCGCAGTCTTGCCTTCGGGTGTCTTGTGCCACTGCTTCAGCAGTTTGTCGTACACGGCGTCGACACCTTCTTTGAACTCGGCGTACTCCTCCTTCTTGAACAGAGCCTTGTACGCTCCCATGGCTTGTAGTCTCCCATCCCACATGGCCTGGCCAATGCTGTGGGAGACCATATCCTTGAACATGTGCGGCCCAGCCAACGAGCTAAACACCCGCTCGACATCGAGTGTATGCACCTGTTTTGCTGCAATGTCCCGCATACGCGCCTGGACTTGAGCTTGCAACACGTTGACTTGGAGCTTGGCACAGGAGAGGTAGACCAAGCCATAGGCGTGAAACGCCGGAGAGTTGAACCATCGAAATGGAACTGTCTTGCCCGCTCTACCGCAGGACAAGATCCACTCCAAAACCTCTCCATGAGACTCGGCATTGCCGCCTTCGATAAGCACTTGCGTCTCCCGCTGCGGCTTCATCTCAGCAAGAGGGATTTGGGAAAGAGGTACCGCGTTGAAAGCTTTGGCGATATACCCGGAGAAAACTATAGCCAGCTCTTTTGGAAATGCTGGATACAGTGTGACCTTTTTGCTATCTTCAGTGGCTTGGTGAAGAATAGCGATCTTTTGACAATTTGGTAGGCCCTGCTTGATGCTGGCCAGCTTGGTGGTTGGCATCGGAGGCATTTTGGATATTATGGGCCGATCGAAAAGGTCGGAAGCTGAGGAGGTCGAAGTTTGCAAAGTTTTCAGCTGGCTGCTTGCACACTTGGTAAAGCTGGTAAATGATATAAAAGCAGCAAATGAATTCAAGTATGGTTGAGGGGTTGGCGATTCTGAGGGATGGTCAGTGAAAAATTTGGTGAAGGAAGATGTTACAGAATCGCAGGGTGAAGGAGGCAGATATTTGTAGACGCTGTCAAGCCGTCAAAGTGTTCTGCGCATCCACAAGATCAATTGTGAACATGCAAATGACAAACACGTTTGCGCTTGACCTGCCGCAACAATCACTTGAAGGCACAAACGCTTCTTTGTGACATGATCTGGCTCACAAGCATTGTGGTGATCAGTGAACAGCGATAACCACTTTGCAGCATGTGCAGGAGACAGGAGAAACGATGGTATGAAAGAACATTCATTGTGAATGGAAGAACACACAATCATGGAGAAGGACATCTTGAATGACAAAGGGCATTGTTCTTCTGGGATGACCCAAAAGAGTAAGCAGCTAGTAACTAGTGCAAGCGCCAAGAATTGTAGCAAGAGCAAATGCTTTGAGATTAGACTTTAAGGTATACTATGAGCCAGTTTGTAAGACCTTCATCCATTGCCGCAGAATCCTCGAACCTGGACGCCAACGCATAAGTCAAAACACACGGGAGGAAACCAGCGGCGGCACACATGCTCCAAACTCCGCAAATTGCAGACAACCTACTCCAAAGTAGATGGGTATGGATCACCGAAAACGAAAATTAATGGGTGCGCCCATGACATTCCGCTTTTGCGTAGTTCGTGGCAGAGCACTGGTACAGTCGACAAAGTTGTTATAGGTCTCTGGTGAAATGCCCAGCAAGCCGAGCCTGAACATAGCCGATGCAAAATTTCCGTTCCATTTGCCCTGGTTGTCGATAAAGTTCTGAAACTCTTTTCCGACGGTGGTGTTGGGACTGCTCAGGTTGATATCGGCCTCGAAGCGGGCCACGCCGGGAGGAGGCTTGTAAATTTCCGAATAGTACTTGACGTCCCAAGTACCAGGTGTGGAGTCTTGCGACGTGCCGGGGGGTACCTGGGGCGCTTGGGATTTGCTTGCTGTGTGGGCGCCTATCAATGCAGCGAGATCAACCGCGCTGAATCCTTTGTCGGAGAAGAGTTGGAAAATGGTATCGTGATCCGCACCCTTCCCGAAGCCTGCGGGTAAGAGACCTTCTGGTGATGCGGTGGATGTATCCTCCCTCCCGATTAAGGTCATAACGGTTGGCCCACCCGGGCACGAGACCACTGCATGGTTCCCTGCGAACTGGATCAAATCCGCTGCACCGACCCCTTCTGACTTATACTCTGCATATTTGCCTGTGATGAAGCTGTGATAATTCTGAAGACCACGATTGTCGTTGCGGCCAATCTCGCCAGCATTGAGCAACAGGGATCCATCAGCACCACCTGAAGCAGGTGGAACATTTGGCAGCTTTGTCGAGAAAGTGGCGGCGTCGTGAAAGGCGTATCGAATGGCGCCTCGGGCAAGATCTGTACATTCCTTTCCAGAGACAAATGACTTCGTCAAGTCTTTGGATATCTTGCTCCATACTTTGGGACATTCTGCACCCTTAGAAGCCCGCCTGACAAATGTGGGAAGCTCGGTCGATTGATATGCTTGGATGCCAGCAGCACCCAACAGCAAGAGAGGTAATAGGAATTGCATGATGCGCAAGAACAGAAGGCCGCAAATGAAGACAGACAGATGTACAGTGAGAAAATAAGAGGGAGGGCTATAGACAAGGCGTACCACTCGTCAAGATTAAAGAGAAACCTGCCTTAATATAGTCATTAGAGTGGGGGGAAGTCCTCATCAGGGTTCCAGTAATGTGGCGGCACCCGTCCTACCTGGTGAAGGTTGAGATATGGCTTGTTCCGGATACGCGGAAAATGAATCTAGGTTGAGATTCATGATTTAGCATCTCCTTAAGCTGGTTAATGTGGCTAAAGCGGGAACTTCGAGAGTCCTGACAGTAGTCCAGAACCAGATGTAGACGGTCAAATGATTTGAGTAACTGATAGTGGCAGAGTAGTGGTGATCAGATGAAGGTCAACCTTCGTATTGCTTCTCTGTTAGATATTGTTCTTGCAAGTGCAGTACGCTTGACCAAAGCTTGTTTGTGGCGTATGCTGCATGCACATGGGCCGCTGTCAGAGTCCAGAAATGTGAGATTGGTGGGGTTAGCATGTCTTTACTGATTCACCATTCACCACAAGATACACTCCAGTCCTTTGGATTTTTAGGGCTCGGAGATTTGGGGTGGAAAGGCAGCCTTATTGGGCGGTTGGCCTTGTTGAGCCTTACATTGTGCATGTGCATGTGCATGTGCATCTAGGTCCACCTGACAGCAAGCCATGGAGAGGGCGGTGAACTAAGAATGTAGGAGCAAGAACCTCGTATTCAAATACAGCTTTGGGACAGAGAAAGTGCATTGAAATGGGTTAGCTGCGGCACCACAAAGCTCCAATAATGCCATTAGAACAGCTCGAACAGGAACTTGTACCATCCTAACATTTAGAACTGGCCAGCCGTGTCTGTTGATTGTCCGGTGGCTTTCCGGTGAGGGCACAAGTATGGAGTGTAGTCTCTCCCGGAAATAGAGATAAGATGGAAACATCCGGACCTAACCTTCCGAGGAAGTCTCGGTTAGCTCTAGCGTTCCGCAAAGTCCGTAGTGACAAGTCTTTACATCATCCAAAGAAACAAAGAAACGTCAAGCAAACTTTTACCTGTCGAACCGATCACCTCAGTATCAGCCCGCATATTGAGAGAGTCCAGTACATGGTGTATTTTTTCTTCGAGTTCCCGAGTTCCCGAGCTCCCAAGTTTTCCACTTTTCACATCAAATGAGCTTGTCACTAACCTGGCCACTTCAGCTCTGGCTACGGACAAATCGTACAAGCAAATCACAATCCAAGTTGCGTCTCACCTGGACAACTAGCTCTCCGACCTAGGAACCCTACCATGAAAATCTTCCGAAGTGCCGGCTCTGTCAGTACCTTGGAGTCACCAGAACTCGTGGGACCTCTGTTGAAGGTTGCGGTACAGGATGAGCTAGTCGGTGATGCCTGGATAGAAAGTCATCGTGGCACATTAACACCGACAAGATTGCACAATAACAAGGAAATAGAAGTTGAGCTTGGGACTATCACGGACTCTCTGCATGTTCCAACCCAGGTAGAAAAGTTAATGAGACATCGGAACTGGCATCGTGACCTAGATCCGGCTCGTCGTTATTGCTGGTGTGAGAATGGAATAACCTTTGTCTGCCTGTAGACAAGACAGGACTTCATGGAATGTGTAAGTACCATTCGAGACTTTTCAAGGATGAACAATGACTTTGGGGAGCTTGCCTGCAGCTGATGGCCATGAAAACCTGGTGTCAATCCTGCTCTCGGCTGAGATTTACAGAGTATTTAATCCTTACCCAACCAAATGACCACACTTCCCTTTCCTGTCCAATCGTCCGTGCAGGTCGTACCGGACGGAAGCAATAACCTAGCATTAACCACATTTGCTCTTATCTGGGCTACTAGTACTATGTCCATGGTACAAAATAGTTGACCCACGTCACCAACGTCCCAACTGCAGCTGCAGCCTTCCTGGAATAGAAGATGCACGCCACATTTTCAATGCCACGTCTGATGCAATACATGAGCGATCGCTATGCCACTTTGACGCCCCCCGACCTCCTCATCTGTGTCTATGCACGTGCTCCAGCTTATGTCATGATACAGCCGCTGCCCGAATGAGGTCCAGCAGGCCATTTGCAGCCTCAGTCTTCACCACGCCACTCGTCACGTCGCCGCTCGAACTCATCCTCTGTAAGGCTGCGCTATCTGCCTGACTTGGAGTTGGGCTGCTCAATTGTATTGGGCTCCTGCGGGCTCGTGGGCAATCTGTTGGTGTTAGAGTATTCGCGCTGGATATGCCCAAATCTTCGCTGCTAGTGGAGGTAGGTGGTGATGATGGGATACCCTCCCTGGCCGGAACCATATATCGGGCAGAGTAAGCCGTGGGAACGATAGTGGGCATCGGCAAAGAGTTGAGATGTCGAACAGCTGACTTCGATTGACCTGTTGCTTGCCTTCTTGCAGCTGAAATCACACCCTCCTCCCTCTTGATCAAGGGCATTCTCAGGCGTTCTGGTGAAGACTGAGGGCCATGCAACCAGAAAAAGGGTGTTTTGGTCTGGTTGGTTTTGACCTTGTAGGCAGCAAGCTGGAGTCGAGTTCGCAATATCTCTACTTTCTATCCATAGGTGTCATCAAATGATGTGCAAATCAGTTCTACATTCTTCAAACTTACCTCGGCAATCATTGTTTTCCTATCGGGGCAGGTTGGCGACGAGGTCCGCTTCGGCAATATCATCTTTAGATCCTCATCTTCGGCACCTGCGGCCTCGAAGTCGACAAAGCTTGACATTCTCATGCTGTCTTGAGATCCGTCCGTCGGCGGAGTGGGATTAGAATGCAGCTGGGGATGGGATGTATTTTGAGGAAGTGGTGTCACGTTCTATACATCATCAGCAGTCTGTGAGTATCCGACTGATCCAACTTTTCCTTACCAGATTCTCCAACGTGTTTTGGCTTGTTTCTTCTTGAATAATAAACTGCTCCTCCAAGGGCACAGGTCCTTCCTGCGATGCATGAAACGAAGTCAAAGAAGTAGTTGTTGTCTTCGACTCTGCTGTCGATGGCTCATTATCATCTTCCTCTCCCTTTTTCACTGCCCCAACGTTTTGACCCTCATTCTTCGTCTCATCGTCATCTTCTACCATTACTGCATTTTCTTGCTTATCTTCAGTCGTTGGAAGTAATGGTGATCCCCGTTGCTGCAATGGCGGTCTGTCATACTGTTCCGTTCCGTCAACCTGCGCAATCGATCTCTTCTGTCCGATCCTGGGACTTCCTGCTCGGGGAAGATTGACACGATCCTTCGATACTTGCTCGAAAATCGAGGCTTTTGTAACCGTAATGTGTTTGTTGTTTACCTCCAAAACTCCCTGTTTAATGGACGCGTTCGTGGTCTTCCACCCCAATACCTGCCGTGAAGGTGAAGGTGAAATTGCCATAGTTGGCTGACATTCGGGCTTCTCCATATGCATTGTCGTACCGCAAAGCCCTGGCTTAGAAAGAAGTCAGACACAGGTATATCTCATTTCAGAATGCAGTGCGGGGACTAAGTTGTAAAAGTTCTCCTCGCCTGGACATTGACACCGCTTACCGTGTCCAGAATTGTTCAAATGCGAAGCTGTAGAGCACCGGAAGGTACGCATACACAACGTCAACTGATGCTGTTTTCACTTTTCTGTTCTGGTGAAGTGAGATATGTTGTGAGTACAAAGGCGCGTCAATAGAGATGGAAACAATGGGACTTGGAGAATCCCTGCCCTCTAACTAACTAGCGCCTATTAGCAAGCAACGGACTACTACAGTAGGAGGCATAATGTTTATCACCTGCGCACTAGTAACTGGGTGTAACGCTAATATCGAACGCCACAAAATCGGCCAATTAGGACTAGTCTAGTTTTTCTTAATATCGTGTATGCCGTCCTTCTGCATCTTTTACTGCCTGGCATCTCTCTGGCGTAGAATTAGAACGAACTTGATAGAGCTCGTAAATGGCGCAGAATGAGATAGAATCAGTAGAATAACGTGTAGAATCAACAAAACGCACGTAGAATGGCGACAGTGAGCATTCGCACAGAGCATCGCGGTATCTGTATGAGCGCTGTTAATGACGTTACTTACTAGTGCGCAGGTGACAAACATTATGCCTCCTACCGTAGTAACGCGTTCCTGGCAGCTCGGTCTACAGAGCGTTCCTGGTGGCTGATCAAACATGGTCAGGGTCCAAATAGCCAAAACAATGGTCAGAAGCAATGCATGAAGACATTCATTTCACCACCACATATCCAGCTTCATATCTGCTCTTATGACTATATTCACTAGCATATATCCATCTCTTCACAGGTCTTCCCAGGCATCAACCTCTAAACCTTCCAAAGCGTCGATTCTCAGCAGCCCCTGCACATCTAGTAGAGGAACTGAATCAGGCGTCTCATCCAGAAATTTCAGGCCATCTACCGCTTTGCCACCACATGCTCTCTCAAGTGCCAGGAAAGCAAAATGACCACCAACCACTGGCCGGGCGAAAAAATTGGGTCCAGGAAACTCTCCTCGTCCTTCAGTCATATGCAAATCTGTCAACGGTCTATCTGTCACTGTCTCATTGACCCATCTGGCCACAGACTGTAAGATTGGTTCTCGAACGGTGCGTGCTGACACGGCCATGGCAAAGAACTCCCAATCAGTCTTAGTATACAGATGCCTCGAATCGAGAGGCAGCCCATACTTCTGCCGCACGTTGTAATACCAGTCTGACTGAAGTTTGTATACGTGCTTGGGCACAAAAGCGATTTGCTCATCGTCTTGCGGAGGCTTCATTGGCTTTTGCTTGTGTGGGGGCCCAAGATCAAAGTTAGTGTCCTTTGGTTTTTCCGGCTCGACGCGGAAGCAAAGTAGACTGTCTGCGTAGAGGTTGTACAGAGTTGTCCAGGACCCATACCAATCGTAGGCGACTTTGGCATGGGTTTTATCACGCGAAAGACCCGTTTCCTCCCACCTGGCAATGTATGACTTCGATATGTTCCGATACATCTTTGCGTCAGCATCATTCCCAACGATTTCTGCCAGCTTCGACATCGCATGAATGCCGATAATGCCCTTCAAGGCCAGATTGGTCTGCAGAGGAAGCCAGCCGGCGAAGTCATCCGTTGAGAGTTGGTTCTCAGGCTCAAGGGAGTAGTCCACTAAATATCCAGTCCACTGCTTCCAGAGACCATAACTTCGATTGACCCATTTCTTGGTAATTCTCATGCCTTCTAGGTCTGATTCTTCGGTGTCGAGGTACTTCACAGCGGAACCCCCTTTAAACTGCAAAGTGAAGGCTTTTGGACCGTCCAAGCTTGGCGCAGTTTCTTCTGAAGGGTCGTCAAACAAGTGGAGGCTGCCTCCAGCATGTTTGTCCTTGTAGCGGAAAGAGTTCACAAGCGCGAGCCCCATGATAAGAATATTGCCGCATTCTTCCACAGGCATATATTCATCGCGCCCGTCAGGATGCCCTGTAGCATTGGGAAAAGACGCGCCAAGATCATGCATGGCATATTTGTTGGGATACTGTCCGCTAAGCGTATGCTCGATGAGTGGTTCAAGCAGGTAAGCAAACCATTTGGGGTTGGAATACAGGAAGAAAGGAAAGCTTGGGAAGAGTACGTCGATAGTCTGAGTGTTACCGTCCGAGGAGATCTCTTTCATGAAGATGATTGGATCATCCGGAGTGCCAGTAAAACTGGTGGACCCCATGACCTGTCTCGCAGAAAGGGCAACAATATCCACGTAGTCTGCCGCACCTGATTGATACGCATCAATCGCGAGCTGAGCTGAATAGTTGTACGCCAAAGTACTTGCAGTTTCAAAGTCGAGGTAGTGAAATATCAACAGCTGCTCAGTTGAGAAAGAGCTTGCCCAAAGCGGTCGCATAAGAGTGAGACCTCGAGCAGCCGCAAATTGTACGGCAGGGTCCTGCGTGTGCGCCATGGTGAACGTGACGCTGTCGGTGGATTGCAAACCGATAGAGGTATTGTTTAATATGAAAGACTTTGAGAAGGCGAATACTGGTTCATCGTCCATAATACTTCTGAAATTATTGTCATTCTCATTCTGAAGAGTGCCTGTTCTGGAAAATCGTTGCCTTAGCAAAGCAGACGTTCCAGAATCGTGGCGAACGTCCTGGAAATGTCAGCATTACGTTCGACCCATACTTGTTGTCTCTGTTACCGCAGGTGCCGAGAAATGTGCTGTCCCCCACTCAGCCCTATCAAGATACTCCGTGAAGAGTAGCTCTGTCTGTCTATGGAATGCCCATGTCTTCAATCCAGGCTTTCCTTGACCGAAGCTGGACTGTGAAAGCTCCCACGCAATTTGGCTGCCACGGTCACCACTGACCCACTGGCCATTGACATCGATATATATGTTAACGTTGAAGGTACCTTCCACAAAGACGGTAATGTACGCAGCTGGTAGGGATTGTCTCAGGGTTGAGGAAGGTGTGATGGGGGAGAGAAAGGAGAGAACAAGCTTCGCCGGCTTCGAAGAAGAATTTGGGGATGGGATAGAGTAGGACAGGTTTGTGGTGGAGGCATCGTACTTGGCACCAAGATAGGTTGGAAACGAAACATTGTATCTATCTCCTAGTCAGCCACATCCAGCACTAAGGGCGATTGTTCGCCTACCCATCTCCTTGCTGAACAGGAAGCAGAGAATCTTGTGGCCGACCTAGTAGTGGATAGACCTGAGAAGACTCTGGAACTGAAGCGAGAACAGAAAACCCAATTTCCTGGCCTGTCCAGAACATGGGCCATTTGCTCCATGGTACCTCACGAGCATTACCCAGCCAAGTGCTCAGATACGGATTCCGAACAAGCAATGGCAACACGGGAGGTGTAAGGATGGAGCAATTGGAGAATGCGGACAAGAGCAGACAGGCCGCAGCCAATGCGGTTTTTAGCCGCATGCTAGAAGCCGGACTGCTAGATGTCCAAAACAAACACATTATGAGGAGATGGTGATAAAGGGTGCTTAGACATCGAGGTGGTGAGTGCCGGGACTGATGTATTTACGTAGTACACTACTGTCGGAACGAGGGCTATGCAGGACAGAGGCTGGAAGGATCGTTCAGGTTGCCCCCAGAAAGCTTTCCCCGCATTGACAGTCCAGAGGTCCTCAGATTTATCCTTGGCAATTAGTCTCCTGATCTGATCATCTGGCATTATGATGTCTGTAGCACAACATGGATGCTGGCATCGTTCAGCATTCGAAAGAATAACTAGGGCTATGTTTGGCAAATCCCTGCATATCAATATTTCTTAGATCCTCAAGTTCTGTACTATTTCCACCGAGAAATCCAACAGCCGCTATGGACAACTCCCAACCATTTTGTCAGCTGCGGTTTTCAATCTCCTCATCGTGTTAATCCCCACCCCCCTTGCTACCCATTCCGGGGAGAAGCTCAAGATTTCGACTTGCAGAGCATGTGGAAAATAGCCACATACGCTGGCTTTTTCTGTACCCAATCCTGGCCATGGTCGTTTTTGCACCGGTTTCTGCTCTTGGATGGAAAGTGCTTAGGGATGACTGTTGTTTATCGTGTGAACATGTCCGACAGCGATGCCTAATGCCTCGACGTTCCTCTTTTCTGCGGCCATCCCTGCCGTCATGCTTTGCTCCATGTTGTGATGTATGATGTCGTGCCAGAGTGTACACTGAGACAAGATATACCCTGTTCAGCGGCCGAAGAGATGTTCACGATGAGACTCCTCGGTCTTCTTAGACGAAGTGGAAGTAGCAGTCAAGTGATATGTGAAGTAAATCGTGCATTGGTATTGATCAGACCAGCGACCACCACCACGATGTCATGGGTGATGATACCGTAGAGCTCATGAGGAGGTTGCACACCTGCAAAGCCTCCAATTTTGTTGACCAATACACTCAACTTGAGACCTCTAACCCTGGCAGGGATATCTCTCAAGCAATGAAGAGGGGGACAGGTTTGTGTCGCAGATCACAATGCTTAGAAGAGGGTCTGGATACCCCTGACTCAGCTCTTCCAGAGCCTTTCAAGCTTGGATGTATTGCGACTATGGAAAATATGTTTGAGACTTGCTGACAGAGTTCTGCTGCAAATGTCCAATGCCATCGCTAGCCCCTAGGTCTAGAGCCTGCGAGCCATTATCGTGATTTCGATTCAGTACATCAATCCCCAACCCTGTAAATATTTGATTCCTTTTCCTATTCCCAGCCCATATTTTTGATTGTCGGTTTTGCTTCCCTCTCTTTAACCATTTCCAAAGTCTCACCCAAGGCATCCGGAATCTTTGTGACCTTGCCCTCTATCCCCGCTGCGAAATGCTGCGCTGGCGCGTAGATCGTCTCTTTAATAGGCTGAATATGATTTTGGAAATCTTGATTATTTATATTGCGGGTGAGCTGCTCTAGAATCATATTGGCGATGTGACAGTGTATGGTATCTTTGATCACAGCCGTGGCTTGATTGGAGGTAATGGTAGTGTCCTCAATCTGCGTCGAAGGGAAAGGGGCTCGAAATGAGGCTGGGGTTGTTGGGTTAGTGCCGGGCTCTGAATTGTAGCCGCATTGACTCTTCGAAGTTTTGTTCAATGGATGTGTGTTGAGCAGTGGGGTTATAGGAGGCTCAATTATTTGACCAATAGGCGTTTCAGGAAGACTGTTGGCAGGATGTGCGCTGATGTCAGGGCTATCGCGTGGATCTGGAACTTCGGTGGCACGAAAAGTTTTTATCCTTAGGCTGGCCTGCCGCAGCAGATTGTCTGCAGGTGGAGCTGCTGGCTTGTTACGAGTTTGGTAAAGAGAAAGTGGCGCATTGCTAGACATCGTGGAAGCTGAAGAGGGAGTTGAACGCTCGAGAGTCTGCATTGATGTGGGAGAAGAATCTTCGAGCAATGTACCACTCTTAATGCTTGATTGCCAGCTTTCAAGGAAGATACTTCTCATGCGCTGTGTAACTTCATCGCGCGACTTGTTTATTGAGGACTGCTCTTGACGCTTCGACGCGTGCTTTGAACGATCCCGCAACGAGCTGGATCTGGTAGGGATAGTGAATCCGAAAGCTTCAGCGGTGGTATTTGGGAGGGAGCGATTCATGTCGACGAACCATGATAGCGGAACACTAACTGCAATTCCAAAACTGACTGCGGTGAGGTGAGCGTTTCAGTCCGGATGTGGTATTACATGCTTCCGCGATGTTTGGCAGTGTTTAAAGCTCCTTGATGATCGGGAGCCGGTTTTGTTTGACATCTTCCTGCATATTGAAGTAGGTCATGGACAGAAGACCGGAGTGCTACGTGTCAGCCACGGGCTCCATACCGCGGTTGACCTTCGGGCCGAAGCCTCGAGCCAATCCTCTTAAATCTCTATCACACTGTAGCGTGAATAAGTAGTCCAGATTACGGAGTCGTGCAGCAAAAGTCATCGATATACTCCGTACGGAGTAATCCGTACCCTAAGATTAAAGCACCACTAGCGTACTCGATCTGACCTTCCTTAGGGCCTTGTCTTAGGCCCTTCAGCGTGATTCACGGGCCCTCGTCAACTAAGTTAGAGACATTGGGCCATTTTGGCGGTCCCAACATCGCCACGAGAAACTAGCACCTTACCAACCCAAGAATAGCTAGCTGTTTTTAATCCTAGTGGACCCACATTGACGTTTGATGCATGACGCCGTTGTAAACATGAGAATTCGGGGATAAAAGATAAACATATGGTACGACCCAAGAGCCCAACAATAGTGTTGACACGTTTTCAATACCCTTGATTCGATCTCTCTAGTAATGCTGACTATAGACGATACCTGTGTATGTCGTAATGGCCTCACATTTTAGGACTCCCTGCACCGCTCCACGATAATGCACGCCTAGCCATGATGAAACACTTTCCCCGTCTTACGCCTACAACACCAGAGCCAGTGCCTTGTACACAATCCCATGGCTTTCGCGGCACCTAAAGCTGGGACAGATACCCAGCCTCAGATCGAAAACGTGACAACATTCTGTAAGCTCTCAACATTGAGACCATAACGTCCTGAGCGGAGGCCAAAAAGCGAAATCAATCGTCAGCCAATGTATTACACCTAACCTCCGTTCAGCGCTCAAGAGCGAATGTTGCAATCACCCACCTCCAATTGAGATTCCCAGTGCACGCGTAGCGGCAGCTGTCAATGAACCTGACTAGGTCGGCCTTTACCACTTTTTCACCAGCGTTGTCTTCAAGCAGAGCACTTGCAACGATATTGAAGCGCGTGATGGCGTCCCTCAGCATTTCAATTGCGGCATCCTCGGCTACCTCTGCGTCACGGTCGTGGACAACATAAAGCAATGGGATCAGACTATCCACTTGGCACTGTGCCTGTTTGAATCAGCATCACATTATGCTAGAGCGGGCAAAGTCAAATCGTCCTACAACTTCCTTCTTCACCGAGGCAATTTCGTTGGTGATAGCGAAGGCTGTCAGCCACAAGATAGTAATGGGATTGCACGTTGTTCAGCGATTACTGACATGGAGATTATCACGTTTGTTTTGTCCCAGAGTGATTGCATCATGGGGCTGTTGCAACATATTGTGGCAAGTGTATGTCGAGGGTGTACCTATGGAGTACGTGTGGGCATAAGTGAAAACGGGTCTCAGTGGTAGAGATGGACTTACTCGTGGATGGCTAGACAAACAGCTACTGCAATAGTGCCCATACGACGGCGCAAATATGACTCCACAGTTGGCAGATGTCCACCTAGCTGCACACACTGCTCTAACTCGGACATAACGACAAAGAGCTCGATCTATTGCGCTAGAGCTCTGCGCTGCTCTGTTGACAAAGCGTTATAATAGGCCAATGTCCACAAATGAAGAGCAGATATTCACCGAGCGTGCAGTGTTGAAAAATTGCACGACCCACGGGGGCAAATTGTTCAAGGATCAAGCGGCGTGATGCTGTTTGGGCGGCATCTGTGATCTCTACTTCCTAAGTTTGACTGATTCATTACGATAGACATGCGGTGTGCATAAAAAGATGAGCATTATCGCTATTGATGAATCTTTATACGTTCATCGCAAGAGCTGTTTCAGAGATTCTGAGTCCATTGAAACAAGCGACCGTCGGCTTTCGATTGTCTTCGTCCAACTCAGAATAGAGATACTACCCACTGTTCTTCACATCCACGCTTCCTCCCACGCTACATCAAAGCCACCACATTAAATGCCACTGGTCTCAAGCAATACCGCTCGTCCACCTCTCTAGATGGTTCGGCTGATTAGCACCCTCAACAATCGATTCCAGTCCTCATCAGCATCTTCATTTTCCTTTGACCATCCCTTAGACATGCGTAACAGTGACTCCTGCTGCACACCAAACCATCTCAAAAGGCCAGTGACCCTCTCGCCAAATGCCTCATCGTTGGTGAACCAGGAAGAAGGCCGTCCAAGCGGCGGCGCCCCGGTCTGGGGCTTAACGAAGCCGTTTAGCAGCATTCTTGCGATTATCAGGGTTGCTTCCAGGCCGTCAATTTGCAGTGGATGCTCGTCAGAGCTGTCTTTTGCTGGGAGAGGTCCTTCCACGTGCACATAGTGAGAGTCCGGTTGGTGGATGAAGACCAGGTAGCCCTCTGGAGGTATCGCAACATGACGGATGCTGATATGCCAGCGATTGGGAGCAAGGCCCGAGAGAAGCCGAGGTTGATCAGGCAAGTCGTTAAAGGCTTGCACAATCGCTGGCATGGGTGGGGTTCCAGCGAGACCTCGTAAGCTCATCGTGACAGGTGGCGTAAAGCGTCACTTAGATCTAGAATTTGTCACTTTGAGAGAGGACTCGGAGCACCGAGTGGAACCTGTTTTACTAGATTTGTGATATGGACGGACTTGGTTTTGATGAACATGTGTATGGATGAAGCACTTACTACGTAAGTATTACCTCTGATCGAGAACATATGTTATCTGACGTAGCCAACCGTTCTACGCACCAAAGGCGTCTATGCACCACTTTGGCTTGGCATTTGGCTTGGCTATCTTGATTCTCTCGAATTGGGGTATCCACCTACTTCAATTCGTGCAGCAGGTATAAGAAATGGCTCTGTTCGTTCAAAAAGCTGCACAGGGCGCAGAAATAAGTACAAATTTGCTGTACGGCACAGCGAAATTAGCTGCGAAATTGCAGCAGAAATTGACCAATCAAACGCAGGTGAAACGCAGGGGTTTCGCGTAGAAAATCCAACTAATGAGCACTCCTGCCGTTCAACACAATTCCACACCATTCTATCAATTCTATCCTACGACGATGAGCTGTTGATATATTGTTTGCAGAGCTACATTCTATCTTTTATTTGAGTGTGATTGACGCATTCACTAATATTCCTAAGGAAGAGCGCATTGAAAAAGTTCTCGAAGCACTTGAACAGAAGTTGGAACATCAGATTGACGTTGAAAAGAGCTGGTTTGATCTAGCCATATCTGTCATTCTACAGTGTCGCGAAGGCACAGAGAGCTCTCAAACACTCTTAAACTTGTCAGTTAACAGCGACAGCTTCTTACACCCTCTGAAGAACGGACACTCGTCCAATTCGTCCTACAATATTACAAATGGGATCGATCACTTAATTCAAATCATTCACTACTGAAACTGTTTATTGAAGACGTCTATATCCTTAAGCCGATGGAACCTATGTTGGAGAGCATTAATACAAAAGTTTTATAGCTCGAAATCCCAAAATCAAACACGTTATTAGACACCAATTTTTATGACAAGAAAATACTAAGTATTTTTCCCCCTCAGAGGGCATAGCAGGGTTTTCATGTCAAGGATAGTTAGAGTGGTGCCCATAGGGCACCCTTTAGGCAGCATAATTCTAACATCACTCACACTTTGATCTCGTCTTTTGTTGGTTGTTTTCACATCTGTCAGACATTGTTATGACTGCCAAGCATGGTGCACATTATGAGGGCCAGGAGGACTCCGGTAGATTCTACATCATTCTCTTGTTTGACAGCTTCCTTGTTTGCCAGCTGGCCTCTTAGTATTTAGATCTCTCTTCTGCGCCTAGTAAGTCATTTCATTAACCTCCTACTGTTCTATTGCCCTTGCATTCCCCTGGGATCCTAACAGGTGTGTAGTACCAGATGTTATCCTTGATAGTTTGGATAAGCTAATGTCAGACTGTATGAGCAATCATTGGTTGGATATTTAACGCGTGACCCCTGCGTTTTGCCTGCTCTTGATTGGTCAATTTCTACTGCAATTTAGCTTCTAATTGGCCGTACTGTACAGCCAAAATTGTACGTATATCTACACATGCTGCCACTTAATAGATAAAACGACTCGCTTTCTCCCGACCTCCTTCAGATTGTTAAATAGCTAACAGTGTATTGTCTACTACTCTGAGCGTGCTGTTCACACACTTGACTTAGACGAGCAAAGTAATTTGTGTCACCGGGTGAAACCAACTTGTTCCACTTACAACCAGGCAGCGGCTGCCGCAAAGCTGAGAATATAGAAGAAACCACCGACATTTGCTGAGATTCCCAGCACAGTAGAAGCTGCGCCACCAGTATACTGCGCCGGTCGAGAGGCCGTCGGCGTGGCCGGCAGGCCCGTGGTACCGTTGCTCGTGACGTTGCTCGTGATGTTGCTCGTGATGTTGCAGCTGTCGCTGAGGGGAAGGGAGCTCTTGAGACCGACGGAGAAGATCCCGCTTCCACTACCGTTTGTTGCACTCACGATGACCTCCAGATCCGTATTGGATTGGGCCGTGTAGTCGAGGAATGCAACCCCAGTAGAGTTGGTTGTGTTGCTCTTAAGATCGGTATTGGCCTGAACATCACGAAGTTTAACTTCGAGAGAGAGATCGTCGATAGCAGTGACTGTGACATTGATTGTTTCACCCGCCTTCGCGGCATAGGCGAACGTATTGGAGCCGGTCTGGGAGAGGAATTTGGCGGTGGCAAGACCGGAGATCAGTGAGCTGGAACCATTGCCGCCAGAAGAATCGATGCCAGTAAGGCCGTTGGCAAGAGCGGCGGCGACGAAAATTTGCTGAGAATTTGCTTGATCCACAGTGGCATAAATTCCTCCGCTTTCCACAATGGCGCGCACGATCTCAGGGTTCTGGTTTGATGCGTCAACGGAAAGGAAGCCGAAGGAGATGCGAATACCCAGGTCGACCGCCCGCTTGACTTGCTCAATGGTGAAAACTATGCCTGACGAAGGATCGTCTTCACCGTCAGTGAAGACGATGATGCCTGTGCGGTTGGCAGTGGGGTCGTTTCCCGTTTTGGTCAATTCTTCGATCGCAGCCTCTACGCCTGTGCCGATGGCAGTGCCACCCCTTGGAGTGATGCTTCCAATAACATCGTTAGCGCCAGAAGGGTCCCCAAGCGGATAAAGAAGCTGGCCGTAGGAGGCGAAGTCAACCACGGTCACGAGATCTGACGTTTTACCGCCAGAGCCTTCGCTGCTGTCGACCAGAGCATTGTTGAGAGCTTGGCTGGCTGCGAGTCTGACATCATTGGGATCGTTGTCGATCATGGAAAAAGAGGCATCAATTACGAAGCCAATCTTGCGTCCACCATTGCTGGCACCAACGCGTCCGAGAAGGTCGTCTGAAATGCAGGGAGAGGTGTTTTGACGAGCAATGAGTTTGCGGTTTGGATAGTGATTTGCACAGGCCGGGGTTGAGACCATCAGCAGGAGGCCAATTATGGCCGCACCTTTGGCAATGAATCGAGCCATATTCTGGTGTACTGTCAGTGAAAATGATTCAACAGTGTGAATTGGAGTTCTTAAATGCTCACGTGGAATGTTAGAAAACTCCTAAGAAGGTAACGACTGATTAGGATGCAAGAAGCCCTTTGAGTGAATGTGTCGTCTAAAAAACTTTGTAACGAGGGGATAAAGCGTAGGATTCTACCGGACACAAAAGACTATTTCAACACACATATATATACCCAGTATATGAGTAGCTCACTTTGGGTACATTGTCTGGGACTTGGCGAGGCCCAGCCGTCTTCGCCTGCATGGCGTCTATGTTAGGCTTGTTGCTCCTTGGATGCCTTTTCATTTCCCACTGGCAAATGGTTTCAAAGTTTGGATACCAAGTTCATTAGATCAGGAACTAGCATCTCATTCCAAGCCCTCACCATCACAGAGACAAATTCCATTGGATATTGGTGCTTTGATGGATGAGATCGATACGATGGAGGCCATGCTTTGGAGGAAGGCAAAACATATTATGTACAGAGTACGGAGTCATGCACTAAAAGTAGTGCAAATACGCTAAGAGATAGCTTGCCCAGATAAAAAGATAAATTTGTCTTGCACTTATTGGTGTAGTGTCATTCCAAGCAATCCAGGGCTGAAGCCTACAATAAGCCTAAACCCCACAGGAAATACCCCACTCTGTCCCCTAAGCAACCACTATTCTAAGGCATATTAGCCCCAAAATCAAAGAGCTAGGGGCCAAGGGTCATCTAAAGCCCTACTGCTTAAGGCGGCAGCAGGCCCAAAGCTTATAGAGGAGGAGTCAAATGACATGATTATCAAGAGTGCACCTCTTGGCACATATATCCTTAGCGTATTTGCACTACTTTTGGTGCACGACTCCGTACTCCGTACATAATACTTCTGCCAAGATCGTGCTTGAGTCGCTTTTTCCAAAGACAGGGGAAAGGAGCAGTGAAGCGACGTAACTAGAGGTTATCGGTCCTCTCTCTACCGAGATGAGTGTCGGTTAGGGATCTGACCACCTAAATTGAAGGTTTGAACCAGGTCAGGATTGGGTAACTCTGATCTGTATTTCATATCCTGCAGGCCTTGAAAAAGCTTGGATTCCACCACTAACATTAAGGAAATGGTCCCTGGCGCTGAAAATTCAGCAAGTCTAAGGGGCGAGTGCGGCGAAATTCGTGATGAGATTAGCAATGGGAGGCCGTGGCTTGATGGTTGTGGGATCAGCTGATTGGTAGTCTAGGCGACTGAGGGGGACGGCGACCAGCCACAACTATCCTCTAACCTTCCAAACGAGCCAGTGATATCACTCCATCGATAGTGGGCTAATGTTGTCTGGCGCACAACAACGGTCTCGGTGCATTGTACGGAGTACTACTAGTAGTAGTCAGAAAAGCAAGAAGGCGCTCAACCTCTTATAGTGCACCATGTACTTACTACGTATGTACCTCGATATGTTAGTGCGGAGCGCGTAGTGGCAGCCTGACCACAACATTGCACATTCGCCAGCTCATGCTACCTTCTTCAGTAGCACGACTAGTACGGAGTAGCTCTGCTCACATCCCGAATGTGTGTTGACATGGGCACTGGGTCACAAAAGGTCACCCTAGCAGGATGGCCACGAGCATATGCTCACCGAAGCTCATTGCTGCCCAAAAGTCAGGCTGACAGTCGCATGTCGACCTTAATTTGAACGAGTTATGAAATATTCCGGTGTGATTGGCCTTTCATGCAAGCCGTTCTCGGCCACCAAGGCGTCCTGAATTTCTCTTCGGCGAACAAAAACCTTGAAAAAGGGGCTCTCATAGAAGGTGTGCGGGACCGACAAAGAATTACCTACACCAGATTGATCCAGATCTGGGGCCATCTTATTGCCTAGTACGGACTATTCCAGCTGAATTTGTTTGCACAGATGCTCCTTCCCTCAGAAAGTTCCACTTTTACTACGTCTACCATACACCCAGCGTGGATGAGAACCAAGTTGTTGCAGAGCAGATTTTGGGACGCCACCTTCAAACATCGCCTCCATACCTGATCTCCCAGGGGTTTTCTTCTGAGTTTGATCGTGTAAAGATGGATATGCACCAAACCCCATGGGCGCCAATAGCGGGGCCCGGCAATTACCAACAACAATATCGGCCTGCCGTCAGATACGATGCTGCTCCCCAATATGACGATGGAACAGCCAAACCACGAACGTCATACCAAATCTACCAAGAAAACGAGGGGTGTCAGAATTTTGACCGTGCAGATGCTGGTGTCCAAGATATTGTGCCATCTGAGAAACGTTACACGTTGACCTCCATTGGTTTAGGGAAAAGATTTACCCGCAATGCTTTGTCCTGGACATGCCTCCTATTAACGACAGTTCTCTTCTTAATAACCATATTATATGCTTGCCGACCAAAGTTTGCTGCAAGTTTGCAAACATTTCGCTCGTCCAGCAGTCGCACCATTTTTATTCTCCGGCTGTTATCCCAATTGACAGAATTTTTGCTTGCGGTTTCTTTGAGTAGTGCGTTCGAGAAAATACAGTGGTACATCGTTTGGCCGGGAGGAAGAGGAGCTCCGTTCGCGACGGTATCTGCACTGGTTCCAGGTACGGGAGTGTGGGGACTTTTCCAGATCGCTTTCAGCAAATTGGGCACACACTTCTCGGCCCGCTGCTGGAGCATTGTACGTCTCCTCTCGCTTGCTGTAATCTTTGCTCTTGGTGTGCTTATTATGGGTAAGTGGGCTTGGAGACCTAGCCGTTGAGGATTTTACACTGAACATAAACTAGGCGATGTACGAACAGACGTCGGCTTCCAGATTGTGGCTCCCTCCTCCGAACCCCGATCTTATGGCTTCCAGAACTTCAACTCATCAGCTGCTTCCCTGCTTGCATTCTCTGCTGATCAGGTGTTTGGCGTGAGCATGGATGAGTTTTTGGTTAATCCGAGATTTGTTGTTGACATCACACCGGTCGATCGAGGTAACCAATCTTGTTCAACGGGATATGATATCAATAAAGGTCAGGCCTGCACTCGCAACATATTCCTCCCCACCAGTGCAGGTTCAGCCCTAGATGAGACGCACCCTGAAGCCGATCTTGTTGTTGTTCAGGACGCTATCGGCTATCAATTGGAATTCACTTCACTGGATGAAGCCTTCCAATTTGATTCGGCGGCCCATTGCCACATCTACGGTACCGATTTTACTGCGTTTCAGTTGTGCTTAAGATCTGCCTATGATGCGAGGATTGCGGCAAGTAAGTCCACCTCAATGCATTTGTGGCCTGACTCACAAGCAGTAGGACTGAACTATTGCGCCATATTTGACGGCCGTAATGGCAGTTGCTTGTCTTCCACTGAGTGGGCAGAGGCTCCAGGATGGCGGACCTTGATGGAAGCTACGCTGCGGAAAGCTGATGTCGCTTACAGCCGACGTAACAACACTATCGTCGCTCATTTTTTCAAATCGGACAAGAACCCGGCAGCTGTTGAAGCAGGAGATCTGCTCCAGGCTTACAATCTCCTCATCGATTCAAAGCCCCCACAGGTCTCCTCGGGGTCTGATACTCTGAACGATATAATCGAGTCCGTCTTTTCTGGCGGTGACCTTGACAACATCAGCGATACACTGGCGTCTCTGGTCACGGTTAACAAGCTTTCCGTCTCAATCCCGTCGGCTTTTCACGTCCTGGATCTCATTTACTTGAGCAGCTCGCGTCGTGCATTCAGGGGCAGTGAGATACTTCAGAATCTCTTGGCCATCCCGCTGTGGTACTGCTCACAGAGCAGTGCCAGCAACGTTGTTTTGTCAGAAGCCGACCCCACCACGTCATTTCAGACCTTCACCGACAACACACGGCAGGGGCCCGAGGTTTTCCTCGCCAGGTCTGAATATAATCTCACTGTGGGCAGATGGACTGTCATGGCTTATGCTGTACTTGGAGGTGTTGCTATCGTCTTCTGCTTTGTTGCTTTGACGCTTGCGACCTTCCATCCGAGGGCGGCCAGCTTGCCAGACGTCACCTTCTTTCCTCTTTTCAACTTTTGGAAATGGACTGCAGTGAAGGGCGACGTTGATCCTCGTGCTTCTGATCGTTGGTCAAGGGAACAGAGGGTGTTTTGTACGAGTGGTGTTTGAGATTGTGATAGTGTTCAGCGATTATCTACGAAGTCATTTCATGTATCTATTTTGGCCGCCCCAGTAGGAAAACAACCTTTCGTGAGGGTCAAAATTATTTCCCAGACAGAAAAGGTGCCTCTTATCAATCGCTTGTATGTACCTATTTAGTACCTTGGTGGAGAGTAGTTGAAAATAAGCCATATTGAGTCTACTATGGGCTGTGGAACCACCTGGTGCCATTCTTGGCAAATACATGGATAGATATCCAAAACGAGTGAGAATTATACCGAGCAATTATGCAATGCTTGTCTCCCGCTTATTTTATCACTTCGAGCTGTTTACAAACAACTTGAGCTGCAAATCTTTTCACAAAGGCAAGAGCTATCGGCCAATCCGAGCCTAAGTAGCTACATAGTCAGTAGTTCCTCGCACCGCACCGAGCACAAGCTACTAATTTAGGATCAGCAGTTAGTCCGGAGGTCCTCGATGTCTCCGTGCTTCTCCAACAGGGCCCTCGGACTAACGCTACATGTCAAGCATACCTAAGTAGTTCTTCTACTACTTTCCTTACCTGGGTAAGCGTAGAACAGAATGCTCTGCAGATAGGTGGTGTTATGACCGCCAAGCATGGTGCACGTTATGAGGGCCAGGAGGACTCTAGTGGATTCTACATCATTCCCTTATCCAGCAGCTCCCCTGTTTGACAGCTGCCTTGTTTGACAAGCTATTAAGAAGGTTCTACGTTCTTCTATGAGCATAAAGGCCTCTTGGTATTTAGATCTTTCTTCTCGCTAGATAGATTCTAGTTCCTTGCGCTCAATAAGTCATTCTATCCACCTCCTACTGTTCTATTGCCCTTGCACTCCCCTGGGATCCTAACAGTATCACAGACCCAAGTATACATATAATAAATATATGTACTGTCGTATCCATATGAAACCTAGTCACTCATCCCTGCGCTCCAACGTGCGATCGTGATTACTATTAGCAGGAAGAACACAGCCATAAGAAAAGGTACAAGGAAACGAAGGAGACGCCGCGAAAAGGATGCAGGCGTGTGTACTACGTACGTATTGTGTAGACATGCATCAAACGCTGCAACCAAAGCAAAACATCCTTTTTTTTCCTTTCGCCACGAGTAGTTATGCATACATATCTCATCCTGGAGTAATTAAGTCATGCTGATCCGTCAGTCAGTCAGCCATCCATTGCTCCCTCGTCCCTTCACCCTCTCTTCCTTCTCTCCCTTTACCCTCCCGGCCCACTGCCCCCCGAAAAATTCCATCCCATCCCATCCCATCTCAAATCCCCAACAAACTAACATGCCCATCCCCCAACCCAGCGGTGGCAAGAACCATCCGATGGGGATGATAAGCCGTCGCCACGACGGGCGCGGCCCTGCTTCCAGAACCAGCACCACCCATTCCAGCTGCGACGCCACTCCCGACCCCGACCACGCCTCTGCCCCACCCACCACCACCCGCGCCCGCGATGCCAACATCATAATGGCCGAGGAACTGGCCGCTCATGTTGAAACTGCGGACCTCGTGCCGATCGGTGCCGACGGCGAAGACGGGGGCGTGTTCATGCACGCTGAGGGTGCGGAGGGTCATGGGTTTGAGTTTCGTACTCGCGCTCGGGCCGGCGCCAGCACTTCCACTCCCACCTCCAGCACCGACTTCGCCAGGCGTGAAAGTTGCGGCAGGATTGCTAGGCTTGACGACATCATAGGCAGCGATACTGGCCTCGTTCCGGAGATCCCAGAGCCGGACCTCCCCGTTCCTGCTCGCACTGACCAACTCTCGAACTCCACCCCTCTGCATGTGCACGCCAACGACCCACTGGGTATGCTCCCTCCACACCCTGACGCAGGCGCTGCGAACATTCAATCTCTGATCAAACACCCTGACCGCGCCGTCGCCAAAACCCGCAACGAAGATCTGGCCTGCGACCTGATCGCCCGTCAAGTTGGTCACGCAGCTACTGCTTCGTGCCGGGATGTCGGCGGTGCAGACTTCCGTCGCTGCGTTCCACACCTTGATCACCTTTACGTCGCCCGCCACTAATGCTTTGCCTTGGCCTTGCTGCCAGTCAAACACTAACCCGGCGTTACGGTTCGAGGGAATGAGTTCGGTGAGGCCGCGGAATGCTGTCACTAGTTCTATGTTTTGAGGCGATTCATAGTTCCGGAAGAGACGGAGGATGCCGTCGGAGGAGCCGGTCATCAACAGGGCTTGGTCATCTTCGTTGATGAAGCGGAGCTCGTTGATGCGGGTCCCGGGGAGGGGGTTGCCGTTTGAGAAGCGATTGAGGCGGTGGGAGGTGGTGAAGTCCCATATACTAGCAGATCATTTAAGTTAGCGGAAGTTGGATCTGAAGAACTAATTTACGGGAAATGGGTATGGGAGTGACAGCAGACCAGATACCATCCCTCTCATCCGCAACCGCTAGATGATCCTCGAACTGATGAAATCTGAGCCGCATCGGCTGGCTCTGATTATTCAGTAACGCCTCCAACCTCTCCCATCTACTCGTTCCGGCCTTCTCCTTCAGGGGCTGGTTCTCGGCAATGATCCTCTCATTACGGGTCCGTCTCCACAATCGGGAATTGTAGTCCGCAGACCCCGGTTCATCGGGTTCGTTGGGCTTCATCTGCGGTTCGCGAAAATACTGTGGGTCACGCTGAGTAAGCACATCTTCTTCCAGCAAGGGCTCCTCATCGAGGAGATTCTCAAATTGGGTGTCAAAAGCGAAGGTGATCATTACCTCGGTGGACCAGTCCAGCAACGTGCTTTTGAGCGGGATGCTCGGGCTTCGGGGACTAGCGGCTGGGTTGTAGCCGGCTGCCTTCGGGACAACAGCTTTTTGGTAGGCACTTAGGGAAATTGCTGGGTCGTTCATCTCGGGCGGTCGACTCCATTCAACAGGTTGGCGAGCGCGTGGGGTGTTGAGTGGCTTGGGAGGATGTTGAGGCTTCTGTGCTGGGGTTGGGGGAACATTCGACCTCTTCGCGTCAGAGGCATCGTGGGCGTGATGGGATCCTCCAAATGCCAGATACTTAATCGATGCCGCAACACTTGCAGTTCGGCGTAGACTGAGTGAAAAGTAGCCTTCATTCTTCTTGGGCGCCTCTGCGGTTGGTGTGGGAGGAACAGTCTGCAAAACAGGAGTCAACGGTTCATCAGGGACCTTCTTACCCACCATGGACTTGGACAAGCGAAGAATATCAGCCATAGCTGATCGCGCCATCGAACCCATCGGCGAGCGAATTAACGTTTCATGAACGTAATCGATGATGAGTGAGGCGTTCCGAGCAATTTCAGGATGCGGATCCATTGATAACATCAGAATGTTCTTCCAAATTGAACCATAAATGGTTTCATGAGAGAGGGATTGAAGTTGTGGTGATTGGCGCGATTCAGGGTCGGATTTCTCCAGCAGAATTTCTTTCTCTTCAAGGAGATGTTCATACGCTGTGACTGTAAATTTGTTCTCGTATCTCTTTATGAAATAGGAAAAGAAGATCAGAAGTTCTTTTCTTACAAGAACACTTCCATCAGACGCCATGAACAAAACAGAACTCGCAATCCCTCCCTCAATCTGCGCGACCTGATCGGTCAAATCGGGTATACCAAGAAAACTCGTCAGAGCGTGGAGCATGGAAGCTCGCACTTCCGGCACAGGATCAAGTGATAGGTCGCAGAGTCTGAGGTGTGCAGAACATCGAATACCCATCCATTTGGCATCGGAGTAATTGTACCATAGCATGCTGAGACAAAGGCAGGACCACTGCCTGAGCAACGGATTCTCGCCATCGTTAACATTTCTCAAGCAAGCATCGAACACATTGATCGTGTTTGGACCATGCGGTGCAAGGCACATTGTCTGACCTTGAGGATAATTCTTGCAAAATATTGCTATAATAAATGCACACATAGCCCTGTGCTCACTAGCGTTGCCGATAGGTATTTGGGAGTTAGGATCCAGGATAGAAATGAAATACTGTATACCATTGTCCTTCAATAGGTCGCTTTGCACGGTGTAATCCACCGCCATAATTCGAGCCCAGATAAACACCATGACTGGTTTGAGTTCAGCGGCAGCAGATTGAAGAAGCTTGACCACGTAGGGAAAGATCCCAATGCTCAGGGCAAGATGCACAGCCCAGGGGCCCAGGTCGAGAAATCTGCTGAGGAGAACCAAAGCTCGTAACCGATGAGCTTGGCTCAGGAGGACTTGTAAAACAATTGGTAATTGATCTGGAGCATGATTCTCTGTTGGTCCTGAAGACAAATAGACCTCGAATGCTTGTAATTGTTCGGCAAAAAAGTTAGAATTCTGATACTCGTACGGTCGTACACCTTCTTCTTCAGGCTCCAACAATGCCGGAAGCTGGGAAAGAACCATGTCAATTGCCAAGTCCCAGCTTTGCCATAGTGGATGATGATGCGTTTCTGGGAGTGCAGGAGAGGATAGAGGGTGGCAATGGTTTGCTCTCATGATTCGTTCACTTAGTAAAAAATTTCGGAACAGAGCGGCCACCATGAGATCTTGGCGGAAGAGTTTCTTGAAAAGTGGTCGAGGCAGTATGTTCCAGGCGATCGTGTCTGTTATGGCAGTGAATATCCAATTCAGCTCCCCGAGTGGACTTCTTCGATCCTGCAAGCGTCCGGGAACGGGGATCTTCCCATCATCGATCTTGATAGGGGAAGGAAGCGGATTCTGCAGGGCAAAGAACCTAAGAGCAATATCTATCGGTGTAGTTAAGCAACAAGTGAACAAATCAGCAGGGAGGCTTGGATTGGTAGGTAGAGTTTCATTTCTTCCGCACGCTGCGAGCTGTATGCAGTCACTATAGCTTTGAACCTGTGCATTCGGATCTCGTCTGAGGAGTTCAGCGTTTTCTTTCTCGTGCTTTTCGACAAAGGCAGGAAAGTTGTGGATTATGTTCCCGGCATGTGAGACGTCATAGACAAAAAGACTTGGGCCTGCAAGCCAAGCTTGGAGGTCGTAGAGTGACACCGGAATGTATTGGGTATAATTCTTGTTGAAGACCCAGAGCTCTCCTGAAGCGGTGGGGAGTGGAACACCATGACCGTTGTAGTGAAACAGTACCCTTTCGTCTTTGGCATTTCGGCGTGAGGAGATGCAAAACCGTTTCGTCTCTTCCACGGACGGGTCAAGATATTGCTTGTATCGAGTTCGAAGACTAAGCGTCTCATACTGCTCTTGAAGCTTCTTGCCGATCTGTTCCATTGTCTTCGTCTGTCCTCCTGTGGTTGCTGTAGGATCTACCCATGATTCCAGCTTGGCAGTTGGGTTTGTCTTGACCACGTCTGGGGGATCAACACCTAAGTTAAGGCAGATTGCAAGTGCTGCAGACACCGTCTTTAAGCGATCTTTCATGCGCCAGTCTGAGTTAGGGCCGGAGCCTGCCTTGGGCAGTCCGCTTGTGTCGTGTCGTTTATCGGTATAGTACATGTAGAAAGTCTGCTCTGTCAGTAGAATCCATTATTCGGAACATGTGGGAGCTTACAGAATTCAAAAGCGCAAGATATTCGTTGGAAGTGTACTCATCCTCCCAACCATGCCTCATTCTCCACAAGTCTTCTTCAACCACCGCAGCATTCATTTCACCACGATGTCTGGGGCCAAAGTCACTTCTAGCGCGTTGCAAAGCCTGTGGACGTCCGGCTGTGGATATGTGTAAAGCCTGAGCCGGCTCCCCGGCATCTTGAGACACTCCATTCTGACGATCTCCATAGACATCTCTTCTGTAGACGAGTTGAAAGTCCCCGTTCTCACCTGAAGTCGATTGGTGAACGTAACCATTTGTCTGGCGATCCCCGCCGTTTGTGTCCAGCCCCAGCGCAACTCGAGTTTGTCTGCCGTGTGGAGGTTTGACTCGCAGGTCGTTCGCAGAGCGCTGCTCGATTAAGGTGGGGTCCCGCATGATCGAAGGTCACAAAGGGGTATTTATTACTGCCTCGGTGCCATAGATGGGTTTGCGCTCGGCTCCTAAGTACCTTTTGCCTCTCTGTCGCATGTGCAGCTGAAAGAGAGAAGGGAGTGGAAGCCGAAGCGGGGCTAAGATGTCCAAGATCTGTGGGATTCCCTTCAACAGTATGGCTCTCCTCAAGATTCTCGATTACAGTACTAGTATCTCCAAGAAGGGGATCATCCTTCGCTCAAAGGCGCGCAGAGAGTGTCGAGAGGACCGCAGGGATCAGGCTTATATGTGTGGAGAAGCTCCAACTCCGATTTGGAGAATCTGGGAAGCCATCTAAAGAGCCAAGATCTTCTTCTTGGCGTATCAAGATAACTTGAAGTACAATCTATATCGCGTTAGGCGCTTTTAACGTCACCTCACCCTTTCCTCACCCCGATCTCATCTCGGTCTCACCGTCGCCAGATGAGCGTGTCCCACTAGTGTCACACGATGGCTTATCCTGTCCACTTCGATGCGGCACGACCTCCACCGTCGTCTTTCATGTCCCTTACTGATACATGCATGCTGGGCCAACTGATGCAAATATTATACAATCAGCAAATCTACACCCAGTCGACTCGACAGAGTCTGTCTTTCGTTGATGGTGACCCTGATCTCAAAAATGCGTTCGTGTTAGAGATATGGAATGGTGGATAATAAGACGGTTTCAGAATAGGTCATCGCAACATAATCACTTATTCTTTCTCTTCTTCTACTGATCGTTATAGCCTCACTATCGATCAAACCACACTCATCAGCCTTGATCCTGTGCAATCATCCTTCCAAATGCAATAAGATGGGTAGACGACCGTGCGCGCACATACTGGCCCTTAGCCCAACTACCTGGCCCTGTCAATTGTAGTACCTTCTTGCTCTCCCTGTAACTACCACAGAGTCGTTTGCACCCATGACATCCTTGCTCAGCTCTCTTGTTAATCTTATTCAACCTCAACGTACTGACACGAATGTTCGGATCTGAATGATACCCGTTGCTGTACATTCTTCTCCGCAACAGTGTCTTGTCATGGGACTTATCGCTAACTCTCGGCTTGGGGTTCCTTAGACGTAGATTGTTCTTTGAGCTTACACAATAAGGTTCTGAGAGCATTGGTAGCGTGGCTCCTGTCGAAGTCTTTTTCTCTTGCTAGGAACTTGGGGATCTCGGTCACACGGGGTTCTATGGTGCTGAGGAACTATTGGTAGTTTCCTGTTGTTACATAACATTCGTACAGGTCCCTGACTAGGGTGTCAAATGGAACAAGAATAACTGCATGCAGGGGACCACAAAGCGGTTGATATCCTTGTAGTTAAGACTGTCCTGGAGGAGGTCTAGAAGATATGGGAGTTCTCTATAGTCAACAAGCTTATCGCATCGCAAGCGAACTGCAAAGTCCATTAGATACAGTGCGATTTCGGTGTTTCCATACCCCTCGGGTGCTGACAATGCCTCAGCCTGCTAATCAGCTCTTCTGTTTGATTGTCAAAATTTCTGGTTATTCTAACATACAGCCCCGCGCGAAAGTATCCGGCCAAAACGCGTCATTTTTGAACACGCGTTTTTTTACACCCTTTTTCAAACAACTACCATGGCTCAACGCAAGGCTTTGGCGCCTCTTGAAATCAATAGAAGCTATGGCAAAGAGCTATCTCCATACCAACGAGGTCAAATTTCGGCGTACAAAGCCCTAGGGCTCACAAGTCGAGAGATTGGCCAAAATCTGCATTGCGGCAAATCCACTGTTTCTGATACCATTGTTCAAAATCCACTACGCAACAACAACAAAAGCTTGCCTCGTTCAGGACGTCCTCAGGCCTTAAATAGGGTCCAAAAACGCAACATTTTACGCATTATTCGTATCAATCTGAAGATTACTTATCAAGCACTTCAGTCCGAAGTTGGTACTAGTGTTCATCGAAGGACTATTTATCAAATACTCAAAAACGAAGGCATTACTAATTAGATAGCCAAAAAAAGACCTTTATTGACTCTGCAATTGGCTGCTAAACGACTTATATAGTGTAAAGAACAACGAAATTAGATGTGGGCTGAGTGAAGCAAGATCATATTCAGTGATGAATGTTCGCTTGAAAGAGGCAGTGGGGCGCGTCGAACATGGGCCTTTCGTACACCACAACAACGTTAGGATTCTGATATGATTGATACATATAAGAAGGGCAAAGACATCAGTGTTATGATATGGGGTGCAATTTATGGAGAAGGTCGTTCAGATATTGTGTTATTACAGCGTGATCCTGATTCAGAGAAGTCAGGATACACTGCCAACTCTTATCTGGCAGTGCTTCGTGAGCAGATGCCTCGAATATACGAACCAGGTCGCAAATTCATGCAAGATAACGCCCGAATCCATACTGCGAAAAAGATTATCAATTGGCTTCAAGAGGAGGGTATAGAGTTGATAAAATGGCCAGCCTATAGTCCTGATCTCAACCTAATTGAACACGTCTAGGCGTAACTCAAGCAATGGATTAATGATCACTACCCAGAGCTAATTAATATGGGCAAATCAGAGCAGGATTATCAACGATTGTTTAGAGCTATTTATGAGGGTTGGGATGCTATAAGAGAAGAAGCTATAACCAATCTCATCAAGAGCATGGATAGTAGGGTGAATGCGGTCATTGCGGCCAAAGGATGGTACACCAGATTCTGAATATCAACTGCCTATTCAGGAAATTAGCCCAGCCTCAATCACTGGATGTTTCTGAACATTTTGAGCTATTTTTCATTAGAATCCAAAGAGTTCATAACTTACTATAGTGATTTGTATGAAGAGAGTCGATAATGTTGGTGGGGTACGAAAGTGGGGTTGGCCGGATACTTTTTTCCTAGTACTGTACATCTCGGAATCTTCGTCCTCCGAAACATTTTTTTACCTGATGTAGGTTTCTTGTCCTCGCTCAGGAGTCCAGCTTGGGCGTCTCTTGGTGTTTATCTCTTCGAGCTGTTATAAAGACTTTTTGATCCTCCAAGTCAGATGACGATGCACCTGTGCCGATACTTACGGGTAAGAGAGTATATTTTTAAAATCACTTCCTTTCTGATATGACAGAATCCGTGTTTCCAACTCTGTTGGGAATGAAACGAGCATCGTGTGCGTGCGCTCGATACTATTTCCATCATTTGAGTCTGGACAGGGACAAATGCAAAGCGATGAGGATTTCGGCATCGACACATGGCGTTGATTCCAAGATTCTGATAATTACCACCATTCCGTATAAGCTGAATCGATAGATTGTCATGGAGTTTTGGTAGCCGTCCGACGCCCTACACTTCTCAATACGATATAGCCCCCGTCCCAAGGTGCGACGTCAACGATCTGGACTCGAACATGCTTCATAGCACGTGCTCTTTGCAAGCCATCCATTTTATCACTTCCTGGTATCTGCTCAAAGTTTGGGTTGTCCCGAGTCATGCTGCTGACGAATCCTAGGATATCCGGGCTATGATACACGTACTTGAAGACCATGCCAGCTATACTGCAGAAGAGTAAAACGAAGCTCACAATGATAGTAACGGACACCCAAGCCCTACCAGCAACATAAATCCCAGTTGTTGATGTTGTTATAGCGGTGGTAGTAGCGACAGGGTAGCCCACACCATCTCGATAATAGGTAGAGTTGATACCGAAGGGAGGAATACTCACATCAAGGGCTGTCAAGTTCTCGGATGGTGCCCTAACAGTTGCTGATCCTTGATAGGAAAGCTGCCAGCCGGTGTTCACTAAGCTCTGAAGCCGTCTACCCATTTGTTCTCCTGTAATATTGTGATAGCTAATGGGCTGCATATTGTCGAAAGGATTTTTTGAACCAGATATATAAAAGTCGATTGCAGAAGTCCGGGCACTCCCTCCGTGTATTGAAGTAGCGGTATTCATCCAATCCAGCAACAATTGGTCCTCAGCAACCGATTGTACTGGCCACGGCCAGCCACTATAATTTGGAACAGCTCGGCGTGATGGGCGAAGTCGCTGGACTCGACAGCTTCTACCGACGCACTGGAGGTCGTTCTCAACATAGGTGACCCCGACAGTACAATTGTAGGCAGCAATGGCCCGAGTGTATTCGCCGATTATTGCATTGGTTGAAGCATAAATGTAGTTGTACCGGGTTTCAGAATCCGTTCTTTGGGAATGGTTGTAATTTGTGTCTATCATATAGGTGTTCGCGATATCATGATTGGCGTAGCCGGGTATAGGTTGAAAGAGAAGCGAAGCATTGTTCTCGCGATATATGAATGGAGCACCATATTCGGTGAAGCCTGAGAATTCCATGGAGATACTATTGTTAAACAGTATTGGACCAGTGCAGGTGAGATTGAAATAGGATGACTCGATTGTAAACCTCGAATCCGTATCATCCTTCAAGCCACTGATCACCAGACCAGTCAGTGCGGAATACGGTTCTTTGTAGTTATCTTCGTCGAATTCAAGCCAACCGTCATCTGCGTGTTGATGATGGGCCATATACTGTAACACAGGTATTTTGACATTTCCCCAAATATCGCTGCCTTTGACTCTTTCAAGGGAGGTTAACGCCGCCTGAAAAACAGCGCTGACACCGCCTTTGTAATCCTCATAGGCGCTCGCACCTTGAAATGCGACGCTGCCTTCTTCACTGGTATTATTGAAGTAGTATAATGTCGCCTCACCAGTAGTCGTTGATGTGCCTTTGCTCAGCACACGTAGACTAGACTGCCCTCCTATTGGGGAGAGCAGCCAAAGAAGCACGATTCCCGTGCTTAGTAGTCCAAGACCTGGAATCAATATCGCCCGTTCGAAAGCAGCTAACAGGTTTTGCGAGCCATTCAATTGTTCTAGTATACCCAGTTCTTCTCCCTTTTCAGCACGCCATAGGGCGTATGTCCTCATCAAGCGACCGCAGACCGCTGCGAATATAATCGGGTAAAGTGTCGGTCCAAACTCGGCCGCTCGCTCAACTAATTGACCCTGCGGCGAGGTTAAAGGCTGGTTATCGACTGCCAGCGCTCTGAAGGCAAGAACCAAGAACAGGCATGGGCAGAGAGTGAGGAGGACGTCGCCAATGAACACAATTGTGCCGAAACTCAACGGATTGCGCCAAAATTTGGAATGAGCTAGACGACACGGTTGTCCAACAGGCTGGCTGCTGACTACATCGGGACTGGAACTGGAATAGGTTCTCTTGTTTCCTTCGCATGTGGCGGAAAACGATGTCCTGCTCGTCAAGGGCTGCAAGGAGACATTATCAGATACAGAGTGGGCCATGTCAATCTCAGATACCGCTGTTGTTGAAGATCGCTTCTAGCCCAGCGAACGGTCAAGCTGCGAATCTGCGACCTCTATATACTGATGCCTGCCATACGGCGATGTATGTCTCGTGAAAGTTTGTCTCTGCAACTGTGTTCGAAGCTCATGAGTTTGCGTGTAGAAGACGGAGGTAGATGAGTGAGAGCGAGAGATTGCGTAAATTCTGCAGAAGCCATGATCAGGCTAATATATGATTCTAATATGTGTACCGTTCATTTCTGATCCAGAATCAGCCTCGCGGAAGGGGCTATTTGATCTATTCCAAGTGTGTTTGCAAGGCGCATTAGTAGCTTTCATTTTCGACGACTCCACTGGCTCAAAGACCAGCGCCATAGTGTACTTGGGTATTGCTGTGCAGAAGATTCGGCCTTCTGTTTCACGTAGTTGTACAGAGTACAGTTGAACTTGGTAGCTTCTAGTGTGCTTGGCAACCTTCCTTACCGGGCACTCTCTTAAGGGACCTGCTGCCCTGTAGCGCAGGAGTATCAAAGCTGACTGAATTATCGATTGCTCCCCATCTCGTAACATTGTTAAGTGCGCTCATGTTGGAGCTCTGCCTTCGTGGTAAGTTTAGCAAAACTCAGGAATCTGCCTCGCAGACACTTTGGCGTACCAATACCGAATGCGACGAGAGCCCTTCGACATCCACGCCGATTTTCATCCACAAGGCGCAATTCTCACAGCTTACTAGAGGCCAAGCGTTGTCGACGCGGTGCAATACGTTGTGCATCCCACAAGTCATGCCATCTTGAGATTTTGTCACACTTTGACACCTTGTCAAAGAATTCGCCCTTCACGACCGATGTGAGACCCACATTTCAGAGCCGGCAGATGAGTCGCTGGTCCATATGATATTTATATCTCGAATCAGGCCCAGAGCTGGCCTCACAGGGTTCCCCACCTCGGCCGGTTACCAAGCTCGTACTTGAGATCAGGATGGAGCAATCGAAGCCGAACTGTGTGGCGAGGGTAACTGCCTGACACAGGTTCACTTGCTTGTCGTAATATTCTCAGGCGCGTCTCAGTACATGGGGACTTTTCTCTTCTCGTTGGGCGCAGATATGATGCAGCTTGAGGTAGTCGCCACCACGAACATAGTTGCAAGACATGGATCTATCGCACAGACTGTTTCAACCATTCGATGCACAGCCTGTCACACTGTTGCAAGCCTGCAGCAAACACATCAATCCTACAACTTTTTTTCCTGTACAGCCTCACCAGCCACCAGCAACTTGAGCCGGGATTACCTTCTTAGCTGCGGGTAACGTACAGAGACCGTGCACACTGTCCTCGCTACGGAGGAGTAGCTCGGTTGTTACGTCATTCGCCTGGCGTCTGTTAGTCTACTGCAGCAGGATTTCTACATCGACTGTCGCCTTGATATGGTTTACCGGATTATCCTGCTCGCACTGGGTACAAAAAATCTTGACGAGGCGATCAACATTCACTAAGCGGCCTTCGGACATTGCTGGCATCTGGGTGCTTCAAAGACGTACCCGAGACTCCAACAAGAGCTTTTTGTTTCAGTGATTGAAGGTGGTGACTGCGAAATAGGTATTTGGTCGGAACCAAATCCTTGGCGTTCTTATTGGTGGCTCACCCTGAGGTTATCCCTATTTACTTATTAGCTGTGTACTTTCCGCGGGTTCTGGAGGCCGAATAGAGGCCCTAGGCGCACTAGATGTACTTACTTAGGAGCGTATATGCCCTATAATTTACCTTTCCCACAATTTTAGATGGCTATAAGTTCCTGGGCAGTTAGTGTGCCCAGGAACAATCCGTAAAGTGGTAGTAGGTGCTCTGTGGAGTGGAGATTTTGGGGTGATCTTCGGGTGAGGGCTCACCCACATGACGAGGAACCGGGGGTGAGGTCAATACAGCCCATTTTCGCCATCTTAGCAGCCATAACACCAGCGGAGAATGATTGCTTCTTCAGGCTAAAAAGGCTGGAAACTTCGGCATGTCTATTAGGTGACGACAAGAAGAACAGTCCGAGCTGCCGCCGCTGTTGGAACCAGCAGAGAGGCTGCAGCAGACTTAGGGAAAGGGAGCATCTGGCAAGCGTGAAACTTGACTACTGGCATCATCTAAGCAGTCATCCTATTTTTTAACACACTTTAGTTCAAGACTGCTGTGTCGACTGCCACAGGCTCATTCTAACAGTTTCTTGTCATGCTCTAGACAGTGACACCCAGTGCCTTCTCCATCCCCGCCAAACGCAACCGAGTCCTTTCGTTGTTCCTCGCGAGACAGCGTGAATGTGGCGGAGGCACAATAGAGGGCTGTTCAAGATCTGTGGCAAGAGTGTGTGTAGCTTCTCTAAAGATAGCTACTAAGCAGATCTATCTACGAATGTGGTGCCAAGGCTGCTAGCTATTGGCTAGGTAAAAACGATAGCGACTGTGCCGTAACACTGTCCCCTGGACACGGGAGGATTCAAATGGCTGTCACCCCCCACCGACAATCTATTCAACGAGAACCAGGCCAAGACAGTGCTTTGTGAGGTGCCCTCCTTCTCAGCGGTGGTGGGCCACGGCCAGAGCGGCGACATCACGCACGACTACGGCGCGGGCCGCTGGCGCTCACTGGTCCTCACTCTTGGCATCCTGTCCGGACTTTCCACCATCGGCGGGCTAGGGTTCTTGAGGGGAAATAAAGGTAAAGTGAAGCTCGAGGTGGTCGATTTGACGGATTGAAACGTGGCCGAGTGCTCAAAGCACAACTTGAGAGTTTTGATGTCTAAGCCGCTCAGGTTGGAGATGCTTTGGAATTTCTGCAAGGGGCCCGCTCAATACGACGAGCTGGGCGGGATCTTTTGACATTTCTTGCCAGATTCAAGCTCTAGAGACATTTCCCCCCCCAAAAGTTTAAGCTATACCCACTGATCATAGAAACATCGGAAATGAAAAGCCTATCCAATCCTCTCCTACAACACATATCTGGTGCAAGGAAACCCCCGACTCGATTCTAGAACCACTATTACTTTATTATAAACCACCTTCTCGGTTTCGACTAAATATAGTATGCCTGTACCCTCTCTCTAACGTAGAAGCCATATCTCCCACAACCAAATCCGAAGATATGTGGGGGGGGGACTTATCATTCTCATTGATACTATATTTGTTAACCAGTAACATGCCAAAAAAGAGCGACGCGAAATTGTGGCCCTTTAGCTCCGGCCCTTGGCTACTGCCTCAAGTCCCCTTCCCTAAAACATCAGGTCAGTGACAACAAATATGAAAACTCTAGCACGGCTACAGGGGCCCTAGATCAGGCTCCTCGCCGAAGCTCAGGGAGTGTTGCTCAGGAGCGCGCTTAGTGAGACCCGGCCAAGGCTCACCTCAAGATTAGGGGTGAATGCGGCGTTCGCTCATCCCTCAAGAATGAAGCCTGATCTATTCCGAAAAGAAAAAGACCTCGTGAGACTAACTCTCGGTATTATGCAAAGACGTCCGTCCAGGAAGGGTTGACGGTGCCTGTAGAATCGTACCTGAACGCATACCACAGCACACACAGCCCCAAATTAGACATAAAGAAGCAAAATGATATCCAGGCTCGTGCCTCTTCGCCTTGGCTCGCATCCCTTCCACCCGGGTCAAGGAGTAAGGCCCTTGCAATAGTTGGCCAGCGCTTACAAATGGGATGTAGAATCCACCAACACATAAAAAGGAAAGCAAACAAATGTAACCAAATAACGACATATTGGTTCATGCTATCAAAATATAGTGGAAGACGGGTTTTCCGATTGGGGGGCTTCTCTTCCGGCAAGAAGAGCAACACGTAATAACCCTTGAGTAGCCAGATCAGAGCACGTTTCATGCTGTCCCCTTTGGGGAGACTGCCAGTGATACAGCCTCTGAGAAGGTACCACCACACAGTCACCGAGAAGAGGGTCACGAGCAGACCTAAGGCCACTTTTACGATTAGACAGAGGTCGTGGAGGTATGGATTCGCCGTTACCCCCCGTAGCATCGCCATTGTCCATGCTATGAGGCCAGCGTGTGCGAGAAGACCAAGTCTAAAGAAGAAAAGGTCGAGGAACTCCACGGTGCGGGACAGTCGCGCGGCCTTAGCGCGAAGGACTTGGCCCCGCTGGTCTCCTTTTTCGTGCTCGATTGAGCGGAGGTCTGGACTGGCCGATATTGACGTCTTGTCCGCTGGATCGCTTGTTCGAGAAAGCAAAGTCACCAGCTCTATAGCTATAAAGGATGTTACAAACATCATTCCCCATGTCTTCGTCCAGGGGACTCCACTGAGAGAGGCAAGCTTGATGGCGGCTGGAAGAGTGCTCATAATGAAGAAAAATATTCGCGGCCACGTGTGGCTCTGGAACCCTGCCGATGGCCTCGATTCAATTCCTACTCCTTCCCTTGCGTCGTCGGATCTTGCTAGCACAACCAGCTGACTCGCTTTCTTGGGGCCGATACCCATGTAGTACATGGCCGCAGCAAGGTGGGCCAACATCGAAACTGCATCAGCGACACAGAGAATGGGAGAGCTAGCTAGATAGACGCGATAGCGACCTGGGCGACCACATATTTTGCCCGCAGGCTGGGCCATAGAACTGATGGCGAGAGCCATCAGGACCCAGAACACAACGTGCCATGTCGCTGGGGAGGGTTGGGAGGGTGGTGGTACTGGCATGGATGAGTTTGGGAATCCGCCCAAGACCAAGATTTCAGCTGAGTGGTTTTAGATCACGAAATGTAGATGGACATGGGGAGTGGTCCCGCCGGATGCTCAGCACATATCGACATGAGCGGCAGCTATAGACTGAAATCGGTAGCAAGGGAAATATTGCAAGAAAAAGGTCCTCGGTGATTGAGGTTGATGGCAGTAGAAACAGCGTGTGCGGCTGTGCAGCTAAGACCCACAAGTCGAGTATATCATCATCCGAAGCACAGAGCAGTCTGGACGCATATTAGCATATTTGCCACCCACTTACCACGTAGGACAAATGGTGCTGCCTGGTCCTGCGCCATTCGAAGACGTCGTGAGTGCTAATTGGAAAATGCCTCGCGAGCTGCATGCAGCCATTCAGATTTCTAGGTATCCCATGGCTATGCTACTCGTTAGGCATCAGTGCATTCACCCCGACCGCGAGATGCAGGAGATTTGGGGGGCCGGGGCCGGATGACTGAGCTCGATGCACCAACTGTTGCAGCTTGATAGTCTGATACCACATGAGTCGAATTGCAGAGCCTCCACTTCTCTCGGCTCGCTCGCTTCATCCCTGCGGTTCATCCCTGCGAATGGCCTTGACTCTCGCAGACGTCAGTTTGGCAATCCGCTCCCTCGCTACTCACCTCTCCCTCACCCAGTAATAAGTCGAGTGTAAGCAGTGTGTTCATTTGAATCAAATTCAAGTGCTTGGCAAATAAACCAAGTCCGCCAATGATGTCTTGACTGGAATATTTAGCGTTCATTTGATGAAATGTAAAAGGTCTTGGCAGACTCTTTTTACAAGATGAAAATCCTTAGCAGTCGTCCTAATGAAACATTACTTACTAATATTCGACTCCATTTGACAAACGAGTCAAATCAAATCTAATCAAATCAAATCATTTCGACCTGAGTGTAAGCTACGGCGTTGATTTGAACCTCAGCTCTCCATCAACATTTTCTTCTCCTGATGCTACGACCTCAACTTCAACCTCGACCTAGTTCCTCGAGTCTAGGTTTGACGTCGTAGAAGGCCTGATGTCTCTGATGCCGATAGACAGAAGTGGAGGAATTAATGCGTTGATGTATCTTGGGGGGGAGGAATGGAGCGGTTAAGGGGGGATCAGGAGTTCATGGGAATATGTGGAATGGATCGGTCAAGGGGAAGAGTTGATAGGTATCTACCGTGAGAGAAGAAAGGGAAGAGAGGCGATGGAGAGAAGATACCACATCAGAGGGAGGGGAAAGCGATCTTGAGGCATTCATTTCCAATCGCCAGCGAGCGAATCTGATCTGTCTGCTGAATCAATTACCATAGTTATACCAACCACATCCACCACAAGAAGTCCTTAGCAACTTTCTAGAACGCAGCACAGTATAGATTCGTGCATCAAAAGCTGACAAACTCCTCCCTTGAACATACTACCAGTATAGAAGAAGAAAAAAAGTTGTTCCATCTACTAGTATTGAAGAACTGTGAGCGTAACATAAGCTACGTACGAAATAGGCTGTACGGTACCGTGAAACTTTGCTTCGATCGAAAATCGCACCAGAAACTACTAGTAAGTAACTGCACAAACGCAAAGGAATTACAAGGGAATATAGATAGAGAAACCTGGGCCGGTTAGCGCTCGCATAGCTTGATAAGTACTAGTAGTATAGTAACTTAAGTATTTTTTTCCCTTCTCAAGCTTTAAGCAAACGTGGATGATGCTTTGCAAGGCTAACTTAATACTTAGAAGGATCTGTGGCGCAAGCGCAAGCGCAAGAATCAAAGCTTTACCGACGTAGTATTGTAGCACAAGGGAGTTGGAGTTCAGGCTCTGAAGAACCCTCCATCGCTCTGCCTGCCTGCCTACGCCCACGATGCGATGGAAAAAAAGAAGACGCATCAATGTATTCTGCCAACCCCTCTCTCCCTCTCTCTCTGTGCACGCATGTGCATACGTGTGGGGCTACTCGTGACACAGAAGATCAGATAGAATGGAAGCGACAGAAGAATAGAAAAAAGAAAAACGTAAGATTACTAGTACAATACAATTGAACCCACTGCCTCGGAAAGGGAAAACGGGAGGGTTGGGGGCGGGGGCAGCTGACTAGAAGACCCAGACTCAAACTCAGACTCAGACTCATCGTCTCATCGACCTGATTGAACCAGAACACCCCAAACACAAATATCCAGCCAGCCCAGCCAATTCGATCGATAGAGACCTCGGGTCGCCAATGTATGGGGGCAGAAAAAAGGGGCATTTTGATTCCGGAACAAAGCTCCCCTCCATTCATTGAAAGAAAGATAACCCTCTCTTTGCCAGCTTAGAACAAAAACACACTGCGGGTGCGTATGGGATTTAGATCATTCCTCCATCTCTTGATTCCTTGACCGCGCCACCGCTCCTCGCACCCCTTTCTTCGTCCTCCAGTCTCTTCCTCCAGTTTGCCAGATTCTCGCTCAACTCGGCTCCTCCGCCGCCGCCGCCTCCTCCTCCACTACCCACACCACTGTTATCCTTGGTAGGTGTCCTCTCAAAGTCGAACTGATTGCTCAGCCGATAGCTTCTGCTCGTGCTTTCCCAGCGGCTCTTCAGTGCATCCAGCTCCGAGGCAAGACTATCCAATGCCAGAGATCCACGATTGTCGGCGAACATCTCGTCCTGGGAGGATGAGTCGGCGCGGTCTCTACCGCCGCTGGGGACCAAGCTCGAGGCACTCTGTATGCTATGCCGATCATGATTGCCATTCACATTGACATTGGGAGCCGTTCCTTGGTGGATCTGCGATTGCCGTCGATAATTACCAACAGACTGGCCGACTTGGTCGAGAAGCATGGTGACTCGCTGCTCAGCGTCCATGGCTCTGTTTTCAAGCATGGAGTTTTCCGACTTGAGCTGGGTAAGCTCGGCTCGTGTCTGTTGTACAGATTTGGAAAGCTCTTCATGGTTCAAGCGATGCTGGTCACGCTCAGCCTGTGCTGCAGCAAGATCGGCTCGAATGGAAGACAGCTGCGACTCGAGCGTGGAGATTTGCAAGCCAGTCTGCTTTCGAACGTCTTCGAGGGATCTTTGCAGAGTGTCACGCTCAGCCGCCAATCTGGCAGCTTCGTCTTCGTTCTGTGAACCTGAGCGATCACCTCGAATGCTTTCAAGTTCGGATTGTAGACGTGTGTTTTGCGACTTGTATTTGGAGAGTTCGTCCTTCATGCGCTTGAGCATCTTTTCAGTTCCCTTGACGTAGTGAACGGCAGATTGATAGTCGTTCTCTAGCTGCTCAAGCTTCTCTCGGTACTGGCGGTCCGCTTCTTGTTCCCTCGACTCGAAGGCGCTCTTGGCCTCCTCATGAGCTTTCAGACTCGATTGCAGCTGTTGCTCCAACTCGCGGAGACGGTTCTGATCTGGCGTCCCGAGTCTCGACCCTGGCGAGTGGTTATCAAACAAGGGGGATCGTCTAGATTCTGAACTATGCAAGGTCCGTTCTGACAACACATCCTTCAAAGCACCATGCTGAATTGCGAGTGCATTGGCCTCTCGTTGATGATTCTCAAGCTGGGCCTTCAGCTCTCGCTTTTCCGCCTGAGCGCTCTGCACCTCTTTGATCTCACTTTGCAGTTGTCTGCGTAGCTGCAAACTTTCGCGATTGCTTTGTTCTTGATAAGCTTCAAGGCTAGCAATTCTTTCTTCGGCACTCCGCAGTTTCTGTGCAGCTAAATCCGCTGCTTCCTGGTTGTTTTTGGCAAGGGAATGCGCCCGATCAGCCGACTGTTGTAGTACCAAGATTCGTTGTTCCGTGGCAGCATCGCGTGGAAGAGGGCCTTCTACATGCGTAGCCCTTGACAGACCGCTGACCAATGCTTCTCTGTGAGTAGTAGCCTCTTTGGCATAGGTGTCGGCCAATTCTTCTGTCTCGCGCAAGCGACGGGTGGTGCTCTCAAGCTCACTGGTGCGCTCTTCATGTTCCGCTCTGAGGTTAGCAAGCTTCCTCTCTAGGGACTCTTTTTGTTCCCTCTCCTGGTCAAGGTGCCGTTCAAGGGTGCTTGCCTTCTCAGATGAGGCGGCAACTGCTGCTTGCAGGGCACCGAGAGATGATATGTGCTCTTGCAGCCGATTCGACGTTTCCTCATGCTTCTGCGAAATCTCATCACGGTCAACCTGTGACATGCTCAATTTCTCCTCTGCGCGTGCCCTTTGAGCGGCTTCATCTCGGACCCTGATCTGTGCTTCGTGTAATTCGCTTCGTAGAGCTTCCAGCTCCATTGGGTTGCGACCTTGACTTATATCGTCCAGACGTTTCTGCGCAGCTTCGGCAGACTCCTCGGCAAGTTCTCGTGCGCGCCTTTCTGCCTGAAGCTCGTTCGTTGCAACTTCGAGTTTGGTTCTGTGTTCATTCTGTGCAGCTAGAGCTAGTGCAAGCCTGCGACTGATATCAGTGGCACGCTCGGCGCCATCGTCACTATCTCGGGCCGAATCGGGCTGAGGGGTTCCATGTGCGCTTCCGCTATGTGCTGCCAGCTTCGCCCTTGCATATGCAGCCTCGCTCACGGCTGCATCCCTCTGATGCTCGATCTCGGCAACTTGCTTTGCAGCGGCGACAGCTTGTTGCTCGACCGTTTGCTGCATTTTGCCGAGCTCTGCTCTCATGGCAAAGAACGCTTCTATAAGAGGTCGGTCTTCCTCTCCGAGCTGATTGGCAGCCCTTTCGTCCAACATCGGGCTTGCGGAACCGCTAGGTTGATACCCAGCTTTCCGTGCCAGGGCCAGCTCTGACGCGAACCAGGCATTCCGTGATTTAGTTGCCTCCAATTCTTTCATCAGTGCTTCTTGATGTGGAGTCAGTCTTGGCGACTTTGGCTCATCTCCAATGCTACGGAGACTACGCACGTCCGCCATACCATCTCCCGAATATGTTCTGCTTGAGCCAGTCCTGCCGAGCAGACCCTCTTCCGAGCCGTCGATAGAGCCTTGACCTCTTTGAGATCGTAGAGACCGTTGACGTGATGGACCGCTGATGAGTGGAGCAGCTTCCCCTGCTTCCATTGCTTTCGCTTTTTGTGCAGGTGGCTGAGTTGGTGTGCGCCGACCGTGACCTTCTGGGCTGGTCTGACGCACTACCTTTGCGGCGAGGTCTTTCGGACTGTCCCTATTACTTGGGGTACGTCGGTGTCCTTCAGCAGAATTCGTTCTAGCCGTGTCAATAGAAGGGCCATGGCTGCGTATCTCTTTCGCTGGTGTCCGATTTTGTGGATCTGAATGTGGAGTAGACTGCAGAGCCATGTTCGTCCTTGGGTCTGGCGTCTGGCCTTGTAGCGGGGGCCCGACAGAATTTTGTGCCACAGACGCCTGGAGGGAACGTGGCCCTGAACTATTGCTAGAATTCGGGCCCTCGAGTGGCTTGTTCGATTGTCCAGGAGCTGGGGTGGGGATATCGCGCGAGCTGCTTTCGCTCTTCTGCATATGACCAGCATGTGGCAGTTGTCCTTCCCGTGAGACAGACCTGCCTGCTTGATTAGTATTCCTGCCCTCAATACTTGGCCGATTACTGCCGCCAAGTGTTCCTTGCTCCGGTTTGTTCCCAGCGGGGGGTTGATCATTGGGATATCGAATTTTTGCAGTGTCGAGGATGTAGACCATGCTGAGCTCGCTAGGGTCTCGAGGGGCAGAACTCGGCTCGCCAGCGAGGACAATGATTTGTTTACCATGTGCTGTCATGCTGTGACCCGACCTAGGGGATGGTGATGGACCCATGTTCTGAAAGGTGTACCATCGTCGTGTTGACAATCGGAAAGCCGCGAGGTCTCCAAGGTCTGTGCCTTCTTCCGTTCGACCACCAAAGATATACATCACATCGCCAACAACTGCCGCCGAATGTCCTTCCCTGGGCGCCGGTATATAGCCTATACATTCCTGCTGTGTCCATGTATTTGTTCGCGGATCATAGCTCCAGACATCGTTGAACCACTGCACCCCATTTGTGCCGCCAAAGCTTGTGATAGTCAGCAGCTGCCCAGAATCCTCGACTTTAGGACTTACAGATAGAGCTGATCCTGAAAGCTGATCACAGAGTGGTTCGTCCTTGCAGGCGGAACTTGCCCCGGCGCTGGGCCGCCGTCTCCACTGTTACGAACCAAGAACTCCCATTGATTTGCAGGATTTTGCAAAGAGTTTAGATCGAAGGCAAGAAGGTCGTTGAAAAAGTATCCTTCGACCTGTCCACCGAATATGTAGATCTTAGAGCCTACTATGTTCAGAGTGTGGCCATATCTTCCGGCAGGTCTGGGGCCGGCTGGAGCAGCTCGAGACCATTGTCTGGATGCTGTAATCCATGTTAGCAGAGGAAACGCCCGAGCCGCAGTCCGGCTTACAGGTATTCAACAGATACAGAGTATCGTCTAATGCATCTGAATCATCCATTTTCGTGTCGCCACCAAAGACGATAAAAGCGTTCCCCACGAGCAGACTGGCATGGCCGACCCTTGGACCAGGACCCTCCGACACTGTAGCGACTGAGGAGCAAGACAAGCTTCCACCCGCAGATTCGACCATCCAGAGATCGCCTTTCACCAGGGAGCCATTTATGAGACCTCCCATCATGTATATGTCACCTTCCTTCGAGGCTACAGCATTGACAGCAGCGCCATATCTAGGAAATGGGTTCGGTTGTGGGGTCGAGAAATTCATTCTCCGTTGTGACCAGGGATAGAGCGCAGCGTTCGGTACTGTCCCATTCATATTTCCTTTTCGAACCTATTTGAGGGCGTAGTGTCAGAAAAGAAGCTAGGTAGATAGAATTTCGACCTCACCTGAAGATCTGACTCGGCCCTTTCCCGCTGTCGTTGCCAGGGATGATCAGAGGTAGCTGTTGTTCCACTAAGCGATGACAAAGAATTGTTGACGTTGCCAGGTGGTATTGGCGACTGATTGAGTCGGTCTCCATCCTTCTCGCGCATGCCATTGGGCCCTGATGTAGAAGTCGTGCCTTCAGAAGTGTGGATATTTCTTGTTGCAGGGGGCAGCGCGTTGTTGCTTTGGTGCTTCTTCGACTTGAAGAGGAAGGACATCTTGGGTGTAGCGAGGAGGGGCAATCATGTGCGATGGTTGAGGAGCAACGCAATTTGGAGGCTATTGTCGAGGCCGCAAGATCTGAGGGTCGGCTGTGCAACCCCGATGGTGTCCACGATCAAGTAGTCGCAGTCCGTCAACATCCAATTGGACAGCTCAACATCAATCCCAACTAACTGATGTTGTATGCGCACAGAGTTCGAGAAGGCAGAAGCGTCTTCTGAAAGAAAGGGTCAGAGGAGGCTGGATTCGCTACTTGGCGCGCCTGCGTGCAGGAATGGTGGGAGATTGAAGAGTAGAGGTGGAGTCCACGAACCAAGCAAACGCGACAGAGAATCCTGGTCCGGGCGGTAGAGGAGGCGCAGAGGGACTATGCTCTCTCTCAAGAATCATGCAACAACATCGGACACATTTTGAGGTGGACGCAAATTGTATATTGAGCGGTCATAGAAGTGGACCAGCAGCTGTCTGTGCCAGTGGAATCGCTAAGTTAGAACGGGAGCGGATCATGTTTCAGGTTTCGCCTCCTTTTTTGGGGCTGCTGCTGGCATTCCCACCCCCAAGGATGCAGTCTATGCCATTTTGAGCATGTCGTCCTATCCTCAAGCTTATCATGCCTACATGTCCAGCATCCGTTATCCATCATCCATCATCCATCATCCATCATCCATCATCGATGCATCCAAAACAAAGCTCTCCACGTACTCTGTCAGGAGCCCAGAAAAACCACTACCGACCCCCATCACACCTTTCAGCAGTAATGTAATCGGGCTATCCCTTGTATCGAAGCAAATATGTCGCTCGGGGCTGCACAAGCCATGCTCAGGCATAAATATCACGTAATGATACAGCATTGGGATAATGCCTCGTATCGGTCCACTTAGGTACGTAAATTCCCTACTCAGCGAGTTGCATTGACAACATTCAGTTATTATTGGTCAAGCTCAGAAAAAGAGTCTATATATGTAAACCGAACCCCAGTCAGTGGGGGCAGGATCCGAATATGCAGTGTACTGGTCTTAGTACTCTGTACAGTGCCCGTACGATAGGTATGGTCGCCGATGTCCGATTTCTGTAAGCCCTGGGCTCGTGCAGCTTCGGTGAGCTGTTGTAACGACGCTGGTGTGACTTTCGAAGTTCACAAGAGTATAATGGTTACCGGCATCTGTGTCTCTTATAGTCGTTGAAGCAACCAGCTTAGATGCGTGTCCGGGCATTCGTTACTTCGTGAGCAACTGATATAGGGCGGATGACTCTAATGGCTCCAATCCAAGTTCATTAACTTTGTGCACGGTAGCCTCTTTTGTTAACCACGCTGATAACATAGGCAGTCGTCAACCTCCTAATTACCTGAAAGCCACGGCTGTCGCTGAGGTGTGGATGGTTGAAATGAATCACGGTGTGGTTCTCCATTTAGGACATGGCGCTAATGCTTCTGTTCGAACAACATGGCTATATCTGCGGCGATTGAATCCGCTACCATCCTTACTTTTGGGTGGGAGTGGCTGATTTTGACGGCCATGGCGCCTTTGCACGCTTGTGGTGACTATTTCCATGTACGGTTCATCTAGTCTGCCAGTGAGCGCAGAAGATGAGTCAAACCGAGTCCAGGGATCTTGCTCGGCACAAATGCCTAGAGAAGGTGCTAGACTCGAGATCCTGGCAGATACGTGCACTTTCTTTGTCGGTGCTTTGCTGATTGCACTGCCATGATGCCCAGACCTATTCTGATTGGCTTCATGTGTGGAGCTTTCGTGTTCGGTTGTGGGCGAAGGAGAACTGCTTTGAGCACTTCTCCAGGAAGGAAATTTCATGGGAGTTATTGGCGGTAGTATCGAAGGCAGTTCCGGGATCGGATAGCTTGGTGACGGTGGTCCTTCAGTATGCTGAGGTTCCTGAATGTCGTCTTTATACTCGGTCGACATCAATATGGCACGGTCTGAAGGTGTGCGAAGAAATTGGAAATCTGCCGGAATATGCTCCAAAGTGAGCGGAAGAGCTGTCGGTATGATGCGGGAGATGCGAGAGGAGCAAGTCATCTTGAGATCCTGTAGATAAGGAATGCAAGTCGCTTGTCTCGCATCCGAGTGTCATTCAACTCTTTCCTCAGTTTGTAGAAAAGGGCTTGAAATGATACGTAATGGGAAGAGGATAAGAGTTGCCTAAAAATGAAAAGAATTCGCCTGTACCTGCAAAGGAAGTCACAAATTAAAAGGTGAAGAAGGAAAAGTGGAAGTTGAGAATGAAGCTTGAACAATTGGACCGCCGGCCCTGTTGCATGGCGGAGCAAAACCGCATGACTAAAAGTAGACTTGAAGCACGAACAGTACCAAGGCGCATGTTTTGGCAAAAGACAATTCCTATAGTAGCAGACTTGATTGCCAGCAAGAGACCCAGCTAAGACACTCAGGTGAGACAGCCCATAAAAGCAATTGGATTGAGGAGGGGAAATTCCACGCGCACCTTGGGTATGGGCGTCGTCGATCTTCCCTCCACAAAGCAATTGGTCCGACGACGGGGACACAAGAGAGTCGGCTGTGTGCGATATTGGCCTCTTAAATGAAACCAAGTAGGATCTCGTTCTAGTGATATCCCGCCATTGAATGGCTGTGTCATGCATGTCGCTTATGCAGTTTCCTGACAAAAAAAGCTCGGACCAACATGGGCTGCGCCGCTCACTAGCTTACATAAAAAAAGTAGTGCACAAGGATCCTCATCACGTCAGGCGTTTGAGCTCAAGAACATCGTCCTGAAGATGATGTCTAGTCGACCTCCACCGATGTTGGACCGATCACGATAAGGTGACAAGTATTCAGAAAGAGAATTAACTCGGTATTGCATTCGAGTGTATATGCCAGTATCTAGGTACACACCCAAGGTGTTGCTTGCACCTGTCAAAACGGTGGCCACCGAATGTACAACTGTGATTACCACAACATGCCGAAGACGAAACGAAGTCCAAGCTGGTCTCAGGAAATATCCGAGACAGATTTCAGAACTCCAACGCGGACTGAAAACCGTGTGCTCCAGTCATGCCTCTTATGCCATGAAGAAAGCTGCAATGGCAGCCAGACCAGCGAGAGTGCCAAGCGAAGCGGAGACGGAGCTGGCAGCGCCAGTGTAGGTGGCGATCGGTGGATAGGTTGAGCTAAGGACAAATGTTAATACCACTATCAGGAAAAAGGAGCCGGCAACCTTACGTCGCGTTCTTGGGAGGAATGACACCAGTGCCAGTGCCAACTGGACCCTTGGAGTTGCTAACAACAGTGATAACCGAGGACGGGTAGGGGGCGACAGTAGTAGCAGGGCCAGATGGTGCTGAAGAGTAACGCGCTGGGTGCGAGGAGTAGCCTGGCGGAGGAGCAGCTGAAGAGGGTGCAACATGGACAGATGAAGCGGGAGGAGCAGGGGGTGCTGATGAACTTGGGGTTGGAAGGGTCGGAGTCAAAGGACTGGTGGGCACTGAAACCGAGGCTGAATAAGATTTGCCGGCATGAGGGTGGCTAGCGGGTGGAGCTGGCTTGCCAGGGCAAGAGGTGACTGTCCTTATGTCAGTTGTTGATCGCTGGCTTCATTCGGCTTCCATACCCTCAGGTCCGCAAGAAGTGACGACGACATCGACCGTGCTGTATACAGTATGAGGCTGAAGAGTGGTTGGTTGCTTGCCTGTGCAGCTTGTGACTATGGAGGATCAGTGTCAATATTCGCCTTTCTTCAATTTCAGATGTCTCCCACCTTCAGGTCCACAGCTGGTGATGGTCACATCAACAGTGGTGTACACTGTTTTCGCAGCTACAGTCGCCGCAAGGGCAGAGACAACGGCAATCGAGGTGTACATTTTGACCAGAGTTCTAATCTTGCAGAATTAGATGTAATGGGTGATGAAAAGAAGCTGGAGTTCTGTTTAAGGGAATGTAAGTGAGCGGAGCTCTGAGTAAAGAGTGTGGTGACGGTAAGGTCAAAAATGCAGAACGTAACCAAGTTTGATGAGGATAGAATCAAAGAAAGTCTATCTGAGAAGGATGGCCCAGGTCTTGTATCTGTTGAAGGTGGGAAATTAAGTGATGATCGGGGGATCTGGTAGGCAGAACGAGTGACCTATAGAAAGGGGCAAGCAATATGGGGGGAGGCGGTTTTAGCGCAGTGAAAAGGGTGAGACTAATGCAGGTACCAGAAACAAACCAATCAACTTGTATATTTTGTTGATGACCAGAGGCGCTAGGAGATCAAAAGCCTTTTTCCACAAAAGTCAATTTGACAAGTGCAAATTACATGAACCTCACCGCTGCAGTAATCTAACCATGTGTTCTGCGATGTATGGAGTATACTGCACACATAACATGACATGATCTGCACTCCAATGCAACAGTTGTATTCTGTGCTAGCTGCTGATTGCGGCTCAGCTGGACTGTACCACTGTGTGAGATTCAGTTATATCTATTGGGCTGGCAGCTCGATCTGATCCGGATTCCACTAATCCGGGACGGAAGAGAGCTGACACCTCGTACGGGTACGTTTACCTTATTAATTTCACGCAAGCTCTGCTCACACCCTCGCTCAAGACCCGCCTATAACTATCTTCTTGGTAATGCTTCGCTGCAGTGCAGCGGATGTGGTGGACTACTCCGTACACTAAGCTAGGGTCAAATATCCGCGTATCAAACGCAGAAGGGTCCAAGGTCATGGAGCCAGTGCAGCACATCGAAAAGAACATCTACTCCGTATGTCTTGCTGCTTCATTATGTACTGATTCTCTACATTGCTGCCGAGTCATTCCTTGAATTCTAATTGGGCCATCTTTCTTCTCCGCATTCTCTTCCAGTTTCCTCACAGTCTTCAAAACAATGTTTCTGAAACAGCGAAACCTGTTCCAGTCAACCCTTGCGTAGCAAATCTGCGGTACAAAAACATCGATGCCTTGATGCTTGACCTGATCTGATCTGTTAGCAGTATCCATAAAGCATCTCCACCCAAATGCTGGGTCCGAGATCAACCACATACAGATGGATGTCCGGGCAAACGTCTTCGGAGCGGACCATTACCATTTGCATTAGAAGATAGTCTGACAACGTGCTAAACAAAGATTGAGCTGAGACGCGTCTATGTACTGAAAGCAGAGCATTCCCGGGCTTCTCATGTATCCGAAAATTGTTCCAGTCCTAAAAAATATCAGGCAAGAAGGAAAGCAACCGCAGTCGCACCGGTCACGAACCCAACAGCTGCCAGACCTGCCATCTTCACAGCCGGCCTCTCCAACCAGCCCCTCCCCTTCTCCTCCCTCATCAAATCCCAGTCCTCACAATAATGCCTCGCAAAGACATCATTCTGCACCCACAAAAACTTGCCCAATGCCCTCAACACCTCAATCTTCCTCTCCATCGTCCAGCCTCCATCCCCTTCATCTTCCTTGACACTCATCACCACTCCGACAAGCGCATCCTGCAGCCAACCCAACAAAAGCGCAATATGCACATACTCGACCCTCAACGAATTCTTTTTCGCAGTGTGCTTTCGCCCCGTATGCACAACCCCCACATTATCTAGATACTCCCAGAACCTGCTCTGCGGGCTCCAGTCCTGGTTACTCAGCAACCGAATCAGATACTCCCGCAGGAAGTCTTTTCGATGCTTGATGTTGGCGTGGTTAAGGTTCAAGGCTCCAACGTCTTTCTCGTCAATTCCAGGTTCTTGGGAGGGGGTGTTGGCTGCCTGCGAGGGGAGAAAGGATCTGGCGGTTATGTCGTAGGACAGGAGCTGGGTATAGACCGCGTCGAGGAGGGTGGGAAGGAGTGGGGCGAGAAGCGGTTTTAGGGATGTGATGAGCGGACCGTCAGTGGAGGGGTTGAATGCGAGAAAGGAGTGGAGATAGTGGATTCGGCTTGGGAGATGGGATAAGGAAGAAGGGTTTATGTGTTGAATCTTGGACATGGTGGATATTTTACGGCTGGGTATTGTACGTGAAGATTTCTGTTGGCTGTGAGGTAGAAGGGGTGATCGGTGATACAAGTGATGTGGGAAAAGCTTCGCAGTTAGGATGGATAGATACAAGAATGAAGATGGATGGGAGTAAATGATTGGGTAGGCGCTGATGGCAACACCTGATAACAAAAGCCTGCTTCATCATATACTTGCGCTTCCCCCTACCCTGTCCCTCCGATCCCAACCCTGTTCCAAAGCGGACGGGAAATCCTGTACCGCATAAGCGGACCATGCCTCGTTGCACATCTGGACGTATGGGAATCCACTGCATCCTTCGACGCCCTACCGTCTTATCTCCCCGGAGCAACACCCTGGACTCGGCAGCCCAAGCGGAAGCAGCTGCGATCTCGTCCTATCTCCCTCCCTAACACATCAAGCTGTGGAAGATCCTCTTGAGAGCAACGCAAATGTAACGATACGCAGTGTCCATCTGAAATCTGTGTGTCAGGGACATGCTCATAATTGAGGTCGGAAGAAGACGGCAAGGCAAGAGGGGAATTATTCATCGAGAGATTTGGAATTGGTGGAGAGGAGGGAGATCTCCGCGGGGTGGAAAAGTTGGAGGCTTTATACAGAACAAAGCGCTAACTAGGAGCCACGTGCCCTATTCTCCGACAGCAAAAATAGCTCTTCCGTCTATTGCTGTGCGAAGTACATGGTTTGAGGTGGATACTTGGATCCAAAGGGAGAGCGCTTATTACGTTTTAGCAAGAGGATGTACACGTAGTCTGTCTTAGGATGACCGATAGTAACGACGTGTTCAGGTCTTGTTCTGATAGAGGAATATGTACAGCCAGGGAGACCCGGCCTTTTGTCGTACGAAGGACATAAAGCTCCACAACGCCTTGCTCATCGATTCTGCTTCCTTTGCAATGCTAAGATACCATTGACCCACTAGCTCCTGATGCCTTCCTTTGCACAGTCTGACTTATCGCTTGAAGAAGTCGTCCTCGCTATCCTCCTGGTCTTGATCATCAGAATCCGCCTCAATGCCTGGGATTCTGTCATTATTTCCTGGCTCTGCCATGCCCCGAGAAGTGAGCATCTGATCCCCATCGTTGTCTGCCTTGAGGATTTTCCCATCTCTCAGCGCTTCTAGAGTGCCATTATCCATTGCTTTCTCCACTGCGTACCATAATGCTGGTTTGTGGCCGTAATCGTTCCGCAGGAGATCAGCTTCAATGTCCTTAGTAGCTTCCTGGAGATCTCGGACATCCTCAAGTCTATCGTTATTCTCTTGATCTTTTCTCGACTTCGAAGTGCGTGGATACAACGAGATGTACTTCTGATTGAGTGGTGCGTAAAGCGTGTAATTCAGATCCACTTTAGCCTCGTGCAGCTGCCGCTTGTATGCTTCTTGTTGTAGTGCCAGCCTCTCTGCGCTCGAAAGAACTTGCTGGCCATCTGTAATCTTCTTAGTGCCATCATCATGGCTTCTAGTTGTTTCGTTTCGAGCAACAGCATATTGACTATTACCATCTTCCCCATTCATGACCCTGTCCAAGCTCCTCTCCACTCTCTTCACTAGCCTCTCAGCTTTCCTGCGCTCCATAAATCTGACAAAATGATACCGAGACGTGACGGCATTCTTTTCTCTCATTGCTTTGATTCTTTGCTGATCAATGACATATCCTTGAAGTTCACGCTCTTTCTCCAAGCGGACATCTGCAGGCATGTCAATCGCCTTCTCAAGGAGTCTGCGAAGCGAATGAATCTTGTCACTTAAGCCCTTCGTCTCTTCACCGTTTCTCTGGCCTCTGCCTCTTTTGCGATTCTTCGTCTTTGTGGCGTGTAGAGGAGCATCTCGAGAAGTATTGGGTGATCTGTCGCGGTAGACATTCTCTGTGCGAGGTTTGGCCCTTCCTCTCCATCTCCTACCATTGTGTCGGACGGTTTCGTCCTCTACTGATTCCAACGGTATCCAAGAATCACTCCGCGGTCGCTCAGGGGATCTTGACCTATCTCGATCGGATCTGAATGAGGAGTTGGTGGAGGGTTTGTAACCTGAGAAGTCGAGTTTGTGATAGTGCGTCATATCGTCTGACTTGACAGAGCTTTATCAAGGTGAGTTTTTGCCCATATTCTTCACTCAAGGAGGCTTCAGACCTTTTTAAATGTTGATAATTGCGAATATGTTCCTGTGGTGTCTTGCCAGAAAAATCTCCCCGCACTCCACAAATTCGAGCGCTAGTTGACTTGCTAAGGCGAACAAGCCTAGTTGCAGTTACTAGTTAGTTAGTTAGAATGAGACCCCTACGTAGTAGACAAACTTTCACCCTCTACTGGCCAGGGGCGGCTGAGCTCTTCTGCTCAGGCTATTCAGAAGGGCTCACACCCTGTTGATCCAAACATACAGCAAGCAGTCACCTCAGGCTTCCACTCAGGGCTCTTAGAGGTATCTAGTGAAGACATTTGCAGCCGCTGGGTTGGTTCAAGCTCTGAGACGCCTGTCAAAGATGCAGAAGGAAATGACATACAATCAGACAAACCTACGTGCAAAGAAATGGAGACGGCGGTGCGTTGGTCTAACACTTCAGTAGCAGGCAACGAGCGATTTCTCTTTGTTGACGTTGCCGGCAAATCTTTTACCCTGTGTCGAGTCAGATGCAGAAAGAAAGGAGTCCTCAAATATGACATCCTTTCAGAGTACAAAAAAGTCCCAGCCTTTCGAGCGTTCGACTGGTCACCAACACATGAAGGAGTCGTTGCTGTCGGTCAACTATCTGGAGAAGCCACAGTTCTGCGGATAGACGATGGGTCTCAAGCAGTTCTCTCGTTTCCCGTTCACAGTGAAAGGTTCTGTAATGCTATCGCGTTCAACAATCAAGGTTTGCTGGCTGCAGGCCTTGACAGAGTGCGGACAGACTATTGCCTGAATATTTGGGATCTGCAACAGCAGTTGCCATCTGGGAGTACTTCTGGTTTCGTGAGGAGTTCAGGACGAACTTATCCTGAGCCACTGCATAAATTAGCAAGCTCTGAGCCTATAACCAGCATCAAATTCTTCCGTAACGAGCCTCGGACCTTAGTTGCAGGCGTCAAGGGTCAGTTTGTACGTCTGTATGACCTTCGCGAAGCTCCAGGGAGCGCTTCCATGCAATTCACTACACGATGCGTCAGCAATGTCGCCATTGACTCAATGGATGAGAACTATTTCGCTTCATGTTACCCAATAAATGGTGCCATCATATGCATTTGGGACCGTCGCGCGGGCTCCCGACCACCAATGGCCCAGGCTAGCTTCTTCTCTACTACTTCAGGAGAAACGACCCCACTGCGTACTTCCCTCGAGCTGAAGAACGCCACTGAGGCACCAGGGTCGATCTGGAGCTTACGCTTTTCCGGTACACGACGAGGCTGTCTAGCCATGCTATCAAGTGCAGGTCATTTTAAAACGTACGACATTGGTAAAGAGTTCCCACAGACCAATGTAAGCTCGGATTCCAAAGCTGAACAGCTGGAATCTCAGAGTATTACCGTTCCTGAAGATCTCTATCTCCATGGCATACAAGATGTACAGCATGCCTATGATCACCCGAAGGAAAGTAGACTCAAGAAAGATCGCATTGTGTCTTTCGACTTCATGAAAACTGGTGGAACATGGAATGAACCAAAAGTTATCACGCTAACTGGCAATGGTTGCATGGCCGAACTCTCTATCCCCATGGTTCCAGAGCCAGAAGTGTTCTCTTCCATTGGCTTGATTCACAAGGGAACCAAGCAAGTGCAACGGTCCTTAGATCCTGTGAATGTCGTGTTCGGCCATTCCAACAACATACCAGCTACGAAGGTAAAACCCGCTGAAACGGAACTGCCAGGAGCGGTCGAGATATTACTTCAGTATATTCGCTGCAAAAATGGGTATCTATTCTCCCTTAAGAAGAATCAAGCTATCTGTTCTGAGCTTCCACAGCTAACGGATCTGTGGGTCTGGCTAGAGCGGGCACACAAAGAGCATCTGGCTGGTACCACTGTTCATGACGACCTCGATCTTTCATATCTTGGTGTTCATGCTATCTGGATGGATGATCTCGGACCAGGACCTTACAACACCAGAAGCTTAGGCCCTTCTACCATCAATGTGGCCAAAGTCATTAAGAACTTGGTTCAGCATCACAATATCCCAGAAACTAAGACGTGTAGCACCGACTACGAGTTTCATCGTCGGCTGTGTTTGTATACCCTACAGCAGGCTTGGACATACGAACAGCTTGAGAAGATGGTAAGCGAGCTCGTGTCACAAAATCATCATACCAAGGCCGCTGCAATGGCGGTCTTTGCCAACGAGACCAAACTTGCATATCGTGCATTGCGCAGCTCCTCTGTCCAGTCTGACAAAATGATCGCGATGGCTATCGTTAGTGCCACGCAACGAGCTGTAGGGAACAATGATGAAGACAACGACGGATGGATGGAGACGATCGAAGTTGTCGCCAAAGATATTACCGATCCGTTCGCTCGTGCAATCTTAACCTTCGTCAAAAAGGGTGATTGGAATGCTGTGATTGAAGAAGAGACTCTACCATTGCCATACCGGATTGGTGTAGCTATACGATGGTTAAACGACAGTACATTAACCCAGTACATCTCGAGGATCACGAAGGAAGTGGTCAACTCAGGCAATATCGGAGGCATCGTCTTGACCGGCCTCGGGACTAGAGCCGCATTTGAGCTCTTGGGTAATTATATGCGCCATTCTGGAGACCTACAAACATCCGTGCTTGCCTTGACATGGACGGTCCCTCGTTATCTTGATGATACGAAGTTGGTGCGGACGTTTTTGACATGGCGTGAAACGTACCGTGACTATATGAATTCATGGAATCTTTGTTTCGATCGTGTGGATTTTGACATTATAAGCTCCAGGATTTCTGTGGATGCCGACGGAAAGCGTCTTTTGGGACCTCCCAAGCCACAAGTCGCGCTTAGTTGTGGATATTGTAAACAGAGCATTGCGCATTTTGACCAAGGGAGCGGAGATGACGGTGCGGCTTCTACTATTCACCAAACTCAGAAGCATCCATTGAGCAGTGAGAAAGCTTCAGCAATTGGAACGGTTTGTCCCAAATGCGGAAGACGACTTCCAAGATGCGGCGTTTGCGATATGGAATTGGGAATGCCGGACCCGTCGTATCTGAAGTGGTTCGCGCGTGGCCAAAAACAGGGCAGTGTTGATCTTAGCGCCAGCCTTGCAGGGTCAGTTGTCACAACTCTAGGTCCAGGCACAACAAGATCAAAGGCTGGATCTGAACCCCCTGATGGAAACAGGTCAAAACCTGGCTCCGACCCAGCAGAGATAAATAGCCCGGAGCCAGGGTCGGACCAGCCAGGGAAAACATCCCAAGAATTAGCTCCAAGCAAGCCTGTCGACCAAGAGATGTTGCGTAAATTCATCGCCTTCTGCATCAAATGCAGTCATGGGTTTCATGCAAACCACGCAATGGACTGGTTTCGTGGAATTAGTGGCAGGCAAGGACATTCGGTGTGTCCTGTAAGTGAATGCAGTTGTGTATGTGACGTGTGAGCGTGCTCGAGGTAGAGGAGCAGTTGAAAATGCCCCTACAATACACAGATGCAGCCAAACTGAGCTTCAGAAGAAGGCTATCCTCGTAACACCGCAGCCACATGGCCAGTGTTGTCGTTGCAAGATTTAAGCCACTTTGGCATTCGACACAAAACACGCCAGTCATTCGAGGGCGGAACTAGTTCTGATGGGAGATCCAACACGCGAGCGTTTGTCTTGCTTTCCCCAGAGCAGCTGCAATTGGAATCTACTCCCCATTCGCCTCGAGGATGTCGAAGATGTCTACAGAAACAGTAGCATTAAATGATGGTGGTATACACCATGCGGCAGGTCTCAATCGAATTCTGAACTGCTAGCAACCTTCCATATCTACTTCCTGATTCAGGAATGGCAGCTACGGTCTGCGTCTCCTCTCCTGCTCGCAATTTACGCCCATACATACTTCTTCCGATCAGATGCAGAGCAAAGCTGTCTTCAAGCATTATCCTACCAAACTTACTTCCGCTGCCAGTTGGTCGAGACGCTTATGCCTTTCTGTCTATATTCTTGCCTTGCACTGGCATTATTTGTCCTGCAAGTCAACGCGATTAATCCAAGTCAACGCCGCTGCGAGGCATCTGGTCCAAAAGAGCAATGTCGTCTCACCACATCTGTGCACCTTCGGCACGAGACATCCTCCGCTACCGCTCGCATCATGGTGTGAATCTAGGAGGTATATTTGTGCTGGAGAAGTGGCTCTACCCGAGTATGTTCGACTCTTCTGTTGCCGGGAGTAGTGAGCATGACGCTGTTATCTCGTAAGTCTTTCGGGTCTTAAAGTAATACGGTCTTCTGGTGGTAGACGCTCGACACTAAAACCACAATGCGTACTAGCTCTATCAACAATGTTGGCCTCGAAGCAACTCGGGAGAAATGGCAAGCTCATTGGTCGAATGCGCTGACCGAAGCGGACCTGCATTATCTCACCACTATCGCGCACTGTACGACCATCCGCCTCCCAATCGGCTACTTCACCCTTGGCCCCGATTTCACTCAGCACACCCCCTTTGCTATGTCTCCTTCCCAGGTATATACAAATGCCTGGTCGGCCGTTGTCAATATGGTTCGTCGATGCCACGCCCATGGCGTAGGAGTCCTCCTTGACCTTCACGCCTGTCCAGGTGGCGCAAATGCAGAAATTCATTCCGGGATCAGCACACGCAAGGCAGAACTCTGGGAGACTGACTCTAACCTCTCCCTTACGAAACAGTGTCTCTGCTTCATCGCAGCGGAAGTTAAGAATCGTGGATTAGAAGGCGTGGTGGGCCTCCAACTCTGCAACGAGGCCATTTCGAATGCGTCAGGTATGTACAGTTGGTACGACTCTGTCATTGCGTCTATTGCCCAAATCGATAGCACAATACCCATCTACATCAGCGATGCTTGGGACATCCCTCGCGCTGTAGAATACTCGGTGCGCATGAATACCACCGCTATTTCCGCCGTCAAGTCCCCCATCAACCCAGTCATCATAGACACCCACCGCTATTATACCTTTTCCGCCGAGGACGCCGGCAAATTTCCCCTCCAGATCATCGACCAGATCTCCTCCACTGAACTCTCTGAGCTGGACACTCCAAAGTCAGGCCGCGTCTTCGAGCAGCGTGGCGCGGTAGGCGTCTTTGTTGGGGAATGGAGTTGTGCGCTCGCGCCCACTACCTGGGCCCAGGTGACGCCTTCGCAGCGCAAGGACTTCACCAAAGAGTTAGGCAAGGTGCAAGCGGAACGATGGCGCAGTCAAGGCCCTGCTGTCGGAGGAGGGGCTTTCTGGACCTACAATACGAACTGGTGCAGTGGCAAAGCATGCAAGGGGCGGGAGGAGTGGAGCTTCCGGATGCAAGTCGACACGGGTGCGATTCGTGCACCGTCTTGGTTGAGTCTGACGCGGGGAGAAGTATGGCGGAAAGTGAAAGAGGCTGAGAAATCGAGGAGTCGATCGATGGTGAAGGCGATGGAGGAGCATGAAGCATATTGGGACGGGACGAGTGGGAAGGCTGCCTACTTCGAACATTGGCGCTATGGTGATGGTTGGCATCTGGGGTGGTGTGATGCGAGAGATTTCTTTGCCGGCAGGGCCAATGGGTTGGTCGCCACGGCTGAGAAAGCCGTTGTCGTCGGATGTCGGTTTGGTGGCAAGGCAAAGAAAGATGATGCCGTGGTGGTCGGGGCGGATCGGATTGGGTTTCTGGATCTGTGGGTCCTGAAGCGGATGAGGGACGAGGGCCCTGGTGGCGTTGGTGACAGGGATCGAGACGGCTGCCAGTTTGGCTGGGAATGGGAACATGGGTTTCGGAAGGGAGTGCAGGACTTTGAGCGCGCGGTCGGGGTTGAGGAGAAATGAGCGGAGCAGTATCGAGGCTGGTTTTGTTCTTGTGAGAGGTTGGCCCTGGTGCTGCATGGGTCGCATGGGTGAAAAGTAGTGTCCATGGACGCAATACTTTGCTTGGACGGCGGCAGGGTCATGTGTGCCGGACGCGCTGACTGTGACAATTGGTATCCTAGACGTTTATCCAAGCTCTGTATCGGTTTGAGGTATGAGATAGTCCAATCCCCCCTTTTTATGGGTGCATTGTTTCAAACACCTCGTCTAGTAAGCTCTCATGTCGTAAACTCTACCATCCCAATTCCCTACAACCCTTCAGGGCCAGCATGCATCACATGATGCTCACCTCGAACGACCCTAGCAAGCAGGTCCAATATATCGATCGATTCTCACTTACCTATGGGGGCCGGGTAGCAGTTCCGCCCTCAATCCTTCCTCCTCGTTTTCTCTCGTTTCTCGGTCAACACTCAACCACATGCCATGCGTTAGCTATATGATGCTGGGACTATATATCTCCAGAACCTTGGATTCAAGAGCCAGTGTGGCTGTAGCTGTAGCTGTAGCTGTAGCTGTAGCTGTGCATCTTCAACAGGGTGTCGGTCGAAAAATATCTGGACTGCTGCTAGTTACTGTACTTAGTTCTATGGATCGGGGAGGGGTGCATTGCTTTGCTTGCTCGGGAAATATTTCGTACAGGATTTGAAAGCTCTGGAACTTGGGTGAGTGGGATGGAGGCTTCATGCCTGATAGATAAATACTAAAGAAGGGGTAGTCGTGCGGAGTTCTTTATACATAGCTGAATGGAATATCTGAGTACTGAGTATACTTGTAAACACTCAAATGGATATAGCTATACACGCACATCAGATATAAAGAAGTAAACATATACTATACATATACAGTCCCTTCCGACCTGACTGACAAAAATCTCTACATTAAACCCCCATATCACTGGTGACTGGATCTGGGTGGATTTGGTCCGGCAGAAAGGGCGATAGCGAGCTCGGTCAGACCTCTACACATGCTATCCGCTCTTCTCCGCAGTTGACGTTCTGCGGAAGAGGATGCACCAATCACCGACGAACTGCCAGGGTGCAGTCCTGCTCCCATTACCGAAGCAAGCTGCAATGCATCAGAGGCTGTAGCTTCCAGTTTCTGATAGATGTCAGCGCTTAGCATTGGTCGAGCTTTCTGGACTGCTTCATGAAGCAGAGGATGCACCGTCAGAGAAGGAGCCAGGCCTTGAATCCTCCGCCGCCGGTACCGCCGTAGAGAGGGCTTCCGCCGTGCAGATGGCTTCTTCCGTTGTCGTTGTCGCTCTCGTGGTACGAGTCGTGCAGCCAGAACATGCCCGCGATGCCGTAGGTGAACCACGACGCGAAGAGGGAGGCGGCGATGCCGACGAGGTAGGGGAATATCTATGTAAACAATTCAAGCCATGGTTAGAGGATGGTTGGGTTAGTTAATGGGGGGTTTATGGGGACACCGGGGTTTTGCCTAGGTTTCTCTTTCTCGCAATCTCTGAGTAGGAAATTTCGAGGGGAAAAGAGATCCCGGCAGGATAGAAACTCGAGCAAAGAAGGAAACCCCCACTTACAGGCACCCCCACGGCTAACACGAACGCGGCCCCATTCATCAAGATGATCAACACGGTCCAAGTCCCCCATCCCAGAACGGTATGTTCGTGCAGATGGAGGATTTTCGCCGCCGTGTGGGAGTAGAGGGAGCCTGCGATCAGGAAATTGGGGATTGCGACCCCATAGGCCGCCTTCATCCATCTGGGTGGCAGGCTGGAGAAGGCGGGGCTGGCCACCGTGGAGCCGATGTAGGCGTACACGACTGCTGCGAAGATGACTTGAACGCATTTCCACGCTGTTAGCTGGGCACGTTTCCCGAAGTGAAGTAAAAACATATCCGCCCACCCGCAGAGGATTGACGATAGAAAACATACCGTAAAAAGTAGTGGCGAAGATCTGCAGCGAATAGGCCGCCTTCATCGCATCCTGCGGCCGCTTCATCTCGGAGATCAACACGAAGAACATAAAGTGTCCCGCGTAGGCAAACACGGGATTCGTGATGGACACGAACGCGTGATAGAAATCCGCCGGAGCGCTCGCCAGCACCTGACGGTCGGCCGGCAATCAGGAGGGACAGACAGGCGGGGACGCTGCACCAGGCGAGCTGGTCGAAGGTGCGCGGGAAGCTGAGCAGCAGCACCGGCAGGGCAAAGATGCCCGTGTACAGCATCAGGCACAGCTTCGCGTCCGACAGGGCGGCGAGGCTGATCTGGCCGGCCAGCATCTGCGACCCGGTGGCGCAGACGGCGAAGACGACGGTGCCGCCGGCCAGCACCTCGCGCCCGACCGCGCCGAAGAGGATCATGCCCGCGTCGCCCATGTTGTGCACCTGCGGGTGCCGGAGCTTGAACTGGATCAGGATCCACGACGTGAAGGTGGCGAACACGCCCAGGAAGATGATGAGGATCAGCCCCGGCACGATGCCCACCACCGCCAGCGCGCCCGGCAGGGACAGCATCCCGTTGGACACGATCTCGGCGATCATGAGCACCGCCACCATGTGCCAGGTCAGGGTTTTGTAGCGGATCTGGTGGCTGGCTTCGTGGCCGAACACGTCGTTGTCTGTTTCATTGTGTCAATGTTAGGGGGGGTTCATTGGTTGGGGGCTAGGAGACCGATTGATGGTGCTCTCTTCTTCTTCTTCGGTGTCAGGAGTAGGTATTAGGTTGTCTTACCGTCGTAGAATAAGGGTGCTTGAGTGCCATTTTCATACCGCTCCGGCGGGCTCTCAATCTTCTCCTGGTCGGAGTAGCGGTAGCTCTTCATTGTTCCTGATCCAGGCTCCGGTATCGAGCTTGATGACAGCTGCGGGATTAAAATTCAGGGCAACGACAAACGAGGTCGCCGAATATGCAGAGCAGCGCGTTGTAGCAACCTCTGACATGAAGCAACAGTGTCGAGGTTGTTGTGAGCTGGCGGCACATTCCCCGGTTAGGCAGGTGGTTAACTGAGTTGGTTCAGTGGTTAGTTAACCGAGTTGGTTAAATGGATTAGTTAACTGAGTTAGTTAAGTGGATTAGTTAACTGAGTTAGTTAAGTGGATTAGTTCACTGCTCTAGTTTGGCATCTGTCTTCCAATCATCCAATCATCCTCTATTCATTATCTTTCTGGCTGTGGGGGATGCAGCTTAACTATTCTGATCTAGCCATGTCTATGGTACATGTTGCCTGGAGCAGAGCCATTGACCAGTACCACTCTTTGCTTTTTGCTTCTTGCTTCTTGCTGACCAAGCGATTTTCATCGAATCGCTACAAGTCTAGCTACAAGGCTAGCTATGCACAAAGCCATTCAGGCGACCTCATCTCTCTTGTTGATGATTGTTGATGATGAGCGCCTTCTCTCTGTCTGGTGCAACAATGCCCATTTGGGTCATGAAATTACGAACCCATGTCCTTCTGGACAGTCGAAAGTAACATTACAATAGAATACAATTCCCCTCAACTCCTCTCATGATCCCAAACATCATGTATCATTATCAGTACACACCTGCCTTCTCCTGGTCCTGGCGAGAGTGTTGGCGAGTGATTTGCGGCGAAGGGGTTTTCTGCTGGCTTTGCAAGCTTTCCTGCCTCTCTCGATCCATCTTGGCAGCTCGGAGTCGACCATTCATGAAATTACCGACCTGGCCCAGCCTGCTTGTCAGGCCCAGAGATCGTCTGGATCCGGAAGCACTACTCCTTTGTACAGTAACGTTCTCTGGCGTATGCTCAGTCGAACTGAAATACGATGAAGCTTCTCTTGTCGCTCCATTGGAGACACGACGACGATAAACAGGTTGGATATTATCTTTGGGTGTTGTAGGACTGTTGAGGTTACTGCTTCCAACATTGGCAGTTGAAGGGGCATATGATCGACAGGTCGGCAAACCTGAGCTCGCAATCACAGATGGCGACGCGTCTGCAGGAATGTCATTCCCCTTCCTGACAAAGCTCGGCAATGGATGTGAGCTAGTGTATTCTCTTCCTATACTTGTTCGATCCCTCGCACTTCGATGTCTCAGACTGACTTCGGTTCTGGCACGACTGACAGGTCTTACAGATGGGCTGTGTTCATTCTCCGAGTCGTCCACGCCATCAACTGCACCTGCAGCACGCTGACCACGAAGACGTGTCGCAGCGCGGTTGAGCCGGCTCGACGAGTTGGGTTGCATCTGATTCTGAGGCTGCGCCACGGAAGGTGTCCGGATGGCTATCTCCCGAGTAGTATTCTCTTGTGGTGAATTCGACATGCTGTTGTGGAGAAGACTAGCTCTTCTACTCTCTAGGCGAGACTGGGCTCGAGCCATCGCTGATGGACGAGCATCCTCAGGGCCGATGCTTAAGCGACGACTGAAGCGCGAAGCGGAATCTAAGCTATAGCTGGTCGTAGGAGGAGTAGTGTGACTGGGGTTAGATGAGGCGCCACGGCTGCTGGGTCTGAATGGGTGTAACGAGGTGGGTGGATTTGGTCCGGCAGAAAGGGCGATAGCGAGCTCGGTCAGACCTCTACACATGCTATCCGCTCTTCTCCGCAGTTGACGTTCTGCGGAAGAGGATGCACCAATCACCGACGAACTGCCAGGGTGCAGTCCTGCTCCCATTACCGAAGCAAGCTGCAATGCATCAGAGGCTGTAGCTTCCAGTTTCTGATAGATGTCAGCGCTTAGCATTGGTCGAGCTTTCTGGACTGCTTCATGAAGCAGAGGATGCACCGTCAGAGAAACTCCATCGATTCCTGATTCGTCCGGTGAACTGTTTGCTTTGCCACGTTTTGGTGAGGAGGACATTGTTGTGATAGTGGTGGTGGCGGTTCGGGGCCGTTCGGCTGGCGACATGGCAGCTGCAGAGGAAGAAGGCAACTTGCCTGTCAGTTCGAGCTTCTTGATTCGTGACTTTAGCTCGTCAAGCTCGTCCCACACGGTGGATGGCGCCGCAGTAGACATGGTTGACTCTGTACCTTCAACGCGTGCCGTAGTTTGCTCAAGATAGCGTGCTCGCTCCTGCAATTCAGAAGTCGACACGTTGCGGTCACTCCGAAAAGCTGACAGATTCGAGCGTCGATATGATCTGGTCCCAGAATCGACATTGGTAGCTCTCTCGCTCCTATTGTAAGGAAGTTCAGGAGATGCTTCACGATCCCCTCTCCCCAGGGTGCTATGGTTGCCGGTGGGGTGCATCTTCGTCCCAGCGCTGAAGTATCTTTGGCGTCCTGGTTCGTCCAAAGGATGCGCAGATCTGGCGATTGACCTGAAGCTGAGTGACTGACGTTTGTTTGGCTGATGATGCAGATCAGTGCGAGGCGAGAGTGCGTCATGTCCAACCTGATTCTGTTCTGGTAGCTGAGTCGCTTCAGTTGGAGGATTATCGTCCGGTCTGCTTAATGAAGTTGTGTACGAAGTCCCAATTCTTGACTGTAGATATTGCATATTAGACAAGACTTGGGTTAGGTCCAGCAAAGAGAGAAGATCTTACCTTACGCCTCTTAGATCGAAGCACCAACTCTTGTCTACCTGCATCAATCTGTGCAAGGTTGAGGAATAAGTCATCACTTTTCTGGTCATCAGCACCAGAATTTTTTCTCCCTTCGCCATCAGACTGTACCTCCATCCCTGGACTAAGGTGTTCTCGGGCAGTGCATAAAGTTTCTGTGCTATGTCCAGCCGTACCGGGGTCTGTATCAATGTCTTGACCTGCAGCTGATTGATCAACCTGCCTGCCCGGTGTAGTGGTGTTGTCCAAGTCATCTTGATTGAAATCAGCCCCTTGATCATTTGCTACCTCGTCCTTGTCCATTGAAGGTATGTTTCTTGGAGGTGAATCGGACTCGTCGTAAAAAGACCCAGCACCTGATTGTTGTGCAATGTTTGACTTTTCGGGAGGAGAAGGTTTCCAAAGACGATCTTGCGACAGAGTGCGCTGCGTAGTGAAGGAGGGTGGTGGTCCATTAGATGTTTCCACCCCGTAGCTGCTGTGGGAGGCAGGTGGTCGCCTTTGAGAAGGGGATCGGCTATCGGCCGTCGACGCGTTTGAAGGCACCCTCAGTAACGGCGCTCCCACTGTCGCAGAGCACAACTCGGGAGCGGGAACTGCGGGAGCAGATTCGGAATCCCGAGGATCAGGTTTGACGTGGAATGTCGGTACGGAAGGCGATTTAGTGAGTATGGGATTCTTTTTGGATTGGTTTTGGCTTGTAGGTATCGAGGTTAGAGTTGTGCTGCGGCGCTTCTTCTGTGGCCTGGAAGGCGAGGGTGTGGTATTGAGGATGTTTTTTTCGATTGCAGGTTGACGCGGTGACGCATCAATTGACAGACGCGCTTGATGTGATCTCTCTGGGCTTCCGATAAGTGGTTCGGTATGGCTTCTCGAGTGGGACCATTCTTGGGGTGGAAGATGCGGAAGCCGGCTAGGAGTGGTGACTACGGTTGATATATTCATAGCAGTGGTAATGGTGGAGAGCGCAAGGGCGTCCTGACCTCAACTGCCAGCATCAATCACGAGTGACGGCCTGTGTTACCAGGTACAGAAGTCATCCTAGCACAAGCTGAACGACATAAGATGGCAAAGCTGCACAACCGCAACATGCAGCTCGGGGGGGATTTCACGTTCTTGGGAACAGAGCTGGACTCTGGTACATCTGTATCACAATACAACAAAGATGATGAATGTTCAAACACATTTCCAGTAGTGTTTTGGTTACTGGGTAGTGGCTAAGGCAAAGGCAGAGAGGATGCAGAGGCACCGAGTCAGTCACCCCCTCTCAGTCCGTGTCCATCACAAACGACGTGAGCAGCAAGTTCGGCTATTTGACATGACACGGGCATGAAATTGAGCTTAGATTTTCTTCTAGAGGCGCCTCTACTACGTAGTCGCCCTCCCTAAAGTTCATGGGCAGCCCCACTACTGCAGGTCACCATCTCTAGGCATGCCTAAGTACAAGGGTCCCCAGCAAAACAAGAACCGCAGTGTATCAAGTGTGGAGGCTGGGAGGCTTCGGCCATCACTTCACCCAATTGGCACTCATTTCGATCGACCTGTCTTATCTCTTCTGGAATGCCGCACGTTTACTATGTAAGATAATGTTCAAGCAGAAAAAGGCATCGTTCGACGATCTTGCGCGGCGTGGGTGTTGCACAAGCCAACCATTTTCATCTCACCTTATTGCATCCATCACGTACAAAGCTACAAGTTCTGCAGTATCTTTTACAAATCAAAGACGCAACCTCAAGGGGTCTCTTGCAAAGTAACCAGATATGAGGTCAGCACTCTTGCCGTCCTTCATCGAGACACCGGGAGGAACGTAGAGATAGATCAATCTTGACTCTGTCGTTCTGGTCCCAAGGACGACTCTGTTTCAGGTTTGCTTAGCAATTTTATGTAGTTATCCTGTGCATCAGGAAATGACATTAGGGTAGCCTGGGATTCCGTTTTGGCCAGGATTGCCGGATTCACAGATACCTACTGAGTTGACATAGTTAGCTCCCCACCAGCACTGAATGGAGGACCCCCAGGCTTGCTTTTAACTGATGTCCAAGGAGGATATATTACATATTAGTTATACCGTTTCCAGATCTGCTACAACGATTATCAAAATCACAGTATTATTGAGGAGCAGCACCTCTAAACTCATTCTCAATTGACCAATTGTTGGCCCTGGCAATATCTCACTGACCCACCGTTGACGCTCCAGCTTAGTAATTGCTGAAAGTCGTCAAGTATTTGTGGTTGAAGTTATGAGGCCAACCAGGAACTTTTCCATCAATTACAATTACACCAAAAACATCGTGAGTGGTGAGCACAGGAGCATCTTCTTCTTTCCACCACGCCGCGTGATGTCAGCTTGATCAAGTTGTTTACTGTCGGACGACCCTAAAAGATACAAGCCGAGCAAGGTCATGGTTTGTGCCTGTTCACCATGATTTCCTCAAGATTTGCTCGAATGCATTATATGGACACCGCAGAACAACTCGCGGGATTTGTTTAATCAGCTCAGCACACCCTTTCAGAATTTGGAAATCACTTAGTGGATTACACATGAGGATTACGAGGACTGCATCTTCCAATCAGCAGAGACTACTTCCAACTATGAGTGAGCCGAAACGAGTTGCAGTCATCGGTATTGGCTCCCTTCTTCACCCTGTGATATTGGCCTTGACAAGTTCCAGGCGCTGGCCCTTCTGGTCTTGCGGCTGCAAAGTCACTGATACATGATCATCCTCCGGGCACATTTGCACCAATCATCTATGAAAAGTTGTCCCATGTTGGTGGTATCTGGCCTGTACGCAGCGATGACCAAGCCAACATCGTTCCTCCTGACATGCCCACCAATGCCAGTAAGCACCTTGTGAGTTTTTCAGACTTGGCATGGGATTCTGTCAAAGTCCATCAGAGCAAGCAACCTGGCCAAGATATTGCTACCTTTCCCAAAGCTCACGAAGTTGGAAAATACCTCCAAACTTATGCGGACAAGTATATACCCTCCGAGTGCATCAGATTTGGCACAGAGGTTATCAGCATCTCAGAGACAGATGCCTCTGGCCCGGAATGGAACGTTATCAGTCGTGCTTCGACCAAAAGCAACATCACCGCGGAGGAGAAGTTCACTCATGTCATTGTTGCTAGCGGTTTCTTTGCTGCCCCTGAAATACCACAATTACATGGATTGGATAAATTTCAAGGTGTTGTCATTCATAGCTCGCAATTACGTGACCTCGACACCCTCCTCTCAAGAATGGCCAACAAGACGAAGATTGTTGTAATTGGTGGCAGTATGTCTGGAGGCGAAGCAGCCGCGACATTAGCATTCCAGATTTCGTCCGATCGACACGCAGCAGGAACGCACTCAACGAATGCTGAACGACTCGGCGTTTATCATGTCACGCCTCGACCTTTCTGGTCAGTGCCCCCATATGTACCTCTGAACCCTATCGCCGACGGTGCTCCCAATCCATGTCCAATCTTCGCTCCATTGGACGTGGTGTTTGGCGATCTTAGCCGCAGGCCAGGCGATCAGATCCGCTTCGCTCCTTCAGCGACTTTCGCATCCGAGGCTGCGAAGATGTTCAACGCACTATTGCAGTCTCTGATGGGAAGTAACCAATCCGGATGGGGAGACGGAAGCTTGACAATTCCGAATTCAGCATTTGAAAAACCTCCATGGCTTATCATCAGCACCACGCATGCAGAATTTGTCCGGTCAGGCGATGTTAAGGTCATCCTTGGTCGTGCTGCTGGCATTGAGGGCCACACGATGATGGTTCACACCGGTGACGGCGAAGCCATTGAATTGGCTGATGTGGGCATGATTGTCATGGCAACAGGCTTCACACCTCACCCGGCGCTGTCATTTCTATCTCCAGCAATAAGACAGGCCTTGGAATACGATCTCAGCAACCAATACGATCCTATCAAATTGTTCAACTTTGGCACAATGCATCCGTTAATTCCTTCTCTGGGGTTTGTAGGCTTCTATCGTGGCCCCTATTTTGGGGTACTTGAGCAGCAAGCGCGGTTTCTAGGGGCATTATGGTCCAACTCTTTGCGGGAAGTGCCAAATGAGCCTCCTGCCAGAGTCGAAGACATAAAGCAACGCGGTCAATTTCCAATGGGCGACTACGTAGGATTGATGGAGTCCTTTGCCGCAATCCTGGGAAGCGAACGCTGGCCTTTGTCGCCAGAGCACTCTTCAAGGGAAGGCCCAGCTATACCGGCTCGTTATCCTGGAAAGACTGTCAGAACAAACCCATCTGCGGCTGATGAGCAAAAGAAGGCCTGCGAGGCTATGATCCGGACAATTGCGAGGCAGTCAATGTTTGTGGCACCCGCCGTGTTTCGTGCCCTTCAAGGCCGGTGGAAGTTGACACGCGAGATCCGGAGCGTTATCCCCACCTACCCATCTGGAATTTTCAGAGGCGAAGCCAACATGTATCCTCGCAAGCCAACAGACGATGGTTATGCAGCCGAGTTCCTTTACACAGAGAACGGCGAGCTAGCTACTCCTGAAGGCCTGCGGATGACAGGAAGTCGGAGCTACGTATATCGTCTATCCGAGTTTGAGCCTCAAGCAATCACTGTATGGTTTGTGAAACCCGAAAGTGGCAGCAAAGAGGTTGACTACCTCTTCCATCAAGTACAATTCCACGAGGAAGCTAGTGGGCAACACCAGGATGCATGGGGAAGTGGATGGCGCGCAAAAGGCTCGCATCACCTATGCGTGGAAGACCACTACGACACTGAATACTGGTTCAGACTCCATGCCATAGAGATCAAGGAATGGGGCATTGGCTACACGGTCAAAGGTCCAAACAAGGACTACTGGACACGAGCAACCTATGCAAGGTAAAGATTGATAAGAGTGACCTGCTATATTTGGTTGCCATACCGTTGTAGTATGACGAATGTACGTAGTGAGCGTACAAGGAGGGGTGGCGGATAAGAAAACGAGTGCATTCCCAAATTAGGGGCCCACCACAATCTTTTTTCGCTTAAAGATACTCCGTAATGCTAATGAGAAAGGAAATTTAAACAGATCGGTGCGCCACAGGGAGAACCTTGGCTGCAAAATGCAGGCTACTACTAGGTTAGTCCTAGTAATAGCAGTCACTCTTGGCTTAATTTTGGTGTGTTTCAAAGCAAGAGCTAATGCATGCCAAGACTCTGTGACCTTGCCCCTTGTTTCTCCTTCGAATAGTGCTCCAGGCTGTTTGTAGGAGGCAAATTTCCGTGTATACTTTAATTGTGTACGCAGTATGCAACTGCCTGAAATGGAATATTTCGATATTGTCTATAACCGTATCAGGCCATCGTCAGTATTAACAGCAAATTCACTCCGCAATGCCTTCGGTATGTTCTTCTACACCATTACACCTTATCGCCGGTAAGGCATCAGACGCTTCAAAGTGGAGCAGAAAACGGAGTGTGCAGGATCTAAATTTACTGTTACACCATCTCCCCACAGCCGAACAGGCGCCTGCTCCTAGATAGTTTGCAGCTTTGAAGCAGCAAGGAATTTGCTTCGGAAAGTCCTGGTTTGGTGTATGTCTTTATTTATCCTTATATTTGCCTGCGGTCTTTGTGGTGGAGTATTTGCTCACAGTGGTGATGTTCGACTGGCGGTGATAGGTTGTGTAGTTGCTATTGACACCAGGTAGCTCCGTCATGCCGTTGACAGTCCCGTTCCGCTCTGTCATCTTCAGACGGTGCAGCCATCATAATTAAAGGCCGGGAAGACTGCTATTCAAGATCCACGCTCGACCAAGGTTTCTCGGAGTCGAACCCGAGTAGTACTCGTGACAAATATGTGGCAACGATCGAGCGGAGATGGCCGATTCAAGGGGACGAAACAAGTCCCATAGAGAGCACGGATCACGGCCGTCGGAATCTGTAACATGACGCTTCGACTAACATAATGAAGGACCGATCTGACCGGTCTTCGTCGGTGCTGCCGTGGTCTTTGTGTAGGTTCGCAAACGTCAAACAACAATTTTGGTCACTTGCATCGTGTTCTTTCAGCAGACAAGTTTTGCCGCCTTATGGCCTGGAGGAAAGTGGCCATTCTTCCGTTTTCGTCAACCTTTGACTGGATACCCATGGGTTGGAATCCGGGGACTAAATATAGATCTGGCTGGTTATAGGCTGGGCTGGCCCAGGGTCAGTGCGCCCATTCGAGGTTAGGGTATGCATGATCGCCAGCCAACCGACGTGATCGCCATCGATGCCATTGGATTGTTCCCTTATGCAACCCTTGAGCATTTGGACCAAGCGAAGCGCCTGTGACCTCCGAGGGGAATAGCTTCAATCCAGTTCAACCAGCCCCACTCTGTCACAGTGTCCAACAGGAGTGCCCCAATCGAGCCATTTTGCCCACCCTACCTCTCTCCCTCTCGTCCGCTCCTTGTCATCTGTGCTCGCTAGCAGAGAGCAAAAGGTCAGAGCCGCCGACCGACTCAACTGGAACTCTGCATCGACCTCCACAACCTGACCTCACTCGCTTTTGGACCCCTTCCCACTGCTCTGCGAAAAACATCCTGTCCTACCTCTGAATATCCATATTGCAACACCAGGGCCACTCCGCTTCCCCGCAGATCGTATCTGGGGAATTCACAGTAATTTCGCTGGAGGTGTCGCCGGTCGACTACGATTTCCAGCAAGCTTGCATGATCAGTTGAGCAGTCTTTCCAGGTCAAAGCTGGTCTTTCTCGTACCCTGGCAACAATCTTCTTCGAAAGGGCTGTGTTGGTTTGAGCCAGCGGCAACTGTTTGGTCCTTAGACATCAGTATCACAAACGCTGAGACCATCATTGGCGGTACGGATCCCCTCTCCTTGTTCTCTCTGCCATCACTGTTCCTGCTGCGCGCTTGCTCGCATCCGTCCGAACCACCGTCGATGGACATCTTCTCTTCTGGCCTCATACTTTGTACTTTCCTCTGTTTACTTCCCATCGCCCCATGTTTGTTTATAGCCATGCCTGTGTCTGAAGATGACCATGTCTTCCTGCCATGTGATCGAAGCTGACAGTCTTACTCTGAAAAGATCGTTTGACGCCGTGCGAGACCCGAATCTTTATCAATACCGCGGCCCATGCAAGCGAGTTGATGGCGAAACGGTGTATCTGAAGTCTTCGCTTACCAGCAGTCACTTTTCGCGTCCTTCCAAGAGAAAAGCAACAACAACCACATCTCACTCACTCGCTATGCCGGTCCAGACCAGTGCGCCAGTATCAGCTGCCTTTCCATCATTTATGTCTGTCTTCGGAGGTGGTATGGGCATGTTAGAAGATGGTGTGAGTGAGGACATATTGCGCAATGATTCCAGGGATGGGTCACAATTAAATGCCGAGAAACCGTTCCAAACACATTATCCATTACCTACTCCATATCAACGTCGCAGAAGTGCGGCATCTATCATCTCGGACTCTACCGAATCCTCACCCACAACCACAGTATCAACGTTTGGTTCACCATCTATGACAGAACCCTCGCCCAGTTCCTCGCCAGAGTCCCCGACTTCACTTTTACCTCTCTCACCATTCCAGAAAATGACCGGCTCCTCAAGCCACGGTGGGAATGCAAACGAGACATCACAGTCTTCTATATTCTTTGCCTCTCAATCACGGTCTCAATCGCCAGCAAGCAAGGAGCGTAATGTCAAGAATTTGTCGCTGAACATGAATGTCACAGCTGCGCGGCCTGCAACATCTTCTGCTGCAGAAGGTCTTCATGCCTTTTCGGCTCCTACATCTCCACTAAGAGGTCCTTTGAAGACCGGTCGAAGAAGACCCAACAACCTGACCATTCAAACGCCAGGGTTTGACAAGACAACATTCTCTGCATGCGAAATACCTCCTACACCAAGCCACAGACCTGCTTTGAAACACCATGAATCATCTCCTGCTCTTCCGTCCCTGGTGTCACCCACTACAGCTCCACTGGTGGGGATGCAACTTCCGCCTATCTCGATGAACCGTCTCCTGTCACGTCCAGGCTCAGAGTCTAGTTTTTCATCTTTGTCAGTGAGCAGTCAAGGTCTACACGAACTGCAAGAAGAAGCGAACGAGACTAACAAACCTCTTAAATCTCAAGAAGCTCAAGAACGCGGCTACCCGGATGGGCCTATCCGTATTTACGACTCAGGTGTCTATCTCTATCTTGAGCCAAGCGCAGAGGAAGCCTCCAAATATGACACTGTCATCAACGTGGCCAAGGAGGTTCCCAATCCTTTCTTCATGCCATCTGCCAAGTACAAGAGTTCTGTAATGTCCGTGTGGAGGAACTCAGAGCACGTCGACTCGGTAGAGCCTCAGACAGCTGTTTCTGATGTCTCCTTCAAATCGGCCCTCGAATGGCCTCAGGTCACGGGTCATACATCACCTACCACTCCGAAAGCGAGATTGGCTGCACCTGAATACATCCATGTTCCTTGGGACCACAACTCTGAAATCCTGGACGACCTCTATTCTCTATGCAAGATCATTGAAAGCCGGGTGTCAACAGGCAAGAGTGTCCTAGTCCATTGCCAATTAGGGGTGAGTCGGTCAGCATCGCTTGTCATTGCATATGGTCTGTACAAGGGCTTTAAGAGTGACTTTCATTCAATGTATACCACTGTCAAGGAACGAAGTCAATGGGTCGGACCGAACATGAGTCTCATCTATCAGCTGATGGATTTCCGCACGAAGGTTGCCAGCGGAGAGTACTCTGCTAGGTCCAAGTCGTTACCTGAAGACTGGTTCTTGAATGGCAGCACAGAGAATGAGATGACACCAAGACCACGTCATGGACCTTTAGAGACATCGTCAGGTTCTCCTCTACCGCCGATCTCCACCGCGCCTGTTGAGTGCTCGGCAAGCAGCCCTCCACCTATTCCGCCCTTGAATGAGGCTAGGGCTGCCTTCCGTGAAGACTCACTGCCGACAGCTTTGTCCAATATTGCGCTTTCCTCCCCCAGCAATGAATCGGCTACAACTTCGTCACCAATATCTCCCTCTCTTGATGCACCGCCGGTACCTCCAAGATCTGCTAAGCGAAGTACTCCTCGACCATTGCCGCTGCGAGAGTTGTCCTACCCATCGATGAAGCCTTCCGAAATCCCGCCTCATACCCGAAGAAATATGTCGCAAGGGCGATTCGCCCAGCAAGCTATCTCGTATTCACCTGTCAAAATGGACTTAATGGTGCAAGACTTGCCGCCAACTCCATCAATCTTTTCACCACGGACAACGGAATTCAGAACAATGTCCTTGAATGGGACGGATGCTGGAGATCTGGCATCCGAGAAGAGTCAGAAAAAGTCGGGTCATGGCAACAGAATGAGCGTCTTTTCGCAACCTCAAGCATCTGTTGCTGTTGATCCGAGAAGTCCTCATCATGGCAACGGAAAGGCTGAGATCATGAGGCATATTGACGATGTGCTGTGAATCCTGATGGCACACTCGAATCTGTCCAAATGTATTTGTTAATGCAGATCATGCCAAGTCACGAAGTATGATCACTCTAATGTCTACCGAGGTCGCGCAAAGATGGTGGTGCAGGATATGTGTGGAGGTACATTGGATTTGAGATGTGGAATCAAACCCGAGCCTGCAGCTTCAAAGCTGGTCTTTGGAGCTGTCCAGCCATCCATCTGCACATATATATCAATGTGAAATCAGTGGGATCATTGGTGAAAAGAATTCGGCTGGCTACCGGGGTTGTGTTCAAAGGGTATGGCAGCCATATATGCTCAATTGACTGGTCATACCGGGGGAAAAGCGCTTCATCTGCTATGGTAGCCACATACTGCGGCACTTTCAGTGCCTAAATGTATTAATAGCTTTGTCTGAGAGTGATTCGCAGGATGAGAAGCCCTACATGGATGGGAGGAGCATGCTTGGAGTTGTCTCCCAGCGGACAACTAATGAGACGATTGACTCAATCAGTAATGCAAAAGCATGAATAATTCAAGACGGGACTGTGGACCTTCGTATTTGCTGCCACTGATTCATTCCTATGTGGTTATATGTTTATGTGTGTTTACGTGTGACGTAGATTGGAACCCTTCTTCAGCTCCGCGATAAGTGAATGATTAATTCTGACTGTTCCAAATTGCTGTGGTTTGCTCATAGGCAAAAGTTATGTATCTCTAGACAGTTGACAAGCAACGGTCATCCTCTGACATGAATGTTCTCGCCTGAAGTCTGCTCTCTCGTGTGATGCATTATGGCGATGGATAGGACCCGGATCGCAAAGGCAGGCCACCATGACATGAGCGGGTAATATCAAACTGAGTCCTCGCAGGTTGAAGACGTAACGCTATCCCGCCGCGGTGATCAGGTCGCTGGCACTTTACATCTCACACCACATCATATTATTTTCGTTCACACGTCTGCTGGCGACAATGGCACAAAACCCGCTCGACCGCGGGAACTGTGGATTACCTACCCCATCATCTCCTTCTGCACCCTTCGACCTACGCCGGCTGCCTCCAGGCAACCATCTTCGATCCGGCTGCGCTGCCGAGACTTCACCTTCGTGTGCTTCTATTTCTCCAGTGAGTCGAAAGCAAGGGATGTGTACGACAGTATCAAGGCTTGGACCTGCAAACTGGGCAGGATTGAGAAGCTCTATGCTTTCACATATCAGCCGCAGCCGCCAGAGAAAGATATCAATTCATGGGATTTCTACGATCCGATGAAGGAGTGGCGGCGTATGGGTGTGGGTGATACATCGAGGAAGACCAAGTGGAGGATATCCAATATCAATCTGGATTATTCTGTATGGTCGCCAATACCTTCAATCCTCCGTGCCTAACGTGTACAGTTTTCCCCTACATATCCCTCTTTACTCGCTGTCCCGGTCTCTATATCAGACAATACGCTCAACTATGCCAGCCGTTACCGCTCGCGAGCACGAATACCGGTCTTGACTTATCTCCATCCTGTCAATGACTGCTCCATAACACGAAGTTCCCAGCCACTTGTCGGTGTCCGGCAGAACAGAAGCATACAGGATGAAAAACTGTTGGCTGCCATTTTCTCCACCACTCAAAATGAACGTCCATTATCACACATCTTCCCCTCACCAACCCCGGAGAGGGAGACTTCCGCATCTTCAAAGGAAGAGCCTTCTTCCTCGAAAGACAGCGATATCAACTTGACCTCGTCCGAAGCTATAGAAGACGAAATCATTGCTCGACTTCGTGGTGATAACGATGCTAAACCCGACTGTGAGAAGGACGAACCATCCAAACCTGTTGTTTATGGCGCACAGCAGCGAAATATGATCGTGGATGCTCGACCCACAGTAAACGCTTATGCCATGCAAGCCGTGGGTCTGGGCTCTGAGAACATGGACAACTACAAGTTTGCTACAAAAGCCTATTTGGGAATTGACAATATCCACGTGATGCGTGACTCCTTGGACAAAGTCGTGGCAGCACTTAAAGATAGTGATATTGCGCCTTTGGGTCCTAACAGAGAGTTACTGGCAAAGAGTGGATGGCTGAAGCATATCAGTAACATGCTTGATGGAGCGAGCTTGATCGCGCGGCAAGTCGGTGTGCAACACAGTCATGTGCTTATCCATTGCAGTGATGGATGGGATCGAACAAGCCAACTAAGCGCTTTGAGTCAACTATGCCTGGACCCATATTATAGAACCATCGCAGGCTTCATCGCGTTGATCGAGAAAGACTGGTTATCCTTCGGTCATATGTTTCGACATCGCTCCGGCTTCCTCAGTTCGGAAAAATGGTTTCACGTCGAAAACGAGAGGATAGGCGGAAGAGATGCTGCTACCAGCCACGACAGTGGGGCTGGCAAGGTTGAAACCATGTCTGGCGCTCAAAAGACTTTTGAGTCCGCCCTTCGTGGAGCGAAAGGCTTTTTCAATCGGGGCGACAATGCTAACGCCTCCCGCGAATCGCTTGCTGCCTTTGATTCCGACAGCGATCAAGCCTTGCAATCATACGAGTCAGATTCTCCATCTTCGTCCCGCCGTCAGCAACCATCCTCCCCAGCTCCAGCGAGCCAAGTCGCGAAGAAGAAACCCGAACCTGAAACCACAAAAGTCAAGGAGACGTCTCCAATTTTCCATCAGTTCCTTGACGCTGTGTACCAACTCCAATTCCAATATCCCACACGCTTCGAATTTACAGAGCGCTTCCTTCGCAGGCTCCTCTACCATCTCTATTCGTGTCAGTACGGTACTTTTCTTTACGACAACGAGAAAGCCAGGAAAGATGCGGACGTGATGGGTAGGACGAGAAGCGTTTGGGATTACTTCCTCTCCAGACGAGATAGCTTCTTGAACCCAAAATACGATCCGGTAGTGGATGATAATGTGCGAGGGAAGGAACGTCTCATCTTCCCCAGAGTGGAGGAGGTGAGATGGTGGGCTGAGATCTTCGGACGTAGTGACGAAGAAATGAATTTTGGAATTGGCGGCGCCAAGGCAAGAGAGGGGAGGCCGTTAAGAGGATACACCAAGCCAGGTGGAGCAGCTGCGGATGGCGGAACAGCTCCCAACGCGGCTGTTGTGGACGACTCGTCTTCTTCGTTTGTCGGGGACTCGAACCCTCAGAGTGAGGCGAGGACGCCTGTTCTCACCGGCGTAGAGACGGCGGAGGAGAGCGTAGGACCCGCTGCAGCGGCGAAAGAGGAGGGTCCGCAGTCAGCGGAGAGCACAGCTGAATTAATGCACCAATTGAGCAGTGGCTCTACTCAACCTGGCAATGCAGAAGTAGCAGAAGACTTTGCCGCGAGGGGCACCACCGAGCTGGCGGACGACATGAAAGGTATGGGCATTGCGTCGAACAAGATTGCTGAAGTATATCAAAGCCCGCCGCTTCCACCATCACCTTCGATTACCAGTGCTACAGACAATATCGACGGGAAGTGTGCTGGTACAGACCCTGCCTCCGTTCCTCTTCCCGCCGCCGTCCCTTCTACAAACGATGACCAAAACACCCAGGAACCAGTCGCAGACCTCGATACGGATCCCCTCGGCGTTGGCAGCTTGACCAATGGCACCACATCTTCCGCAGCGGCCATGGCTGCAGCAGAAAGGAAAACCCGGGCGGCTTTGAGGAGGCAGGTGGAGAGGGAGATACAATGATACGACAGGATAGGAATACGTAGAGTAGTGTTGCAAGCAAACCTCACATATCCATCTCCTCAGCCCCCTTGGTTGTTCCTCCTCGCATCTACCATCATCTCTCTCATGACCGACTGATCGTGCACAAGATCCAATGAACACCATTTCCCTTCTCCATCCGTACCAGAGAATAGATGCGTAGACTGAACCCAGATCATACACGTCAATTTCTAGTTCTCATTCCGCTTCTATGGATGGGGTTTCTGACGCTTGACCTAGCCGCCACCTGCTCCCTCCCTGCGGATCATCACCGGAGAGGCGCCTCAGATAAATATACAAAATTCAGTGCTCATGAGAGTGAGTGAAGGGTTATCAGACGAAGATGAACCGGCACCGTTCGAATTGCCGTCTATTCATTTGCTCGCCATCAGGTCAGAGGACCCTGGTAGTTAGTAAAAGAGGTTAAGCAAACCAACATAGCGTCTTGGTAGTAGTATTTGATACGATTAGTATCGTACATAACTGGAGCATCTTCTTCTGTGCTTGCCTGGGTACAGCTTTGAGGCAGATAGGTGCCTGATTTTAGTGGTTCGATGCCGTCGACGCGGCCCGCACGGAAGACGGAGTAAAGTGATCGAAATCAACCTTGCAATCATCTCTCAGCCACTTACAAAGTACGCACGGGAAATTAGGGACAGGAAAATCAGTAGGAGTCATGGCATCCGAGCTGCGCTGTTCAACTTTCTCCCCCCGCTACTTACGTAGTTATAAGTCTCTCCCTGTTCCTGTCACGCCATCACGCCAACACGCCAACTCTTGCATCGTACTCTCCAAGCCCACAATTCACGCCACAATTAAGAGGATAGGCGACATGATCGGAAGGGAGAACGACCATAATGGTAGTACCGACGGTCCTGTAGCTGCAGCTGCCAAGAAGCCACCCCTACGCCTGATTCTACATATTATGCCCCCTAGACTCACACACCAATTTCCATTTCCACCTTGAGACCTGGGCACATATGACTGTAACCCGAGCAGTTAATAGCAACCCTGAGCTGTGACCTTGTAAGACTGTTCTGAGCCTGAGTAGCCCTGTACAGTCATGAGCAGCCCTGAGCATCGATTGAATTTTACCCAGAGCTCCCTGGGGGGCGGAAATTCTGGGCCTTCCGCCCCAGCCTGTCACGTGCTTGTTACGTGCTTGTTATGCTTGACGTCCGTAGATAGCTTCCGTTGCTCTTTTGCAACTTCTCTCCCAGCTCCATCCATACTCTACTCAATCAATCAATTTGCTCAAGCCATTGCACAGCCACCACATGCAAATACCCGAGATGGATGCAGCGAATTTTCAGGCAACTGAACAAACTGTACTCCGTACTGGCGTGGGTATGGCTGCACCAGTCGCGAGGTCAATGCTCGATTCTATACTTGCCCCCTCTCATTGCTTTCCATGTCTCTTCGCTCCTTTCTCACTACTGCGGTCCGTACAGGGCAGCATTCGCATCGGATGGTTATAAGACTAGAGCACCGCATAGGTAACAACCCTTCCGGGGATTTTAGAGGTCTACATTACTACCATTCACAACACGACAAGAATTCATCTCCACGGAAATCTGATAGAGAGTTATATCGACACGATGCGCTCATACACTCCGATTCCATAAGACTCCTGAAGCTTCTGCGCGGAGCGCGTCATTCACCACTGCAATGTGAGATCCTGGAACAAAGAAAGGGCTCAGGTCCCGCGTTCGAGGCTTTATCATATACCTGGGGCGCACCGGTCTTTGCTCAAGTCCTCGAGGAGGTCAAGTCGGACACGATTGTACGTATCACGGAGAACCTTTCACACGCGCTGCACGAGTTTCGGCTCAAGGACACGGACCGCTATCTCTGGATCGACCAAATCTGCATTAACCAACAAAATGCCTCGGAAAAGAGCCATCAAGTGGCCGCCATGGACGAGATATATCGTGGCGCAACTAGGACGCTCGTCTGGCTTGGGAAGGAAGAAGCACACGAGGCCATGGACGAACTGGAACGCATTGGTGGCGATTTTGAATCCTTTGGCTACAAAAAGGTCTTTCCTTTCCCACCGACCGTTTGGAGTCAGGAGTACCTCCAGAAATTCATTGCCCTGTTCGAGACCTGCAACGGTGGGGTTCTCTATGACTTCTTTGGAAGACCATGGTTCGAGCGCGTGTGGGTCTTCCAAGAGTTCATTCTGGCCAGGAACCTTGAGATCTTCTGTGGCAGCCGTTCGATCAGTTACGATCTCTTCAGCAAGACGTTGTGTATCTTCTACGTCGCTATGAGAAAAATCAATCTTGGTAACATGGGCATGCAGCACGACCGGGGAGGAGTGATGAAGCTGATCACCAGTCCGAGGTACGCGCGCGCTTGGGAGCTGATTCGGCGACGTGAACGATACCTGGCCCTCCAGAACATCGCATTGGAGAATGAGAAAGAAGAGCAGGTGAAGGCGACGCCCGGGACGGAAAAGAGCCCAGGGGATGGAATGTCTCTTCAAGAGTCGTACTATTCGCAATCAGCTTCCCCGGATAACATCCAACCATCCTCCATCATCGATCTCTGTATCGCAACGCAAGAATTGAAATGCTCCGTCATTCAAGACAAGGTTTATGGCGTCCTCGGCATCTCGCTCAGGAATCGCCTGCTGGTCCCGGACTACACCATCACGCCGGAAGCGCTCTGGGCACAGCTCGCGCTAAGGTGCTTGGAATCCGGGGATTTGACGGTGCTGTACCACGCCGGGGTGAACCTTCACCACGTCCAGGCCGGTGTCCCGACCTATGCGATCAACTTCAGCCATCCCATGCCTCCACAATTCCGATTCGGAGGCGGAAGCACTGCCAGGTTCCATGCTGGATCGACCGCCCCGCCGAGAGTCAGGCTCGTCCGTATGATGGCTGGAGAAGCAGAACTCTCTGTCAACCCACAGATCGACGGCTACGTCGTTGATCACGTAGCCAAGGTTATTGCCGGTTCCGCAGATGCAGGCGGAGCAGAAGACGTTTATTGGACCCCGGATTCACTACGAGGGCTTTACAGTACGGTAGCAGATTGGAGAGGCAGCCTCCCTGATCCGTACAACCGCGAAAGTCTCCACACGGTCTTCACGCGGACCATCCTCGCCGACAATGCACACCCACAGGTAAACGTCGCTGCTGGCGGAGTTAAAAGGAACGAACCGACCCTCGTGCTCATGGGATTGATAGCACTCAAATCCGTCATGGTGGGACAGCGAATATTCACATTCCACGAGCGCGTTGCTCAGGCCTACGGAACCGTGGCATTGGGTCTCAGGAATTTTGACGATGAAGAGCCCGTGTTCTACACCTTTCCGTCGAAGGATGCAAAAGCATGGGAGTTGGCAACGCCGGATGGATCTGGCTCCGGCTCCGTGTCGGTGGTCGAGCTAGACGGGCCCATCGTCCAGCAGTTGCAAGTCTATCTGCAGACGGTCTCGATGGTGTTGAACCGCCGCTGCGTTTTCATGACTTCGAAGGGTTACTTGGGCGTCGGGCCCGGCAGTGTGGTGCAGGGGAGCGTTGTGTTTGTGCCGGTAGGTGCGCAGACTCCCTTTGTCCTGCATCCGCTGTCTTCGGCGGTAGAGAGTGCGCCGGAAGATGTGGCGCGCCGGGCCCTGCATATCTTGCTGGGCGAGTGTTACTTGCACGGTTGGATGGATGGTGAAGCTCTTCAGGAAAGTAATGACTGTCAATACGCTGAGATAGTCCTCAAATAGATAATTCTTGACACGCTCTTTTCTTGAATGTATCGTTCCTGAATACATATGCCTTGAGGGACAGAATGAGTATTATGAAATTCCAGATCCAATGTGACAAAGAGATTTCTACCCCAGATTCAGTTCTCATAGGGCTCGTGACCACGTGGCAATGTGAAAGTAGACAGAGCCGATGACCAGAAGGCTCGGTCTGAGACACCTGCTGTGTGTCGTAAGCACCAATACGTCTTGCCGTCTGCCGTCTGCCGTCCCTCCGCGTTCAGTATATAGCCGCCTATATGGCTCAATTAGCACCGCGACGTCCTCTCCAGTCTTCATCCCGCGGGCCCCATAAAAAAAAGGCCTAATTTTCAAAAATTCCGGTGCGAATGATAAGGGCGGGAAAGGATGGGGATTGATGATTCTAGTTTTCACTTGCTTGGGAGAGAGAGAGAAGTGAAGCCAAGGAAGAGGGAAAAAACTACAGATGATGGATGCAATTGGTTTACCTGAATCTCTATTATTTCTCTACCACAAAAGATGCTAGCGAAAACGCCGCTACTACCTAAGCCCTCAGACCGACTTCTAGATCCAGTAAATCTTTGCACCGCCTCATGCAGCCGCAGTGGGCTTGGGCGGAAACTTTGGCCGCACGTGTTCGGGATGCTCGGGCCTTCCGGTGGTGTTGTAATGGCCCGGGATCTGTGTGGTCCAGAAATTGACGAGTCCATCATCAGGGCGACGTGGCACCACGTGCACGTGGAGATGTGGCACCGACTGCTCGGCCAGTTCGCCTTCGTTGTTCGCGAAATTGACCGCCATGCCCGGATACAGTTTTCTCGCCACCCGAGCAGCGGCCGCACAGGTCTTCCCGAAGATTTCGGGGTCGCTGGTGGCGTCTTGGACGTGCACACGCGGGATGACGAGAACGTGGCCTTCGGTCACGGGGCCGATGGGTTGCACGACCAGGAATTCCTTGTCCCACTCCTCGTTGAGGTGGACCTTGGTCACGGCATTTTTTACGTCCTTGATGATGGGGCAGAAGATGCACTTTCGGTCCTTCAGTGGAATCTTGGGTTTCTTGGCGTCGGCCATTCCAGCTGGTTTTTTGGCGACAGTATTGGACGAGGAGGGTTGCGAGGAGAGTTTTGATGAGGGCGGCTGCGACGGTCCTAGCGATGATGAAGATTGAGTAGAAGTAGAGGTGGGGCTTTTTCCTGAGGCCACGGAAGGGTGAATAGAAGATGGAGTCAACATCTTTCGCGAGAGCGATGCGCTTGAAGATGTAGTAGTGCTAGGACCCTTTGTTCTGTTGACTTGAGGACGCTGTTTGCGGTCACCTTGAAGAGGATCGGTCTGGTCAAGCTGTTTGCGGTCAACTTGAGCGACATCGGCTTGTGGTCTTTGCCTTTGTTTGGTGTTTGGTTGAGACATGAGTATGCACTTGCTCGAGTGATCAACGGAGATAGCTAAATGCGGTTGCTAATATTCAATTATTTGTATAGAGTGTTTGACTTTAAGCAGAAACAGATGAACAATGTGTGTTACGACATAAGAGAAATCAGAACTTATCTGCTTCTTTGTTTTTATATATACTCTTGACCAGTCATTATATTATAGTGGGTTCATTGCCTTGATCGTCTGAAGACACTGCTCAAACCATATCGCGGCTCAGTAGGCATCGAATGAGTCCTGAAGGAATCATTCGGACAGTATCAGGCACAGAACCAAGTCAACAGGGCGAATGCCAGGCCAGCAAGAAACCCGATGGAATTGGTCTGCACCCCTGACTGTGAGAAAGCATGTGTGAATTAGTTATAAGGCAGCGGATGTTTTGGCGCGCTTTGAAGGAGCCAGGTCAACAAAAAGTCATCTGCGCCGTTAGCTCTTTGCACACGTGGAAGCGAGCATAATTAGACACAAGACAGGTCAACATGATTATGCAACCTGTCGGAGATTTGGCGTTTAGGAGCCGACGCCCAGTGATACAATTGGTGTCGCTCTTGACACAGCACACAGACTGACGGAAGGAATGAGAATTATAGCAGATAGGTCGCTCTACAGGCCGTACCAGCTAATATGTCATCAAAAATCATGCCAAGAGCGACACCAATCGTTTCACCGCCGGCGGGCCTTGGGCACCCATTCAGTTACCGAAGCTCAGACTGCGCCAGAGTCTAGGTCACGTTTGGGCCACATGCTTCATCCCACCAGGCAACAACTCGGTGGCACAGCCCAGGTTGAAACTGCCTTGGACAGAGGCTTTACCTTCCATTCAACAACTCAAACTGCATTCCAAGCAACACAGCTGAGGGTGTCTCAACCGACGATAATGGGTACGACCGTTTGTTGAGTAACAAAGACAACACCTAAAGCAGAACTTGAAGCCCGGTGTTGGACCAAAAGACCGCGGCCCTCAGAGGACCGTTTACCAGCTTTTGTTTGACACCCGGGTTTTGTTGATTGAATATCCTTGGCGCTGCTATTACTATGGGGACATGAAGTAGTGTTAGCTCAGGGCTAGTATCTTTATCTGTACTACGTAAACCCTCTCTATTCAAACAGCTATGCCTAAAAAAGCTTAGATGTAATAATTTGACTAATTAGAATGGATACACACATGCAGTAACAAATCGTAAAACTGTGTCTACGTAATGAGAACTACTTGCCACTAGCACCAGGCTAACATTACTTCAGCCCCCTTGTACTCTGTAGTATGTACTACTCTGTACGTAGTAGGTTACTAATGCAGCACGCGCTTACTAGGCCGAACGCGGCAGGATTATTCATGTGGTACTCCGTATCCTGCACCGAATCTTGACCGCGCCTTAGCACCTAGTTAGATTAACCGTTTTTGCGGCCTTACTCAGAAATTAGTCACCCGGCTTAACTTCGGCTCAGCCTCTGCTCAGGCGGCACCGCCATTGCTTCCTTTGCTCACCCTCTTTGTTAGAGGTGCTCTGTACTCCTGCCGTTGGGCCAAAAGAACAGAATGATGCGGCTCAGCCGGATCATGGAGCACAACCACTTATGTACTAATCTTGGCATTCCTGACAACTGCATATTGTGGTAGATTAGCTATCAACAGAGTTGTGGGATTGTCGCTTCTATGGACATCGATATCTTGAGCAGTACATCTTCATAGACCATTGCTTGCAACAGGTCGCAGTCGGTTAAGAGGTCACCTTTGTCACGACAACCTCTCAAGAGAAGTTGGAAATAGCTCGCCTTGCCATCAATGACTACCTACGTAGCGTTGCTGTTTGGGTTCGAAGTTTCTTCAGAAGCAGTGAGCAAAGAAAATCATCACCTTTTAGAGGGTTGAGACCTTCGGCATGTCCAAAGCATTGAGACTATGATACAGAGTGCAGCGACATGATGTGCAAGCAAGGTTGATATTCTCAAAACACGCCTCCAAATCCTCTTCGTCCTCAATTATTCTATGCGGATTTTCCCACCAATGAGCAACGAGAACTTTCTCTTGCATGCAATTTCGCGAGGAAGGGATGCAGGGAGCGGACCACTCCCGGATGGCCAATGGACCTCCAGACCTACCCCTCCGGCCTGCTGGCAATGTTGGGCGCTTATAACTCTTACAACAGCCCCTCTGGGTGGCTTTGCTCTTTTTCTTGCCCGTAACGCTTCAGACACTATCCTATAAGATCAAATGCTTGGTCTTGGAAAGGACCTTTTGGCATGATGTCGCTTCCTCGTCGGTGGACTGATCAGTCGAATCGATCCAACAGACAGCTCCTCAAGCCTGGGAGCTTCAGCATTCGTCGTTCGCAAACGGAGGCGACCTCGTCAGAACCTAAGCTCTACGAGTGCATGTTCGCTCGATATCAACTTTCACCGGAAACGCTGCTCAAATGGCTAGAAGACAATTTTCCAGATTACAAACCGTTTGATATAAAGGTAAAATCTAGTCCTGCACGCAAGTCGTCAGGCTACTGAACCGTCACGTAGGTCGGCAACGACCAGTACAAGTTTCGATTGCCTAGGAACCTGGATGAGGTGAGTCCTGAGAATCCTCCCCACCAGACTCTTGCATACTTTCGAATCCAATCAGGAGACTGATCAGATCAGAAAGACAAGCGCGAGCTCCTGCGACTCCGTGACCAAGATGTCAGGGATCCAAACCGTCGCTCAGAGTCCCCAGTGCCTGATCAGCACTCAAATCCATGATCGGGAGGTGGCGCGGACGAACCCGGCAAAATGTCGGCGTTCCTCGGGGCGGCATTTGGGCGCATTCGGGCGCATTCTTGAAGTGCGGATTTGGGCAGGTCAGAGGTTACAGAGATTTGCAGCGGGGTCGTAGCGGCTGACTTTGGGCACTGCCTCACGTCTGCGCCCTTCTAGGCCTGCCACATGTGAAACTTCCATTTGCGCATTAATGGGAGGCGTTTGCCTTCGGAAAATTATGAACATTCAAAACGATGGTATTTCCTGATTTCCACACATTCTCCGAGTGAACTCTTAAGGTCCACCTAAACTTGCCTAAGCTTCGGGTACTGCCGGTGCATCGTAGGTCAGCATGAGTCTAACATTAACCCCCGAGTACGAAGCAAGCTATAAAAGCTTCTCAACTTATCCACAAAACTTGCTCAACACCCACGCCTTCTTTCCTGCCGCCTTACGAGCTTACAAGATTCACCTCGACGCTGCAGAGGACACTCTCTTCGTCCAGAATGAGAACGCTGTTGATGTTCCCATTGCCGACCTGGACGAGAACGGAAACTGTAAGACTTCAATGTTACTTGTTCTCGACGGAGTAGACTCTGTGTTACTGAGACTGACAGCCCCAGAGACATTCGGAAAAAGAACATATTCAGCGACCAGAAATTAAGGGAATACATCGGGGACACGGTTGAAGAAGATGTTCAGACGCACGAGCTTATACGTGGTTCCTATGCCTCGAGGCCGGATCCAAAATGTCGATTTATGTAACTAAGGTCCTTTATCCTCCACCTTGCAGACACAATCTCATCTTTACACAGCTATTTTTGGGCGAAAAACACGCAGGCGCCGTTGAAGATCACGAGAAAAATGTTGACCCGGATCATGACTTACCATCAAGTCACGCCGCAGTTCTTTGAGTTTCTGTTCTTGTTTGGACAGCGAAGCAACGCCCACGACCTCAGGTACAGCGGGTTCCGTGAAAAAACCAGTCTTGACTTCCCGTCACCTGGGCAGGCTCTGCCAGCTCTTGGACGCAGCGGCAAGCATTTTCAGCTCTGCTACAATCTTAAGAGGCCCGAAAGTTTGACGCCACCTGGCACACCTTTTCGCGACCAAGAATGGTCGATTCGACCAGCTGCAATTTTTCACCATTTTGACGTCGAGACAGGAGGTACAATGTGGATCGTCATAAAGAGAGATCTAGGGCTGAAAGAGGATATCCAAGAACTCACAGGGCCCGATGGTAGGATAAAAGACAGGTCGTTTGCCACTCCTGGGCAATCTTTCCGCTCCAGCCTGGCTGTCCACTCTCTTCTTGCCCACTGGGCGACGACTAACTGGCGATGGTATATTCAGTATTTGGAAGATACGGTTGACAAAGAGGTAAGCCTATGTGTCTCTGCACAGGCCATCATTCACTCACACTCATGGCCTAGACCCAGGCTGCTGTTCATGGTTCCAGAGAACTCGTCAGCAACCGGAAAAACTTTTCGCCAATGGATTTGCAGCACGTGCAATGGTGGGAGGAGCGAGCTGTTGAAGCAAAACTGATCTTAGGCGGGATTTCAAACGTGCTTCAAGCCATCATAGACTACTACGCGTCTTTGCTAAGCCACAGAAACTTCTCTTTGTCAACTACCTGTAGGCCAGACATCGAGTCCTTGGCCGCACAGATGAGGGACGCAATCGCGGACTGCAAGATGCAACGTGATCGTGCAGAATTGCTCACCCAGATCGCCTCGCAGAGAAAGACCTTGGTACACTCGTTCTATGAAGATGGGTATGGCGCTGACATTAGCTCCAGATCTTGCAGCACCTTCAATCTCAAGCTACCGAGAAAATGGAGAATCTGAGTCTCATGACCCAGAAAGAAGCCATCGCCATGCGGATCATCACTGTGGTGACTCTGATATATTTACCTGGAACATTCGTTTCAGTATGTTTGGCTATTAGGGCTGGATTGATCGCTGACTTGTTGCAGACCTTCTTTAGCACAGACGTGGTTACGTATCAGGGCGACCGGAATTCTGAAAGCTCATCTTCCAACCTTGGCACCAGCTTCTCAACTACTGCCATGTACCGATGGCTGCAAGTGGCTCTGCCTCTCACTTTTTGCACGCTCGGCATATCATGGATTGTTTACAAGTACGCCACAATGAAGACTGTCACACGCTTAAGTAAACATTGGGAGAACATCTCACTACCCCGCTAAAGAGGCCCTGAGAACCTTCACAGTTTGTCTCGGTCTCGGCCGCTGAACAGGTCCGCCTTCAAATAGAAGAAGACATAAGGTCGTCTCTTGTTTTGCAAAACCTTCACTGTTTGATTAGTCGAAGCAATACTGGCTCATTTTTTCAAGGCAAATACGGGAAACGAAGCGGAACGCAACATACACGGGCTGGTGCGGTATGGAAAAAGGAACAGATCATTTTGTGAAAAGAAGGTGACGTGCTTGATAGCGCCGTATCGCGTGTTAGCTGGATCGCAACACCCCTGTGTCTGAGCATTCACTTTGAGACCAAACTTGTTATTGGAAGGCCCCTTAGACTGGACTCCTTATCTTCCCACTATCGATCAACGGAGAGGGATTCCGGTTTCCTCCTGCCGTTGAATTACGACTAGATTCTTTCAATTGAAGTTTGTTGCCCTTGAGCTGTCTAATTTCAGGAGAATAACAACTTCCGCAACATCAGCTCCCAGGAACGAACTAATTCTAGATGCTGAGCCAGGTATCTGACTGTATTTCCTCATGGTCGCACATTAAGTTCACTGCCACACTGGGAAAGAAGAGGCATGAAACAAGCTCAACAGCCAGACGATCTAGGCCGAATGCTCCTACAAAGCTAGCTGGGCTGCAGGAAGCAGCCTTCACGTTCCAGGCTGGGTGGTGTAAATTAGTTAGTTGACACGTCGCTCTCCCACTTGGAGCTTCGAATTTGGACCGAATCCCGACGCGACTTTCGCTGTTCAGCCGCATTGATCTCGGGTGACCTCGGGCCTTGAAGTCTCGCTAACATCATGTCCAATGCGAACCAATCTATCATCCCCACGGGGAAGGCTGCCGCCCCTCTTTAGCCTTGCCGCCCCTCTTCAGCCTCAACGCCCCTCTTTCAGCCTCGACGCCCATCCGCAAGTAATCATTGCAACACAGGAGTAGAGAGCTTCTCATCGCACCTTCTTGCTCTACAAATTCGGTAAAAGTCATTAAATTCGCTATCCCTTCGTTAACGGACATGCGCGGCATTGCACATCCTGTTGCTGGCTCCCGAACCCTTTGCGGCATCGACCAGTCAATCTCTGTGATTCTTTCTCAGCCTGATCGAACATGGCAACTGTACGTTCCACTGGTGGGCCTCGCACCGAATTTCTTAGTTCGCTAGACGAAATGAAGGTGAAGGCTGTATGTGGAAGACAATATGTCCAGGTCGAAAAACTACAAGAATGGATGACGCGAGGCAAACCGAGGAATATTGATCGCCTTCTAGATTCCTGTCGCAAAGATCAGCACGGGTTTCCGATAGACACAAACAAGTACATGCGTGGGGACAAAAAATGTCTCCTTGTCTTCAGCATCTTCCTCGAACTTGAAGAAGGCGAGCTGATCTATGACCTGAGGGATCGAGGCTTCGTTGACGGCCGACTGCCTTTGGACCTTGCCTACTTGGAAAGAGTCTTGAAAAACAAACCTAATCTAGCGCAACGCTTCAATAAGGCGCAATGGAAATACACCCCTCTGAAGTTCGAATTCCAAGATCAGGAAAAAGAATCCCCAGCGGACAGGATAGTGCCCATCTGCCTCAAGGAGGAGATCAACGAAGGTGGAACGGCAGTCGTATACCAGATACTAGTGCAAGAGGAGTTTGTCAGCAAGGGTCTGAGAGACGCCGTTCCGAACTCAAGGTACAATGATCAGAAATATGGTCCAGTGAGGTCGCCCGCTTGGCCGATCTATTTCGCGATCGGTGCATCCTTGTTAGCCATGAATACTCTCTAACGTGACAGACAGTGTTATTTCTTTGCCCTCAAGACCTACAACGATGGCAACGAGAGTTTGTATGACAATGAGACGAATGCGTTCCGCGGGCTTTCAAAGAACAAGGGCATGATCCAATGGCTGTTCAATTATTCGCATGTGGAAGATGAGAAAGCAGGCAGAACAACGTATAACCTTGTCCTAGAGTATGGAGAGTACGATCTAGAGCGATATTTCCTAGCATACCTTCCGCCGCAACTTGAGGATGAACAGCTATCCTTCTGGCACGACTTATTCCTGGTCGCGGAGGCTATCAGAGATATTCACGAATTCACAGACTCCAGCGGAGGTGTTGTCAAGGAGTATCACGGGTAAGTCGATAGATGCTGCTACAACGACCATCTGACACGATCAGATGGCATGCTGACATAAAACCTGCCAACATTCTGAATGTACATGGGGAGTTCAAGCTTGCAGACCCTGGATTTGCGCGTTTTGAAAGGCGAGGCGACCGAAACAAGGGTGGAAAGGATGACATGATACTATTGGGGGTGACAGAAACCTTCGGTGAGAAGTCCATGACTACTTCTCTACGTTATAGAAGCTGATGGTCCCGGCAGGAGCCCCTGAGTGCTATGTGGCCCAGCGCTCTAATAGCAGACAAGGAAAATTTGTTAGAGGTTCCAGATCCATTGATATCTGGTCGCTGGGCTGCGTATTCTCTGTAACTGCAACTTGGGTGGTGTATGGAAATCAAGGATTGGAGCAGTTCGCCGAATTACGCAGTGCAGCGATCAATCGAATCTCCCCGAACCGAACCACATCTCAGGAAGCGGGTATCGTCATTGGGAGCGACTGCTTTCACGACGGTCAGGCTGTCCTTGAAGATGTCTTGCATTGGCACAAATTCCTCCGAAGAGGCATCAGAGGAAGCGATACGATTACCGGACAGGTTTTGCAGCTTGTTGAGGAGAAGATGCTTCTCAAAGACGCTTCATCTCGGATTTCTGCGCAGGATCTGTGCGAGGAGTTGCAGGGAATCTTGCAAAGTGTCCAGAGTCTTCATTCTCAGATTCCGCCGCACCATGAGACCATTCGTAAGGCACTAAATCGCACCGAAGAGAAGTGGGCTGCAAAAACAAAAGCAGACGCAGAAGATGCCGCCAGAAAGCCGCTTGGAAGCCTTAAATCAGAGGCTGCCACCCCATCATCGCGTGGTCTTCATCCAACTCGTGGCGGTCAAATATCCCAACTTCTGACACCGATGCAAACGAGCCATAGGTCTAAAGCGTCAGGCAAGGCCTCGAGTATCATTACGACTCCTTCGAGAGTCTTGATTGCCACGAGCACTGACAACACAGGGTCTCGGCTCGTCGTTCAGTCCTCTGCGCGGGAAGTGGATATGAAGCGAATTCCTGAAAAAAGATACTCAGAAGGGTCCGCACTGGTAACGACGCCAGAGATGTCGCCACCTAAATCCCCACCAGTCGCCTCCACTATTGCCCGCACCAGCACCAATTCGACATCAATGACAAGCCCGACTTCCTTGAAACGAAGTAAAACTTCCTCGATTTTGAGTAAATTCTCCAATTTCGGGAAGAAAAAGCGCGATGAGGTGCTGTTACGACATTATAATGAGAGAGATATTGTAAGTTGGGATCATTGTGGAATCAACCCTTTTGGCGGAATTGACTTCCCTTAGGTTTATCTCATCGATAATGGCGAAAGTATGGAACGATTCTGGCCATCTGTGAGGGAGCTTCTCCTGATTTTGGTTACCAAGTCTCAGCACATCGATGAGAATGGCATGGAATTGAAATTCACATGCAGTGAAAGCAAATTCAAACCAAGCAACAAAGTCGCAGCGTTTGCAGCCGAGATGGATAAGCGCACTCACCAGCCGATGACAGGCGAGCACGCGCGTCAAACCAACATGAGCATTACCCTGGGTAGTATGTTGAGAAACTATCTCACTCAATTCTCTCGAAAGAAGACCCATACCAGGAAAATGACAATCATCGTGCTCACGGATGGGATATGGGCCGGAATGACGGAAAATTTCGCTGTTGACAAGGAGATCATCGAGTTCAATCAGAAACTCAGTCAACTAGGGTGCAACGATCTTGAACACGATGAGAGGCGTGTCAGCATTCAATTCGTCCGTTTTGGGGACGATCCCACAGCAATCCGTCGCCTAAAAAGACTCGACGATCAACTCAGGTTCAAGGGCGTTCCGTAAGTGGATTGGTTGGTCTGCTTTGCTACTTTTGCTAACCGAAACTTAGGGATATCGTTGACACACGACCTTACAACGACGATCCGTACCATATACTCCTTGGCAGTCTATCGGATCACGCAGATAAGAAGGGTGAAGAAAATGCAGTCCTATCTGATTTCCAAGACTCCTCTCCCGGTCTGGGCTACATGCAGAGCGGTTCATCACCTCCGCGGATCCTCTCCGACGAAATTGGCTCCGGACAAAATTTGCTGATGCAGGAACCTTCTGAGCTTGAGCTCCCACATACAATTGATCAAGCTCAAGCCGGACACCAACAGACACTTCATCGAATGCAGACCCCACCGCGCCGACATCGCACCAACAGCCATGACAAGCCGCCGCAGCAGCCATCTTTCTCCTTCTCACGCCACTAGCGCCCTTTATGGGGGACCTTTGGCCGGCCAACCTCTGCGGTTCCGAACGTCTTTCTGATTTGTGATGAAGATATAGCTACCATTTGGATTGATGCGAGCGGCAAATTTGGAGCTTCTAATTTTAAGATTCCTCAAAAGTCAACACTCTACGCATTTGGGGCTAATCGGAGTGTCTTGGGCTAATGTTTTAACCTGCATGAGCACAAAAGCCATGCAAGATTCTTGATTATCTGAAAAGTAAGTGGAGACTCCATCGTTTTTAGGGAAAAGGGGAACAGTTTGGATGACGAAGTAATAAAAAGGAAGGGCTCCCATGTTGGATACCATATTTTACGATGGGAGATGTCTAGTGGATCGATGTCCGCCCTGGACATCTCAGCTTTGGGTCTCATGCAGACAATACTTCGAATCATTAGTTAATCATGCTACATGCAGATGGCTGGCTGTCCGCTCGCCACAGTTGGAAGCACGGCGCCTGGAAGCAGACTTCACAGTGGAATGGAAGTCAGCGGAACGGTTGGGACGATATTTGACTGTGACGTTTTAGAAGCTGTCTGTACATTACTACGTATTAAGCCTATTGAAGCAAGGATAGGCTGTTGATCGCGATGAATGATCAGACATCCTGCTGGTCGTTTCAGCTATTACTACTTCCACGAACCAGGAAAAGTCCCATCCAGATAGATATTTGTCTTCGCCTTCATCGTCGAGATACCAATCAATGTGAATTACCTCATAGCATGGGTGGTATTTCAATATACACACCTGGGTGGGAAGATTGAGAAGATACCGCCCAACACTACCGCAACTAGTTCCACTGCTTGGGTGTATTATTTCCTTCATATGGGACGGTGTCAATTTTGGCAAGCGTGCGACGTAAGCCGGAACCCCTCCTTGGTCATCATGTTGAAGAAGGGGGGGCTTGATACGCCTCTGTGGCCGTTGGGTGTCGTTGCTGATGTTCCAGGCGAGACTGCTGGATGAAGCTCTTGCGCCAAAGGCCCTAGCAACAGTACGCCCCCTCCAGGCTTTGGGACCGCTGTAGGTAACTCGGAGGCGAATCCACTTTCATCGCGGAAAAGGGTGTCCGTCATATTATGTCAGCCACTGGTTGGTGTACATCATGATAACCTCTTGCCACGTTTCAGGCATACTAATGCCCTCGACTGTATTATGCTTGGGGTTTCATGATTTGCGACAAAATCCATCCCAAGGACCCCAGGGCTGTCGGAAATCGGGCAAAATGTATTTTCGGCGTTTTCGATTCCGCTTTGAGGTCGCTAGAGGTACTATCCGTGTCAATTTTTCCCGGTTTAGAAGATGGCATCGTGTCCGGGTAACAATGGAACTTCATACTGTTACAGTCAAAGTCTAGATATCGGCTTGATAACAGGTTTTCTTGGTTATGTCCAGGCCCCGTAGGGAAGTAGATACGTAAGACGTCCATTCCTGAATCGTACTGTGACAGAAGAAAATCCGCTTGAGGATACATCAAGCGGTATTGCGACATCCTGGAGAGAATTTCCGGAGAATGGCTCACTGGTGTCCTTGCAGCTGGTGGGCCCCAATCGTGATATAAGAGGCGTAGTAGGTCTTGCTCGTCTTGGTCGACTCTTTCTCCTCAGTCCACCATACCGTCTTGTACGATGCACAATGCATCAATCTAAAGGTATCACAGGTCGAAGAATTTATTTCAATATAATGATATTCTGGGACAGCTTTTGGTAGCGGGTCCCATTTTATCTCTTTTTGCATGTCCTAAATGGGAAGAGGAACCATTTTAGCCCAACAATACCCCAATAAGCTGTGCAGGGAACCAGGGTGCCCTTGTAACAAGGATGCAGAACTAGTAACACCAGACTGCTGACGCATCCTCAAGCCCGTTCAGCTCAATGATTGCCTCAGGACCTCAGACGTGCTATGACTAAGCCTGGGGCAAAGCGGCTTACTAAACTGGAGTCGTCTGAGCTCAAGATTTTGTTACACACCCTAAGTTTGTCATGTTAGGCGGCAACCTTTGGCTGAGACAGTTTAAAAGGCAAGTATACACGAGTAATAAGGGCTGGGAATCGGAACTCACCAAACTGAAGAACACAAATCTGGGCTCTCAGAGTTGGGAGCGACCCTGAATCCAGCCCCTCAGGGTAGAATTCAGTCAATGCTTAGGGATGCTCAGGCTCAGAACAGCCTTGTATAGCCACAGCTCAGGGCTGCTTATTTATTACTTAGGCTACAGTCACATGTATTTAGGGCTTAAAGGAGAAATAGAATTTAGAGAGGTCAAAATTTAGGTGTTGATGTTATAGTGACTTCCACTAAATTTTAACTTCGCCTTAGCACCTAATTAGTTAGTTTTGCTGCCTTACTTAGTGATTAGTCACCCAGCTTAACTTCAGCATAGCCTCTGCTTAGGGTATATTGCTCATACTTTTACTGCCAACCTTCCTACTTACCTTCTGTCCTAATGCTACTTAGGGGACTTAGTCTTGCTTTACTTATACTCAGTCTTACTTTTAAGCCCTTACTATTTTTTGCAAATTATGCCTTGTCTAGGCTACAGTTATTACTTCTTTAAATATTTGATTAATTCTGTGATGGATGGAGCATTTCCTCTGCCATGGCGTAGGAAATGCACGTGACTAGCCACGCACTCGGATGGCAGCGCCAGTGGCGTATCCACAACGGCCCGCGGAACTCTTGCCGTTAAGCTATATTGCCGCCGATAGAGGCATTCGTACGGCACGTCGCTCCCCGTGCAGGTACTATGGAACGGCAGATGGTATAGCCTCTTTGGGGACGACGTACAATCTCCTTGGGAGGGCAGCTACCGCTTCTGGCCCTGCGGATGCTCTGAAGGATCTTCTGCGTAAGTTAGCTAGAGTACCCCTGGCGTTTGATGGAGGAGTATATAGATCAGAGCGTCGGCCACACTGTAGATAGACTCCTCAGCTTACGTTTTAGCAATCTATGGACTATTGACTTGTTCTAGTTTCGAGCCATTGCAAATTCTATATGAAGGTCTAATGGCCAAGTTTTAGGATCTCTGAGGGATGTCATATTAAATTCTTGTGTATAGTATATCCAGACTCACGTATTATATCTGTCTTTATAATTTAATTGCGCTGTTACAGAACAACTTCAACTCGGGGGAATGACAGCAAACACAGGGTGGATGGCGATATCAACCATTAACCTGTATGATGTTCCGATCTAGTTCCTCCGCTATCTCCTTTTGTGCTTTTTTGATATGTTTTGCTTTCCTGTCTCTCATATGGAACACAGCTGCAAGTGAACTGCACGCCATCTGGCCTGTTAAAGCGAACCCCGCAGTAGCGGTCGACCCCATATCCACCGCGGCGGTTACCAAACCTACACCTATGAGAGACGCTGCTCCGACGATGCCGAGAAGGGTGACATCTCGAGTGACGCCCACGGTTTTGACCCATTTGTCGAAGAATTGCGGGAGATTGGCTTTGGTTTCTGGGTCTGCGATTAGGTCGAGGAGGTAACGGACGAACGCCTGGCAGTTTTGCTCGTCGTAAATATATTTCCGTTGGAAAGTCTTATTCCATACTTGAGAAGCTGTTTCGCCACATCGATCAGCCAAAGAAAAAATATAGCGAAATTGCCACTGGTCAAGGTCGTTGGTACTAACCCACTTTGTGAATTATCGCCGGCGTATATGGCATGGTCATATAGCCCACATGTTGTGGCTGCTGATCCTGGAGCTGCCTTGTTCTTCTCCAATCCTGCTCCAGTTTCCATTGATAGCCCTCGTGTTCTCCTGTCAACTCGTAACAGACGCCTTGGATGCATACCGCCCAGTGGGCGAACATGTTGATATTATTCTTGAGATTACCATTCACCGGGTCATGTCGAAGCGGTGGGGTGTAAAGGTAGATCGCTTGGGAAGGGTTCTTGCTGGAGGTGCTCAAAGGCTGGTATGCCATGGTAAACTCTTTTCTTGTTGTCTCTAGGTGGCGGTGGAATATCCTTCAGTGTTCCTGATCGGTGTTGGTGGTCCAAGTGTTAATATTCCTATCTCCAAGCTGGGGATATTCAACATCCTTATACTTGTTAACACGCGGTATTGATGCAACAGCCTGGTCATATTTTCACCGCCCAAGAAGAGGCGCAGCTTTGAAATTATGCCTAATCACGTGCACTGCCTACTACCGGCCATATGTTAGGCGATCACCCACCAAAAATAAAGGTCATATATGGATAGTGTGGGTAAGAGATAACAATAATCAATGTGATAATCAAGCGCTATTCTATTTAGAGCTAACGTGGCTTACTTTTAGTGGATTTGCGCATTAGCGCCAAACCTGCCAAGAAACCTAGACCAACCAAAACACTGGGTTGGGTTTGGCTGGGCCCGTTAGACCAAATCTCGGCCCAAACCCAAGCAGGTTGAGCCTCATCCCTAAACCCAACCCGAGCCAGCCTGGTCAGCGCGAATGGTCCAGACTTACAGTAGCCCGAGGCAGGCTAAAGTGGATTGAGCAATTTTGGGCTATTCGGCGAAACTCAAATAGTCTAGCAATAGCCCATACTCTACTGCTACACATCTCTAACAGCTTGCAGGCACAGTTTGTCAGCCGCATACAGTTACAGAAGATGAGGTTGTGATGAAAACACATTGTGGCCCCACGGCGAACCTATAGAGGCAGGGCAGTAAGAAAACCATAGATAGCACACATATTTTCGATCAGTCACCGCTAAAGAATACTTACAAAAATAAGGCTTGGCATGCTGCTGGACCACTTTATGTGATTTGGCCTTGTACTACGGGAGGGGCCAGAAGTACTGTTAGCTCCGCGCTAGTAAAATTCTCACGAAACGCCCTCTTGACAGAACCTCTTGTACGGCGCTATACCTCACTGCTCTACGCGTCTATCGATTCTACGCGTTGCATTCGATGGATTTCGATGAACTTTGTATGGATTCTCTTGAATTCAACGAAATTTCGCGTGGATTTAATTGATTTTGCTATTTTCTATATATACGAATTCTACTCCGAATTCTGCTTCGGAATTGGATGAAGGATTGGATTCAGGAGCATTATGACGACGATTTGCGTTCGTACGATGCTTTACGAGAGGCTATTTTGGCAGCTTGGAATGCAGTCGCCAGGCAGTGATAGATGCCAAAGGACTGCATATACTCGATTAGAAGAAGACTAGACTAGTCCTAATCAAGCGATTTGGTGGCGTTCTATCTTGGCAATTACATGGTGTAACTAGCGCGCGGAGCTAACATTACTTCTGGCCCCCCCATAGTATGAGATTTGTACGTAGTACAGTCAGACGATCATCCACCTTGCTTACGGACCTACGACTGGGCATTTACCACTGCATTAGTAGTACTAATGATGCAAATAGCTTGGCGTAGCGTGAGCTGAGTAAGGTTTTGCGCAGTGCAACCACCACGGAGTGATCGCCTACTCAGAAAACTAAGCGAGTCCCCAAAACCTGAACCTCTGAAATACCGCGGGAGCGGTCCCTGCAACCTACAAGCTGCTTAACTCCGTGCTGACTGGTCGTTCTATCACTAGCCGTACTTCTTTAGTACGTTCAATTATTTTACACAATCTGTCCGAAGTCGCTCATGATGAAGATTGCAAAAGTGAAAGGCCTCCTACAGGCCTCTGCTCGTGTTCTTCAAAGTCTCTTGATCGCCAACTATCTCGGACCCTACAGATACTACACTCTTGAACCAATCAAAAAAATCGAGCGTCACCAGAATGAGGATGAAATGGAAGAGCTGGTTAAAGCATTGGTCGACTTTCGTCAAACCAAGGACGAAGAGCTATCATTCGTGGCGAAAGCAGTAGGTCAAGATCTTCCCAATCCGTCGATACTCAAGCTATAGAGAACTCTCTTACGCAACTCGTACAGGCTGCTCTATCTGCAGCAGCGGTCATCGGTGTCTTCTCATGGCCTGCCACGGAGAAGACAGTGTGGGCCGCGAAGATGCTCTGGAACTGGAGTTTTTTCATGTCTACCTTCTCGCTTATCGGCTCGGCTCCCATGCGGCTACTCCAACACCTGCCCCAGCACCCGCCAGATCAAAACGACATGGAATTTAGGTTCAAAATTAAGATGGCCCTGAATTTGTTCTTGCAGCCTCGAGCTAAGCTTGATGGTTCAAGTGACAAGATAGGACATCGTCGAATGAGCAGGAGAATGCTCTGGGTTTGGCAGTGTCCAGCCATGCTCATGAGCTATTCCTGGGTCTTCTGTAAGCAAGAACGGGGTACAAGTTCCGGTGAAGCTAGATACACCATCTCTGAACTGTTCGGACAGTATTAGCTGATCAAGCTTGCTTCCTCTCCCTCTATCTTCCTTTCTACCTCTATCTAGAAGACTTTTGCTGATCTTGTCCACCGCCGTATAGTTCTTGTCGGATACGCGCTACACGTGTTGTCTCCAGTCTTTGATCCGTCGCAAGCCAAAGTTTCGTCGCAGGTTGGTTAAGGCACATTTCGATTCATTTGATCTCCTGGCTCATTTGATAATCTTAGATGGCTGTTGTGACTATTTGCGGCTGCGCGTTGCTTTTCCTCAACTTTTCCTTCTGTGCTGGAATGTGCCAGTTTCGTCTTCAGGAAAAGCCGCTATTAAAATGGATTATTGATTTCTTGACTGGTAACAGGGATACAGATGCCGAGGTGAAAGACCGTTCCTAGCTGTATTATGAATACTTTTTTCAAAGACAGCATAACTTGACTGTATTGACTGGTTTGGCAAGGGAATAAATCGATGCTCATTCGAAAGTATTTGTTACAGCTCGAGTGGCTCTCCGTAGCACTTCAATTGGGGGATCCTAAGAATTCCTTTTGTCTTTCCTCATTGCGTTTATCCAGTCTTGCTCTCGTCGGCCACCCCAGTAGTACATTGAGCAGTAATGCTTCGCGCTCTTGATGTATGCCTCTCTCGGGAGAAATATCCTGAATCAGGTCCAAATCGATACAATTGTAGTTCTATAGCCTTACCATCTATTGTCTTGCCGACTGACCGCGTAAGCCCGACGCGGGAGCTCCTTGACATCATCTCTGCTGAGGCGACTGTTAACGTTGAGGTCAATGAGGAACCATTTCCGAACCGGCTTATCCGTGTCGAAGTGTGGCGGCAGGTCTTAGATCCTACAGCCGGAGGAGGTATCTCTCTCGATAATAAAGGAGGTGGCGGGGGAAGGAGAGAAGGTCATCTTAGCGGTTGCATACGTGGTAGTGGAGGTAGCGAAGTAGGAGTCGTATAATTAGGATGTAGCACAGGGTGGGGCTGTAGTTCCGCAATCGACGAAGCAATAGTGGTCAGTTTTAAAAGGACGGCGCGACTCTGACTTGACCTGCGTAACCGCGTGATTCGACTTTTCAACTTGGATGTCTCATGGGAGACATCCATATGATTGTTTACAACAGGACCAGCATTGGAGTCAGCCACAGAAATCGAGCCAGCACGACCTCCTTCTTCTTTCCTATCCACTCATCGACGCTCTCCTTCGTCAATGCTGAGAGTAGGCCATCGATACGAATATTCATTCAGCGACCATGATCGGATTTGGCCTGAAAAGTTCTGCGCAGCGGCGTAGAAGCAAGCCCTGTTATGGAAGTGTCCCCGCCGTCATAATACACAAATTACTTCATACATCCACCAGATCTACCGCTGTACTTGCCTTACTCACAAACTAGTCTACATCTTGATCCTGGTCCGAGAACTCATACTGGTCTTCGCTTGCATACTCTTCCCCGTCTGCACACTGATCACTGTTGTTGTACCCGTTCTCGCTCTCAGATTGACCATCACTTTTGGACTCCTCTTCATCTTCGGACTCATTCTCATCCTCAGACTGGTCTTCAATAGTGAAGGAACCCTTATCGAAGTTTTCGGTCTCTTTCTCAGACTGCTGCTCATTATCTGACTGGTCCTCGGTTGCACGTTCGTCATAGTTTTCAGACTCTTGCTCGCTTTCAGACTGATTCCCAGAGTCATTTTGGTTGTCGCTTCCAAACTGGTAGTCAACCCCGGGCTCGTTGTCGATCCCGAGGTGGTCCTCGTATACCGGTTGGACGCCGTATGTATCTTGATTTGCATCGTCAGACTGGCCTCGGTGTCGGAATTATTGATCCCAAGTTGATCGTCATATATGGGTTGAACACCGTGCGCATTTTGGTCTTCGTTGTCAGACCAACCGTCAGGTGGATCAACGTCAGAGCTCTGTGAATGCTCAGCGCATGGTCTCTCAGCGCGCAGAAATTCAGTGAGTCTTTCATCGAGAGGATCAGTCCATTGACTCCAATCAAACTCATGATCATCCCGGTGTTCCCAAGAAGCCCGCCTCAGAGCCTGCTTCCCGTTATCAATGAACGCCGTATACCCTGATCTAAACCTAGCGTCCTCCAAAGCTTGTTCTCTGAATTGGGTCACCGTCATCTCATGCGGCACGTATTCTGGGATGGTCAAATCAATGTACCCCTCTCTACTCGTATTTTCCACTGGAGGAGGAGGTGGAGGTGGAGGAGATGCTGGAGGTGTCCTGTGATTGGGCGGCCGCCAGATGCGTCTTTGTCCTTCGACCGCAAATGACCAGTCTGGATTGAAAGAATTCGTCCGAACCTTGATTTAGGAAGGTTCCGAAGTGCTGGGCAAGGCTACTGCTGCAATTCTGTCATACTCCGAGCGGTAGTTGACCGGTCCCGATCCAAATATTGAGTGCGACGATGTTTGAATCGGGGTGAAAGCCTCATCTCCGTACGCAATGCGACTAATAAGTAGATTTACCATCGACTGACAGTTGCCGTTGAGGAGATATATTTGTTCCTCATCTCCAATTCGCACACCAACTGTGCTATTCTCGTGTCAATGATAGGTCCTATCCCATGCGCCGTCGATTAAATGTGCCTTTTTAGCGCCAAAACAACTTGGCAGTACCAAAATTGAGTAGAAAGCAATAGCAAGCAGTTATTTGGGTTATTATTGACTATGATACTGCTTAAAGCAGGCTCCTTTGACGCAGAGATGTACGTTACATGCTATACAGCCTCCGTATGACCTCATTGAACGCGAAGAAGCATTAGAATTAACGATTTCGGCCAAAATCGGCCTCCTTGTATCAATATTCTTCGATTTTGACTCCTGAGCACCTTTTCGACACTATATACAGAGTCCTCGCTTCGGAAATGCTTGCCAACAATGATCCTGCGTATCTCGATTTAGTAGAGGGAACTTGTACTCTCTTCTACTCCTAATAGGCTCTGAATAAGGTGTTTTGAGTAAGGCGTTAATAAGCGCTTCTTAAAAAATATTAGATTATTAAGAGAGTTAAAAGTAAGTAACTTTAATATTAAGGTTCTTTGTATTTACTTTAAGAAACATTTATAATTTGTAAGCAGATATTATATTAATAATCTGTAATATGCTAAAAAGTATAATATTTAAGGTCTATAATTAATTAAAAGAAGTTAAGGTCTTAATTAAAGAGATAAAGAAGTAAATTACCCTAAAGTTAATATTAATAGTAGTTGCTTTAGCTAGGCGGCTTACAGAACAGGCTATTTTTCTTTTTTTATCTTTTTTTATAAAAGTTTATTTTGTAAGTAATTCTGAGTTAAGAATTGGTAAGAATTTGGCAAAAGAGAAGAGGGAGAAGAGAAAAAGAGAGAAGAGTAAAAGAGTAGTTTCTGACTTCTTATAATAGTAGCGTATTCCGCATCTTTAATCTAGGCTAGGCAGATAAAAAACTATATATTAGGGCTTAACTAATTAAGACAAGTCTTAACTAGAAGCTAGGTCTAAAGAGTTAATTAGGTAAAACAGGAAATGTAATAAATAATACTAAGATGTCTTCAACTTAGATATAAGCTGATAACATGAGTTAACTACAAAGACTATGAAACTATCTAGGAAATGAGCGTGCTTATATAGACTAGAAGATTCGTGCTCAGAGTTGATCATCCTGATCACCTCTGATCATTGCTTATAAGTGCTCACCCTGATCACCTCTGATTATTGCTCATGAGTGCTCATCCTGATCACCTCTGATCATTACGTTGTCCAGGTCTGACTGTGTGTGCAGTTCAGGGTCTAGTCCTGTCTAAGTCTATTATAGTTCCTTTGCAGAGTGCTAGGCAGCTCTGTAGTGCCTATTAGTGCTTGGCGTGTTTATATACTGTAACATTATCTCCTCTTCTTATTAGCTTAGTCTTATAAGTTAAGAGTGCTTCTTTTAATTTCTTAAGATTTTATAATTTCT